AATATGATGAAAGAAATTCAAAAAAGTTTTTAAACTAAAATTGCAAACAACTACCATTACATCCAACTCTGTTTTGTAACGTCCTTTGCCAATCGGATTTTTATCTGTACAAAATGATTCAGGAGCAATCCAATACGGAGTTCCCTTTTTAGCATTACTTACTCTTGTCCATCTTTCAATATTCGACTAATACCAAAGTCAGCTATCAGAAATTTTCCTTGTGCATCTCGGAGTACATTAGAAGGCTTTAGATCGCGATGGAGAATAGGATTTTCGCCTCTATGAGGATCAGATAATCTTTTAAAATGTGTCTGAGAATTTCGGGAAGAGATTTTTGAAGACAAGCCAAACTATTTGATTCCGATTGCACAAAATCCTCCAGCGATCTTCACTAAGGTCTGTTACACTCTACCAAATAGACATATTCTGTTCCATTGTCTTCTTTTAAGTAGTGATAATTGACAACAAACTTCAATTCCTTTGCGCCTAATTCATTTAAAATTTCTCCGTGACATATGTGTTAAGATATGCTCTCATATTCTTCCTGTAATTAGTAAATAATTAAGTCAAGTATAACTAACTAAATGATTATTTTAAGAAATACTTATGTGCAATAATCACAATATTTTTTATAGTTCCTAATAGTTTCTGTTATTGCAAATTAACCATATTTAGTAAAGAAACAAATACATCCATACGTAATATCTTGTATAAATAGAAGTAGTTTAACCATTGTAAGATAGATCGTAGACCATAGACATTGACGTTGAATATTAAATGTGATCGTAATAAAGTAAATGGTTTGAACCCGGGAGTATCGTTATATGTTTGTAAATGTCGATCGTCCAGGTTGGTATAGTACTGAGAAGGACTGTTTTTGTTGTTGTTGACTGACGTTTCGACAACCTTAGCGGTAGTCATCTTCAGAGTCAAATGAGGAGCAAACGTCAGGTTAGCCGTATTTGTTATCTGGTTCTTACGTCATTGTATTGTGTGTACAGGAAATGTGTATTGTCATTGTGGATTAGTGTGAAGTGAAATATTTTATTTTTAGTTGTGATGTGTGATTTAGGAGTGATGTTTTTAGTTGTAATGTGTGGGTGTCAATTGTGTATTGTCATTGTGAATTAGTGTGAAGTGTAATGTTTTTAGTTGATCGTTTGTTTGTATTGTGAATAAGTCGTTTGTAAGGTGCCGGTAATTGCTGTGATCTGTTCAGGAGGGTTTGTTCCAAGTTGGTATACCAACTTTCTAATGTTAGCCGTTGTCTATAGTCAGTACTGTATGTAATGCACTTTGCCGAATCCCAGTCAATGTGGTGCTTTGTGATTCGGTGATGTTCGGCAATGTGATTAGTTTTGTGTTGTTTCTTAGTAGCTCGTTTGTGTTCAGTAAGTCTTATGTTTAAGTTCCTGCCAGTTTCCCCGATATAGGAGGCATGGCAGTAGGAGCAGTTTATTTTGTAAACTGCACCTTGTCGTTCGTTGGGTTGTTCTTTGTCCTTTATGTTCTTTAGTACTTGTCGTAACGTTGTGATTGGTTTATGTGCGACACGTATGTTGTATGCTACGTAGAAAACATTTCCAAGCTCATCAACGTTAATAAATTAGCTCTTACGCTAAGAAATGAATTTTATAATTGAGAATAGTGAACGCTCTTTTGTAAAATTATCATCATGAGGTGAAAAATCGTTGCATTCATCGAGGTTACATAAGTGCAATTGTTTTATATTTATTTAGCACAAGTAAAATGATAAACTTAGGTACACAAACTTTGTCCAAATTAGTATACCGCAAATACAGCATAACCATAATATGAGTTTCTACGCAGCTAAATACATTTTCATTTTTACTATTGTAAAAACTTTAGGTCAGCCTTGTAACTTTAATTTTGCACTTTATGATATAGGACTGATGATACAGTATGTACTGTCCTGTACAAGCATCATCAGCGCTATACATAAATTATGTTATCGATGCCTAAAAAGCGTAATGCCTCTATATTATAATTGTTACGTGTAAATAAATACAAATACTGTATTTTACAACCAATAGTTTAGCTTTACACAAGACAGGTTAACTGTGCTCACAAGGGAAAATCTAACTGCAGAAAAATTAACATACATGTATATAACCTCAGGTATCATAACTTTGCAGATATACATATATAATAATAGAAAGAAAAGTGCAAAATCTATCAATTAATTTTATTTCAGTTGCACAAATGTACATTTACATCATTGCTTCCTACATAGTCATAGTGATTAACTGATTAGCAACCCATGCAAAAACAACCACTAACAGTCATCATTAATCATTATTCTGTAATATTATACCTGCAACCTGCAAAACGTCGTGGCTTCAGTAGTTTTGTTTCAAAACAACTCATAACCGCATAATAGTAAAATATCATTATTGGTAATGATGAATAAACTTTGGTAGTGAATTAAACCTAGGTGAGAATATCTCAAAATATATCCCATAAATCGTCAACACAAAACAATTGTTTTCAGCATGCAAGTACAATAAAAATAATATCTTCTTTATTACACCGTTCCATTATTTTATTTATAAATAATTCTTATCAACATATATAAGGATATTGCATGACCATACGAAACAAAGAATATGAGAAGTCTTCAAAGAGATAAACAACTAAAAGAATTTATGCCAAGTGAAGATTGTTTCTATACCGATGAAATGTCTGAAATTGAATGGATCTAAAAGCATTCTCAAAACGTTCTGTAAGATGACCTAAGACATGTAGTAGAAAATATAAAGATAAAAAGCTCCAATGCTGTTTTACTAACAGCAAAGATTTTCACAAAAAAATGATCTGCTCAACAACCACTTTTGTTAAGAATACATGTATTTGCAAAAAGTTCAATTGTTTCAGATATACTCCATATTTCAAGCATAACATAGTTATGGAATTTTCATTCTTACAATGGAGATAATTTAATTCGGTAAAAGAATAATTATATAAATATTTCTCTGATGTTATAGGGCGAGCCATTCGTGAAACTATTACGAACTCTGCCAAGGTAAGCAGCACATTTGAATAGGTATTTTTCCATTATCACCATTATGGAAATTGTAGGAAATCAACAAGCAATACCTGATACTTTATACACAGAGTTGCCAAGTTTAATATAATTGCCATAGACCATACACATTTATTTCTTCCTTATTCAAATGTACTGCTTACCTCGGCAGAGTTCGTAATAGTTTGATTAGCTTCACGAATGGCTCGCCCTATAACATCAGTCAATGATGTCGCAAGCCTTTCGGAGGAATCGGCGGAATTCATTGAAAACCGAAATCCTTCCTTTGTATGCAACAATCGTCAATAAGAGAGTTCATCAAACACAAAGCACGTATAGAAATTCGGTTGGAAAAAACCGCTACCTCTCGGAAGACATAAAAATCCGAAGGGGGGAGTAGACTTATCATGTTTTGACTTTTTTTGCTTCGCCAAGTGTATCAAAATTATTTTGGTTATTTGATATAACCATTTTGCGAAAAGTGGTTGTTTGATGTAACCAAATTTTATCAAAGGAAGTAAAACTGGTTATTTGATATAATAAACTTAAAGCACGTTGTCACAAAAATGATTATTTGAAATAAGCAAACTACTAAACTACTAAATGCAATTATCATATATAATTAAATAAATCATGAAAAATAATGCGATAATGTACTTAAATTAATAAAAGCACATTTGGCGCGCCATAGATGTGTAGGATGTTTAATTAGAGAGCAGACAACCATGAACTGTAAGATATCAACAATTCACAACGTGTACAAAAAAATTAGAACATTTTTAAATGACAAGAAAATTATCTTTATATCAAAATTTCTCAAAATGTGTCCACGTCTAAGTATTTTGAACAATACCTACACTTTGCGTATTGTAATGAAGTACAAATAAATCATAAAGGTTTCATGACTTTCTCCATTTTCAATGTTTATAATAGACTCCCTAAAGCTTCAAAAAATAAGGGTGGAGTATATACTATACTCGTCGACTTTAACCCCACCCCCAAATTGAAATCTGTTCCTACGCCTATGTATCGATCCTATGTATATCTATGAAACACGAACCATTGGCGTTGTTGCTGGGGTACAGCCAGGGGGGAATACCCCACGAATGATTTAAGGGGAGACACCACTACCAGAAGGCATATGGGGGCCGCCAGAATGCATCTTTACAAACTCCTCTAAATTTATTTCAGGAAACAAAATTCAAACAAATAAAACCACTGAACGGCGGAACGGATCAGAAAAAATGGCGGAGGGATCTATTTCTGCTGAGATTCACCAAAATTGACCCATATTATTTCGCGTTGTAATACAATTTGTACTCAGAATGATACAATATTTTGATCTATTCATATCCAACACTTTGTCGCGTTTTTGCTCAAATATGACAAGGAACATATAATAAACAGGCATCGCGGAGGATCGATAATTGAGGGGGGAGGGGCTAATATTCATATATTCATATATGCAGGCTTAAGATCTTTTGAAATCCATTGTTTTCTAAGGATTACAACATGAATATATGAATATGACCCCCCCCCCCAATTATCGATACTCCGCTGTGCCTGAAACTTGTATGCCGAAGGTTCATCTGAATTGTCAAAAGCTCTTTCTTGATGACGACATTAACTTAAAACTGACTTATTTTATGTTGTTCAACACCTAAACTTTGTGAACTATAGCTTTGGAAAATCGTCCAGTTTGCACAAATGCTCTTAAGCTATTTTTATAGTTATTATGGATATTATTATTATCTTACACAAACAATCTCATGAAGGGATTTTGAATCGAAAATGCTTAAAAATATTGGGGGCAAGGAGACGTAAAATATTCTGAGATGACGAGATAACAAGGAAAGCATAATCAAGGAGTATATGTTGAATGTTAGAAAGTATATCACTACGTATGGAAGACACATTTTATAAGTGCCTTATACATAAATTTGATAGTATAACTTACTTTCATAGTCGGGGTAATATTCCGTTCCTTCACCTTTAGATTCGTAACGTTCTGTCAATTGAAAAGTCACCAAACGTGTGACAGTATTTTAGTCAATAAAATTTGACTCTGAAAAAACCTTAAAGATATATCTATAGTTGGTGCATAAAGACATAAAATCTCTAGACGAAAATTATCGAGGTAAAAAAATGAATAAAGTGTATGTATGTTCTACGATAAAATGTTGGTAAATATATCCATATATTTGCATATATAGCTTACACACAATTTACGAGGGTCTCGCTTCAATTTGATTGTATATAACTTACCGTCATCCATGAAGTAACTTTTCATTCGTTGAAGGCAACTCTATAAATTCTGTATTATCCAAGGTGAATATCGAACTTAGGAAATTCTGCAATCATAAATACATATTTATCAAATCTTCGTCTTTCTCACTCGTTGAAATGAAAAGATTAAAATAGAATTCTTGCACAGTTTTAATATTCAATTATTAAGGTGTTTAAATTACATATAACATCATAACCTTCAACGCCGTACGCCAACAAAGCAACTTTCCGTGATTATTAGCCTTAACATAGATGAAAATTTATAAAAATTAAACATACGCAGGAAGAAAATTTTCAGAAATTGTACTCATCCTTGTTAAAACGTTACTTGTATCAATGTTTTAAAACATCCAACTCTATGAAGTTAATCGTCAAAAATCTACGATAATCATTTGATGCACGCCAAATAAAGGGTGTTTTTTTTTAAAAAATTATTGTCGAAACAAAAATATTTATCATAATAGTAGCAAAGTAGCTACATCTTAGGGGAAAGCTTATTATTCACAGATTCTAAAAATTATAATTACCCAACAAAACAACAAAATGACAAAAAAATTGTCACAGCAACAAGGTAGCTATAACAAGGTATAGAAAAGACTACTATCGTCAAGTTTCATCTTTATAAACTTGATTTAAAACATATTAAGTGCAATGGTTTATTTTTGCCAATTATGATGAAGCTATCACAAACAGGGACACCTTAAACTCAGTAAGGCAATGGGGTTTTTGTCAATTTGAACGCAATTGAAAGTTACTTTTTTCCGTGCAAATCTCTACCAAGAAATTTAAATGCATAAATCAAAACACAATCCGCTTATTGTAATCACAGCAAATGGAACGTTTTATAGTATAACTGTTTAATGTTTGTGATTAACCATTGATTGCAGTCGACTACATTTAAAAAAAAACACAGGAGATTCTAAATTTGGACAACCGAATCAAACAAGGCGCTACCATGCAACACCTAATGAGAAGAAAAAAACCTTAAGGGTGTTGGCATGTAAGATATACAGTATTAGAATTTAGAATAGTCTGTATCTAAAATGCAAGAATTCATTGAAAAATGTGATATTACGCGTGTCAATGACACACTTCATTGCATAACTATTTAAGATGCAACTATTTAAAATGACAAGAAAAAGATCTTTGTTCATTCGATACAAGCGATACCGAGAATTTGTCTATTTTTATTTTCATATTATCATTCTAATCGAATTTTTCCTGGTAAATGTTCAAATGGTAAATGATATTACGCGTGTCAATGACACACTTCATTGCAGAACTATTTAAGATGCAACTATTTAAAATAACAAGAAAAAGATCTTTGTTTATTCGATACTAGCGATACCGAGAATTTGTCTATTTTTGTTTTCCTATTATCATTCTAATCGAATTTTTCCTGGTAAATGTTCGAAATTATTTTTTGTTAACTGTAACTAATAAGAGACTGAAAGATATGTGTTAAAAACAGAAATTGGGGATTTGTACGTGGAATTAAAGACTGTTACGCTCAAAAAAACTAAATTGAATTTGTGCAGTCTTTTGTTTTGTATAAAGGTAATAACAAAATGTTAAGAGTTTTTCATTTAGGCATTGCAAGTTCGATTTAGTCGCCAAGAGACTGACTTTCTATCTTATAGAAAAACCCAATACAAACTATTGACGATTAAATCAAACGCCTGACGCGTGAAATGTTCTTAAAATGGTTATTTGGGTATTGAAAGAATTCACAAATGCAATCTAGAATAGCAACGTGTAGTTTTATCCAGCAAAGAACATTTCACAACTATGTTTGTAAAAATTCTCTCACCTTTAAAAGTTTCAACAACCTCCACTTCTTCACCGTTTTTGCTTCCGTCTGACAGCACGAATGCCTTCTTCTGCAGCTCGTGACCTTGAGAGAAATAAATATTTCTTTTACAATGTAGCATTTCAAATTCAAAAGATCATAGCTGGAAAAACATGATTTATGGAGATTTCTCTAAGCAGATTTCGTAAATGACTGCATTTCAGTATGCTCACAATCGTAAAGTTGAAACGTGTTTGAAAAAAGTATAGTCTACAAATAAACAGTTATTACAAATAAACATTAATTCCAATAAATCTTGCGTAAATCTACCAATAGCAAAACACAAATTGTTTATGAATGGACTGTTTCTTAAATTATTCAACTGGAATCTTTTTTATATCATACTGGATGGCTTGGGCAGCAAGAAAAAATCCTTACTTTATCGCTTCTGTCAAATGGGAGACGCAAAAAGATTGAAACAAGTGGAGTTGCAGTCACTTTAACAAGGATAAGAATTTTCTAGTATGCATAAATTTAACAGTTCGAAATTGTTATGAGACCATTCGGCAATTGCGATGAAATATAAGTTATGTTTGATGCCATTTATTTATGCTTCAAGACCTGATATTTAAATTCTGTTTAAACAATATTACTATTTTGAAATATTGAATTCATTGATTGACAACTTGTTTTGTCATGATACTTTGAACTCCTGATACAAACAACAGAATTGCTATTATTTGTGGGGGATTGAAAAAAGGTTTGAACTTTTTGTAAATAAGAAATATGATAAAAAGGCAGTGCACAGAGTGTCATCACAGACATGATGTCTGCAACTCTCTTGTTTTGCATAGCCTAATTTCTCCTACAAATAAAATAACTCACCTTCAATGTAGCAAAGAGACCAGTGAGACCTCTCCCAGAAAATTGTACAGCTCAATATTAGTGCAAACTAGATAGACAGTAATGAGTAATTGTAAACAAACATTAAAAATACTCATTGCAGATACATTTTCATTTAGTGACTATGTCCAAATTACAAAAAATATGCATGAATTTAGCATAAAAATAACATAAATTCATGGACCGGTCAACCCCCCTGGCTGGGATTAATACTGGCCGGTATACAAATGTTGTTTGTTTGTTTGTTTTTTGTTTAGCATAAAAATAACAAAATCCAACAATTATATACTTTTTCGGAGCCCATTTGCAGATAGTTGAGGTATTTTTTGATTGCATAACAAAATAATGTGTTAATGAAAACTATTAGTAAGAAATAGCTTTAGGTGAACTTATGTAAGGAATTCTCTTTTTTATAATACAAAACTCAGGTGCACCTTTACGTGAAAATATGATCTTTGGCCGACTCTGGCCAGCAAGGGTGCAAATTTTTCCAAAGTATTTCTTCACAACAGAGGAATGCCTTCTGGAGAATGGGCCTGAAATTAAATAAGCAAATACTTGATTTAATAAAGTTAGATATAATTACTGGTAAACAAAATAATAGCACATAATAAACGATTAAAATTTCTCAACTAAATAAGTCTTCATTTTCAACATATCACAAGTGCTTGATACCTTCATTACAATCACCAACAATTTACACATAAATTCATTCACCTTTCCTTGAGCTTCAAAGAAATAATCACAAACAAATCCTAAAACACTTCTCCAATGTTTTTCCAAAGACATATCCCACAATTACCCATGACATCATTTTGTTTTAACCTTGGACATTCGTTTACTGGACTATTTAATGTCATGGCATTTTTCATTTTATCTTAGCATAATTGCATTAATCATGTTAGGTGATACCACAAATAAAAATAAGCCTTCACTTTGTAGCCCTTGTTCAAGCTTTCATTTAATATCTTACTGCAACTTATATCACTATATCTCATTCAAATTTAATTATAAATTACATACTTGAATAATTACAAGCTAATATGCACAAAACCAACAAAAGAGCCTGAAGGGGAAATTTTATCTATAACCATTAACCAATATATGCATAAAACTATTTTCATTTAAGTTCATTTTGTAAATATTTATATTTTTGCTAACATTTAATAAAGTTGTTTTCATTTGAAAAAAATTCAAAACATTCATCTTACTTGTCCCCAGTTACTTTCTTCAGTCGATAATAAAACTTATTATTTTTCCATGGCCTGATGTCTTTTGAACAGCCACAAACGTCTGCCATCCACAGCAATCAAACACAAGTTCCTAAACTGCATAAATGATCGGTGTAAACTAACAAACCAACAAGAGCCTAGAGAGGAAATTTGATCTATAAAAAACATTAACCCATATATATCCATCATATATCTCATATCTAGTCACATTGAAGCGTTGATGATAAACAAACTGTGAATCATTGTGAAATCTATATACACTAAACCTATAATAATATATTTCTCGTTTGCTTAACTAACTTTGATGGTTATAAAACTATTTTCATGTGAGTTCATTTCGTAACTATTTATTAATTTTATTTATATTATTGCTAGACAATATTAATGACGATGTTTCCATTTAAAAAAAATAACATTCCTCTTACTAGTACCCAGTCCACTAAAACTCACCGACCTTACCTGACTAATCTTCACTTGATGATCATAAAGATTTATTCTTCATCGTCAAAGAAAACAAGTCAATAAAATGTAAAAGAATCTCAAACAGTTATAAATGAAATATGATGACGTATAAAATACCATGTAATACGTACATACAAGAGAGGTGCTTTGCTTTTAGCCGATTTTATTTTGTTTTGAAAAACGTATTTAGAAATAGAGATGCATGATGGACCGTGATTTTCTTGTCATGGATTCTTATCAATTTTGATTTTCATCGACTAAAAAAAACAACTAAAACTCTCGAGGAAAATATCAAACTCTAACATTTTACATGATCATATATCAAACTCAGATGTAACGTAAGGCAGCTAGTTCAAACAGACCTTAACGAACAAGTTACAAATGAGTTCTGCCTAAATACCTACGCTAAGTCATACAGTTATTGGTCCACAGACCTCAGTAATGAAATAATCATGTATAATTATTGTGTAACATGTGAAAAGCCAGGAATCAAAGTGTTTCTGTAATGGCCGAGAGTTGAAATTAAGTTGAACATAAATTTTCAAGAAGCAATTAGAATTAGAAGATTTATCAACATTTCTGTTATTTTCATGTACGACACTCACCAGTGTTGTGCCATGCTGCAAGAGTTGATTTGTTGAATAACTTTCATACGTTAAATAACATAATATTTACTGTCGGAAAGACTAAATCATATTGCTAACGAAAAGTTAATAAAAACAAACAAGAAAAAAGTTATTCTGTAAGTTCATGTATCGTTACAACGTGTTTGCTGACCAATGATCAAACAAAAAATCATGCAAGGTTTATTTATAATTATGAAATAGACAAACAAAATGAATTAAAAATAATTTAAACGCTAAATGTTCTTAGCATCAAAATTCTTCACGAACAAAAATGGACGACTGTTTCTAATATTGTCGCTTCTCTTAGAGCAAAAAAACAGGATGTCAGATATGTAAGGTTTTCATTTATGTTATATGGTTAGTTCTTTATTAAGTAAAAGTTTCATATAATCATAATTGTTGGATTATTACATCATCAATAAGTAGTTAGTACCTCGTAAATGTTTTTAAAATAACTGTTACTACACGACAGCCATTTAGGACTGCATAAGGACTGGGGAAACATGATTGATCTTGTTTATATAAATGACCAAACTTTTACAATGGCACTCAATCTAGACTTTGAGATTGTTAATTTTTAGAGAATTAAATAGACAATGTAAAAGTTAGTTCCAATAAAAATAACTATGTCTGATGTCATGGGAAGTTTTTCAAGGGAAATGTTGTCGTGGAAGAAGAATGCTGAAGATACTTCAAGCAGAAAAACATACCGAGGAAAAGCGATCCATTGATTTGGTGGAAAGAAAATGCCTGTCAATACCCCTTTTTTGAAAAAATTGCAAGGAAATATCTCTGTGTGCCAGCGACTTCAGTTCCTTAAGAGATACTCTTCTCTAAAGCGGGAGAGCTGGTAAGCGAAAAAAGAAGTAGAATAAAGGCAAAGAACCTTGACATGATGCTTTTTTTAAACAAGAATATGTAACTTTCAAAAATACATCGTTACTGTTAACATGTTCCAAAGTGCAAAAATATTTATTTATCTTTCAGAAGAGCATGTAACCAATTTTTTCAATTCGAATTCATACAGCTTCTGAAAATTTATCGTTACTCCTAATAATGTTATGACAGTTTGTAATTTAAAATAAAAAAAAATAAAAATTTCGTCGTATTGTTGAAGTATATAAGGCCACACTTTAGCGATTTCATTATCAGATCTTTATCATGTGGCTCAGACTTTTATTTTCGAAATTGGAGAAAGTAATCGCTTTAGTAATCGATAACTCGATACTTTTAAGAAAAAGTAATCGGTATCGTATCGAATCGATACTAGCGGCATCGCCCATCACTACAATTCATACAAAAATGACGTTGCAACTTGAATACAACTGTACAAAAATGACGTTGCAAACTTTAATGCAATTAATACAAAAATAACGTAGCAACTTGAATACAATTCTTATAAAAATATGGAGGGTGATCTCCGCCAAAATTAAAAGCTATATTTTCCAATTACTAATGCGCATTTTGCCCTTTGCAATGTGCATTTTGTCTTGATCATATTCCATTCTGGAATTTCATAATCGGATTTTGCCTGTTCAATTTTTGTTATATCGCTCAGTTCAACCTGCTTAGTTCAAGCTACTTATCAGTTCAAGCTACTTATCAGTTCAACCACTCTTGCCTCATCTAGCGCTGTTTTTATATCTTCAACCTCACTAAAAAACACTAACATTGCGCTGCCATTTTCTCCTTGAAAACGATGTGGAGTTGTCTTATCTTCAGGAAAGAAATATTCAAAAAGCTTCCGCCTAACACAAACAACATACTTCATTACAACAAACAACTCATCAGAAACATCAGTTCCTTCTGGCTTGAGATGCATTAACCTTGCAACATCCCAATGTGACCATCCTTTACGCTTTTGATAATTGGTGATATCTATGGCAAGTTTCTTTGGCTCTTTTTCTTTGTACCAAAGTTTTATGGCATTCCTGTGAGCACGACCCCAAACTTTGCAAGGCTGACTGAACAACTTGCAGAACTTAATAAACATATACAACTGAGTCGGAATTTGACAGATCTTGGGTAAATTGTCAGCCATTATTCCAGTATGATATTTAGGTTTTTCACTTGTTCCCAACTACTGAAATGACACGACGTCACTTACTATATTGAAATATTTCCGACTTCATTGTGTAGAAATGACGTCATGTAATTGCAGTAGTTGGAAACAAGAAAAAAGTCTTGCTGGAATGAGGGCGGCCGAGAAGACGCAGTGCACACTTGAGTGGCCCTTCTGTATAACTTTTATTTTGAGACCAAAAGGGGAAGCTCTGGGAAAACTCTCAAGAAATACTCTTTATAGTTGTCAATTATTTCTTGAGAATTTTGTAGTCAGGAGAAATTTTGTTGTCATATAATTGCCAATTAAATCCATTATTGAAAATAATAGAATTATTTCGGTATTTATAACTTACTTGTAAAATGTTCTTCAAGATCAGGTCTTGTTTTCCAATCATTAAACTTTGTGATTCTATGCACCAGCAAAGGAAGCTCTGGGAAAACTCGTAAGAAATACTCTTCATAGTTGCCTTCCTTGATATGTATGAGTGGTTTATCATGCCAATTCTGGCGAACGTTTTGCAAAAATTTTAAGCAACCCAACCATGAGGAGTCGTATTGACTTTTATTGAAATTACTAAAGACTTCAGGTTCAATACGGTCCATCCAATTACTTAGACCATTTAACTGCTCATGCACATCTGAGTTAAGGGGATGACCTAAAACGGTATCTCTACCCATGGTTGGTTTGCCACATCACCCAACATATTAAAGTTCTTCTCATAAGATTGTAGGTAAGGGTGTTTTAACGCGTCGTTGGCTAATGGTCTTAGTTCAGGTACACGTTGTAGCATCCATGAAAGTAGATCTTTAAGTTGAACATCGTCGATTCCCTTTAAGCCAACAAGGTTTCCATCACGTAAGTTTTCCATTATATACTCTCGAGGTCCAAAAGGATGTTCCCCTTTTGTTGCAACATAGTAAGCCACCATTCCTGCATTCTAAAATCAATGAAAATGAAGCAGCTTATAAGAAGTGTCGAAAATCAAACTCATGTTAGTTTGCAAAAGTTACCCTTTTGCACCTACCATTACATCTGACTGTCTTTTGAAACGAAATTTGTTTGTCAACACACCCTTCACCCAATATGATTCAGGAGCAATCCAATATTCAGTGCCACTTTTTGCAATGGTTGAATATGTCGTACGGCCATCCTTCAATATTCGACTAATACCAAAGTCGGCTATTAAAAATTTACCATGTGTGTCTCGTAGAACATTCGAAGATTTTAAATCTCGATAAATAGGACGTGGCTCGCTGTGAAGATCAGCTAATCCTTTTAAAATTTGTCTGAGAATTTCGGAAGAGATTTTTGAAGATAAGTCGAAGAATTTGCTTCTGAGAGTACAAAATCCCGCAGTGATTCTTCTTTGGTTTTTCAACCTTAAACTTATAATAAATGTTGACTTATGGTAAAATTTATCTTTTAAGTTGAATCCATGTTGAATTCTTCTCATTCATTTACCTTTATTCTTCTTTTTCCTATCGAGGTCTTGTAATTTAAGTTTTATTGAATCCTTTAAGTAATGACGCCCTTCCTTTTCGTATATTTGCATTAGACGCTGCATGGCATTTTTTTGTTTCTCCATATCCTCGCCATTGGTAACAATCTCCAAATAAGTTTCATAAATATAAGTTGCTTCACTCCAATCTTCAAGTTTATCAAACAATTCAGCTAATTCCCAATAAAAAGCTAATACTTCACTTACAATTCCATCAAAAGTAACAATTGACAAGTTCTTCAAGCAATGGTCATCGAGGGCCACAAGTTTTTCACACTTGTTGTGTCACGTGTTACCCTCTTTTTAATAAAGTTTAATCAATCAATCAATCAATCAATCAATCTTCACTAACGTTAATACCACCAACATTTTTTTGTTGTCGCAGTCGATGTTTATTTTGTTATTGTTCTTGTTGTTGTACCTGTTGGTTTCCTAGTCGATTTTCTTTTTGCATTTCCTGTTGGTGTTGACATTCAAGAAGATTAAATCCTTTTTTGTAATGCTCCAGAGATTTCTCATAATTTCCAAGCAACTTATTTAATCCTCCTAATGCAATATGGTAGAGACAATCCATTTCATCTTTCTTTATGGCGTCCTTCAGTCTGTTAGAGGTAGAATGAATATTCCCCAGGCCAAGATATACTTGATGCTGAAAATACTTACTTTCCACTTTAGAAGAAAGATTCAAACTATGTTTAAACAGTTTAATCCTTGCTGCCATTCATCAGAGAGAGTATAAGCGTTACCAAGACCAAAGAACGCATTATTTTGACGCTAATTTCGTTTGTAACTTTCAAACATTCTTGGTAGTGCTTAATTGCCCTTTCGTACTCGCAATTTTTTATATCACAATTTCTCTCTTCCAAGAACTGCATAGCTGCTGGTTGTGACTGCCATATCCCTATCTCTTCTCGTGATACGGCAAATATTTGTTTGAGCTCTTGATTATTATTTCCAACTTTCCTTCAGTGGAACTTTTCAATCCCAACTTTGGATTAATCACAGGAAACGTAGTGGTTCTTTTAGAAGCGTTGAAAGAGTATCTGTGAATTAACTTCGACTGTTATTTTTTACAAGCGAACAGGAAAATTTTTTGTTTCATCTATTTCTACGTAGATTCTAGGCGCTCATTTGCTGTCGTGTTTAACCAAATACAAAATTTTCAACATCTTATTGACTGTTTTCTTGGGTATTCAATTTAAAACAGTAAAGAAAATTAATTGATGGAGATTCTTCAGCTAAAAGTATGATAGATATAAACGAATTTGTTATTAATTATGTAAATGTATTCTGCAACAATATATGTTATCTGTTTCAAAGACATGGATAAATGAATATGTAACTTAACAATGACCAAGACCTAATTCTTGCTCCTATTTTGGAATTTTGTCCTATTCTTATCCTACTAAAGTAGCCATACTTCGCACTAGCTGTGGGTTTTTTCATGAGTAGAAAACATGTGCATTCATTACTGAAAAGCAAGTATGAGTGCTTTACCTTTTGACATTATCCTTTGCTGTAAATAAGCATGCAATTAAAATTATACACAGCTAAAAGTCGCTAGCTAAATGGTTATTCGTAAACAAATTTATAGATTTTTTTGTGAAGCCATTTTTATAAATGAATTATTTTTGCTCCATTTTCACGATGTCGTAGACTGCACATCGTGTTTGCCAAATCAATAATTAGTTTCGACATCAGTGACTATATGACTTGTCTACTTTCATTGTTAAAATTTCATAATTTATTTATGTTTTTGTTTCACTATTCATACATTTATTATATGTATTTTCTTATACTTCCATACTATTTATCAACAATCTTTAATACTTCCTTTTGTCCTTATTTTCGAGCAATTTTAGCTGAGTTTTTAAACACGGTTAATGCCCTAATGGCCAGTGGCTCAAAAACTCTCTGTTAACCAACTAATTCTTATAAATATTCACAAATAAAAAAATTTGAAGAAATAATGTAAAAGAAGTTCAGATACACATGATAAATCATGCAATCGATTTAAATAATGCCAAGACCAACTTTCCCAAGAGTTTTTTTTAAATTGCCTGCGTGTCATTTCCGGCAACGATTTACATCGTCATCCGACAAGAGAAAATATTAAATGTTTTAGATCAGTTATCGCTGTGGCGAAAACTATACAAAACATATAAGTTTAAATACGTAGAGTTAAATACAGAGGGATAAATAAGATAAACAGAACTAACCCTTGCAAATGAATAGATTATGCATCATGAAATATTTCACATAGTTTCAACCTAACATTTGACGCGTACCATTCTTTAGTTTTGAGTCAACTAAGTCTGGAAAACTTACAATTAATTCGGTGATTTTTAAGTGTTTAAAAAATTTAAGAAACTTTGATTTCGTTGCCATTTTTGTTATAAACAGATTATAAACATCAAAGTATGTATCAGGAATAAAGTATGTATCAATAATGGATAAGGAATCTCAAGTATTATTTCAAACGTCATACGCACATGCAACTTATGCCTCTGCCCCCTGGTTGTATACAACAGAACGAGCCCTTTTATAGTGAAAAACACCGAATTTTGCCTTGGTTAGAAATTCTTTTTTGAAGAGTTCGCTCTTGTTGGGACTAGGCGACTCTGTATCTCCAAAACAGTACTATATGATCTAATGGGTAGTATGCTTTATAAGCATTTTAAATACACGATAATATTTTTCAATTTTTTATTTCTAATGATAGATAATTTTCATCTTAGCTATAAGACAACTTCAGTGTGATTGAATACGATATTTTTATCATACAATGGGATTGTTGTTGCCATTATAGTAAAGCTGTTTTTAACAGTTTTATCAGTAATCTTTCAATATACAAAATTTGTTCGATTTCGTGTGTTCAGACTGAGTGCAATGGCAGGGTGTTCAGGCACAGGCACCAATGTGAACACAAAATTTTGATGGTGACTGTGTATAAGTGCCCAGGTCTGGACACCACGAAAAGAGGCATGACCCAAGTACGGTGCTCGGGCACGGGCACCGATGTGAACGACGACACCTTAGTAACGTGTACAGAAAGGCATGCATTCAGCACATGGTTTAAAAACTTGTTTACAATGAAAAACATGAAATTATAAATAAACGAAGCTCGTGGATACTACGTAGTGTGAACTGCCTGCAGATTTTTGCCAGAACTAGAATATCGTACTCCGGCAATTAATCTAACGCGCTATAATTGCTCAATCTAACGTCAACTAAAAAATGAAGGTGGAACTTAAGTGAGACATGAAATACTGTTAAACATCCAAACTTATCAAATGTAAGTATTTTCCTGGGGCGGAATTTTATGCTTTTATACTTGACAAAGCAAGAGACATTGAAAAAAGTAGGGGGGGGTGGTTATTGCCCCCTTCTCCGCGGCCCCTTCTGATACTCACACTCAATAGATAAAATAATTTACAACTTGTTAGTGATTAGGGACAAGATACAGGATGTGCGTAGTTAGGGAAATGGGAAAATTAAAATTGGAAAATACTATTGAAATGTTGGACTTGTTTGTTCAAGTCTGGTTTGTGTTGGCGTATGCGTAGTGTCTGTTTGAGTTTGAAAGTGAATGAAGAGTTAGCAGTGTTAGAGAAGCGCGATGAAGTGTATTTAGATTTGCTTTCAGATTTTGTTAATGTTTGTCAACGTGAAGTTTTTTCAGATGTGGTGTGTTATTTGATCCATGTTGGAAAATTTCTGGTGGCTTCATGTGTATGTAACAGCTGTATCATATTTCTATCTTAAATCTGCGACTAAGATGGCTTGTAGTGAAGTCGAAATATGTCTGTCATTAAAATTACAAAATTGAAAAATGTTGTCGTTTATTTAAATGTTTACAAAATATTACATAAAATGAACATCACGGTAATCAAAATATGCAAATATATGAGATTAACGAGGTTTGAGATAGAGACAAAAACACTTGTATAAAAAGATATTAATTTAGGCAAAAAGTTTTTAAATTTTTGGCTCTCTATTAGACGTAACATACAGTGGTGCTGGCAGGATTTTATTTTTTTTGGAGGGAGGATAGTAACACCTCCAAAATGTCACATACAATGTATAACGCAATGTTTTATTCAACTGAAACTTTCAAGTTACGTTTACAGAAACCTCAGTATGTGAAATATATTATTGGCAGTCGTCCCCCTTGCTGGAGCCTCTGATAATATATTAGAATCAAAAATCACATAAAAAAAATGTTCTCATCTTGGAAAGCATTTATAGAGTACTTAATACATGCATATTGAATATTATCAAACGAAAAAAACTTTTAGTGAAAATAACAACTAAATTGGGAGATTGTATAGTGTCATGGAATTCTAATTTGGCTACATCGTTTAACATAAAAAATTGTTGGTATGACTAAGCTGTAAAATGTTTCTGAAGATCGGGTCTTGTTTTCAAGTCTGTCGACCTTATGATTTTGTGCACCAGAAGAGGCATTTCAGGAAAACGTTGCAAGAAATAATCTACATAGTTGCCTTCCTTGACATAACGCAACAGACGTGTACGAGGTTTATCGTTCCAATGCTCATTCACTCCTCTTATGAATCTTAAACACCTTGCCCATGTAGGCTCGTAAGTCACAGTTATCTTTTTGCCATTCTTTTTGAAGGTTGTGAAATCTTTCAAGACTTCATCATCGATACGCGTCATCCATTCCATGTAAGCATACAATTGCGCAACAACATTTGAATTTGGAGAACTATGACCTAGTGATTGTTTCGTTTCCAGTTGTTTTCCCATATCACATAGCATGCTAAATTTCTTTTCTTGGGATAGCAGATAAGGGTGTATTAACGCTTCTTTAGCTGATGGCCTGTCTTCTGGTGAATGTTGTAGCATCCATAAAAGAAGATCTTTAAGTACGACATCATCGATGTCCATCAATCCAACAGGGTTTCCATCTAACAAGTTTTCCAGTCTATACTCTGGAGGTCCAAAAGGGTGTTTCCCTTTTGTTGCAACATAATAAGCCACCATTCCTGCATTCTAAAATATATAAAAACTTAACAGTGTCAAAAAGATTTCTTAAAAATTTGGAAGTAAGTTGCAAATGGTTATATTTTTACACCCACCATTACATCAGACTCTGGTTTGTATAGTGCTGTATCATCTAACTCGTACGATTCAGGAGCCATCCAATCGCGAGTTCCTTTAGTACCATCGCTTACATATGTCTTAAGGTCGTTATGCAATATTCGACTAATACCAAAGTCAGCTATCAGATATTGTCCATGTGCATCTCGAAGAACATTAGATGGTTTTAAATCACGATGAAGAATAGGATTTGGTTCGCTATGGAGATTAGCTAATCCTTTTAAAATTTGCTCGAGAATTTCGGGAAGAGATTTTTGAAGATTCTCCAAAGTAGAAGAATTTACTAAACTATCCAGCGATTCTTCACATAGGTCAAGTATCAAATAGTCATATTCAGTTCCGGTCTCTTCTTCCAAGTTGTAACAATTTACAACATATCTCGACTTCTTAGCATTGAATTCATTCAAAATTTTCATTTCGTTCTCTGCTTCTTTGGCACGGTTATTTCGACGTACTCGTTTTACTACTTTTCCATAACCATCCTTGCTCAGTCCAAGATAAACACGGGTTCCATCACTTCCTCTGCCAATGCAAAACTCGTCCGAGAAAATTACACGTACGTCGTTCACACATGTAACCTTGATATCTGGGTCGCGTCCATACTTAATTAATTTCAAGAACATCTCTTTGTGCTTTATTGATTGATCAAAATACTTCCATTCTTTCAACTGCAATTCTAAAAATTATGTAAAAGTATTACATTTAGGGATAAGGGATGAAAATAATCAAACATGTGGAAGTGAGCTGAAAGTAATTCATCGCACACAAGATTGGAATACGTGCAAATAACATAATAGTATAGGCTCGGCTTTGTGGTATATTATTCAATACATTAAATGGTTATATTTTTTTCAAAAAGGCTATTCTTGATTTCGGGCAGTAAAATGTTACTCTAGAGATAGATAGGAAATTACTTCGAGTTTGATCGGATATTACTTTCATTCAATGGTATTGTCCACATCAATCATAATGCCAATCCCTGTGATATTATATAGTACATTGGTAAATTATTTGAGATGAAAATAAGAAGCAACTTTATTGTAAGTAAACGCAGGGATATTTGTGATTAAAAGTCCTGTAAACCGAGGGAGATTTAGCAAAAGAGACTTTTACTAAATCTTTTCATCGTCCGAGAAATCTGAAATTTTTTTCGACGGTTCGACAGGTGTACATGCGTTTGCATTTCTCCATCCCAAATTGGTTGAAAATCTTCTTAAAGTAATCGCAGATCAACATTTCCAGTAGAAAATGAACATTGCCATCGTCGATCTTTTTGAACTATATATATACTATGTATATGACACCAGAATGTGAACTTTAAGTGAAATTTATAGCGTTTCTGTCTGTTTATATAGCCAACAAGACAGCGTCATCAGTGATCGATTCAATGCTGTGATTGTCCTAATCAAACGCTCTGCGATACCATTATGTTCTGGAGAATAAGAACTTGTAGGTTATTGCACAAAACCTTTGCAGCACAAAACTAAAGAAACGCCTCTACCCAATATTCATCACAAATATTACTTCTTAAAGCATTCATTTTATGATCTTCTGTTTGACTTAAAGTATAGCACACGAATTCCTTAAACTTGGTCAACTGATGCTAAAGTGTACTTGGAGATAGCAGTTGAGGTAGAATCATTCATAACAACAGTCGATAATCGAAGATACAAGTCTGCATCGGTCAACAGATCGCCTCGACTTCTTTTGTTGCAACAGAAATATTTACTAACGTGTTACCGCAAATTTAGGAATGAGGATGTTTAGTCGTAATTATCCATCCTAAATATTCTTTGACGTTATTAAACCTTGCTTTGGTCAGCAGAACATTTAATTTCTCTCATCCCTGAAAGCGTGCGTTTACTTATAATACAATACCAAAAACTGCTTTTTGCTCTTTAAAAACTTGCTTTGCGCAATTTTTGTGATGAAAGTCCCTTCCACTTTATTTAGCTTTCGGACTTTTTTGACTGTACCATATTTCATCTCATTGAGCATATCTTCCTCTTTGATCATCTTTTACTAATTACATGACTATTTGACTATTTTTCACAAAAATAACCCGTTTGATGTCTTTTGTCTGAATTGCCAAATTTCATTATTTTCAATGGTGTACAACATGATGTATAATATTTCTTACGCTTGTACGGTTTTCAACATCATAAATAGTATAAATTTGGCACATTTAGTTAGTCCAGAAGAGCAAAAACTAAAGAGTGAGTATAAGTGAGTCGAGTAAAGAGTGAGTATAACTAAAGTAATGACTCATGAAAATCATTCCACAAATTAAAAAGAATAAAGTCTTAAATGACTCAATCACTTCTTAACACAGTCTGCAAACGCACAAAAAGTAGCTATTTACGTTATTTAAAGCTCGGAAGTAATTAAGTGTTTACTAAAATCGAATTTCTACGAGTTTAAAAGTTATTTTATGAAACTACAGATTATATAACACAGATTTTTTGTGTTATCTGCATCTGTCCACACTAATGCGTTTTCGAAATTAAAAGTTATTACCGAATTAAAAGTGTGTTAGATAATTAACTGCGCATGCTTATACATAAAGCGCCCATAGTTTTCGTGACATCTTGCGCCAATAAAGATATCTTCCATGGCGAGTAGTTCATATTTCAGATACAAAGTTATCCAACCACGCGCTTGTTCTTTCTGGACAATGCCAAAATCTTCCTGGCTTTCTTTTATATGGCTTATTTATTCGATAGTGGTTGTGTGAGCCACTGGAAAAAAACCAATGTTCGAAGAGTCAAAATTCTCCTTTTATAAGTTATCGATAAAAGCTGTGAAATCAAAATATTAACTTCCAAAATAGGGATTAAACAAATATACAACCTTAAAAACACGTCACTCAGGCTCGCCAAATTTGTATTGAATTTTAAAAATGCCAGAAAAAGTAGTCATTGACGTCATCGTTCTCAAAAGGCTCCGTTTTTTGACTGTCCACATTAAAGCAAAAACGATCGCATTTTCAAATCACTCCATTTTTGAGAGTGTTTTCAAATCTACACGTTTTCATTTGGCAGCGTGTTCGTTTTTGAGCGTTTCAGTGTGGACGGATGGCCAAAAAGCATCAAAAAATATGAGTTTTTAACAGAAAACGCATAAGTGAGGACAGGGTTTTACACAGCGGGGATGCGTTTGCAGAATGTGTGTATGAAATGTGTAATTGATTCAAGTCTTTGATTTGCTTTTTACTCACACTTTATTGGATGCGTGAATATTCACATGACGTCATCACTAAAGTGCGTTAGTTATTCTGATTAGTTTGATATTATGTGACTAAATGTATAGATCTACATAATCTGTGTTATGTTAGATCGCCTGTGATCTTGGTTTTAAAAAAAATTTAAAGTTTGTAAGGGGGGCCATATTTACTAGAAAGTATTGCCCCTGTGGGGACAAATTTCTTAGAAATTGTTCATTATTCATTGCCATGTACATTGCTGATATTGGAGCAGTCAAAACTTTATCAACAAGATAAACACTTTTTGGAGTTTGAGTGTGAGGGTCATACTTTGTCTAACTGTAAAAATCGTTACAGTTAATCATAAGCTTTGCACTAACGTTAACAGCCTGGGGGTTGGAAGAGCTGAAGCCCTCCCCCCTCACTTTTTGCGAAAAGTATAGTTAGACTGACCTGCAGTAATTTTTTAGAGGTGTTTTTTAAGACGCCGTAGTATAAGTGAAGACTTAGCCCCGCACTTCATAATGTTGCTTCGTCGTCACTGCAAACACTCACTCCTTGTTTATCTCCATATCAATATTAGTATATTTTAAAAATATATTTGCGTTTTAACCATTTCATAACGTCAAAGGGGATGCTGGATTTAAAATTTTTAAAATGGTTAGCTTGTTCATGACAATCTCTGATGCACTAATGAACAAACATATCGCGACAAATCAAACGCAAGAAATTTAAACTTCGCAAAAAATTTACACTGAATAACCGGAATAACCGGAATAACTGACTGACTAGGTTGAATTTTTTACACTTAGAGACTTTAGAGATTGATTAGCTACATCATTCATGAAAAAGAAATATTTTAATGGTTAACTTACTAGCAAAGTGTTCTTCCAGATCTGGAGTTGATTTCATGCCATTCGACCTTATGACTTTGTGCACCAGAAGAGGAAGCTCCGGGAAAACTTGCAGGAAATACTTTTTATAATTGCCTTGCTTCACATATTGTGATAGATGCGGACGAGGCTTATTTTGCCAATGTTGGTCAATGTTTCGTATAAATCTTAAGCATCCTGCCCATGTAGACTCGTACTTTAGAGTTCCTATACTGTCGTTTACTTCAAAGTTGATCAAATCTTTGACTACTTCATCATCAATACGCTTCATCCATTCTGTGGAACCATACAACTGCGTATGAACGTCAGAAGTGGGAGAATTTTGACTTTGTGAATGCTTCACCTCCAGTTGGTTTCCCATATCACACAGCATGTTAAATTTCTATTCGTCTGATTGTAGATAAGGGTGTTTTAACGCCTCATTAGCAGATGGCCTGTCTTCAGGTTTTAACTGTAGCATCCACGATAAAAGGTCTTTGAGCGTGGCATCCTCGATTTCGTCCAATCCAACTGGGTTTCCTTTTAAAATGTTGTCCAGTCTAAGCCGTTCATCTCCAAAAGGATGTTTTCCCTTTGTTGCAACATAATAAGCCACCATTCCCGCATTCTATTTTCAATAAAAAATTGTCATAAACAGTCAGTGGTGGATACTAAAACCTTAAAGATTAAATTTATTTGCGATTTGCAGAACTCAACAATAAATGTGCAGCTGAAAAAAATCTAAAAAATGTTCTCCAAATAGAATTGTAGCCATATATATGTATAAAAAGCAATCTAAATAAGGAACATACTATTGTAACTGTAACACGATTGACAAAAATTAATTTACTTTTATCTACATTTATATGTTGACATTATATGACGATACAATTGAGGTACAGAAAAAAATTGAGGTAAAATCATTATCACTACCAAATACCAACATCTAATTAAAGGCAAATAAAACATTGAGCTGTAGTTGGACCTCTAGTTCTACTTCAAAAACTTACCATAATGTCAGACTGTTTTTTGTAACGAACTTTATCAATTGATTCATCTGATGCGTTATATGACTCTGGAGCTATCCAATTTTTAGCTCCTCTCTGTATGCTTTGATGTGTCGAAGTTTCATCAGATAAAATATGACTTATACCAAAGTCAGCGATTAAAAAATTTCCTTGTATATCTCGAAGAACGTTCGAGGGTCTTAAGTCCCGATGAAGAATAGGATGCTCACCGCTGTGAAGGTGAACTAGACCATTTAAGATCTGAATAAGAACTTTAGGAACGACTTTTTGAAGATCTTGCAAAGAAGAAGATTTCACATAACTCTCTAACGATTCTTCACACAAATCTAATATCATGTAAAAATACTCTTCGTCAAGGTTCTCTTTTAAATCCCACAAATTCACAACATAATTTGAACGCTTTGCATTCAACTCATTAAAAATTTCTTTTTCTCGATTTGCAAAGTCTTTGCCGCTATCTTTGTGTATTCGCTTTACTGCTTTTCCATAACCATTATTCCCCAGGGCAAGGTAAACACGGGTTCCATCACTTCCCTTGCCAAGCAAAAACTCCTCCTTGAAGATTACACGCAATTCACTGAGCAGTGTAACTTTTTCTGGATGTTGGCGTCCATATTCCTCCATCTTTTTAAACTTTTCCTGATGTATTAATGATTTATCAAAACATTTCCATGGTTGACGCAACAATTCTAGAACTTAAAGGAGAAGTACAAATCAGGAACGATTAAAAAAGGACTGATAAATTCATCAATTCACAGTTTTATTTGTTTTGGCAATATCACATAACATATAACATTGCTGTGTTTTTCTCTGGATGAGAAAACACGAATGTTTTTACTTTGATATGAAAATAACATTTACTCCGGTAGAAATGAGTTGGTCATCATACAATTCACGCGCAATAATCGACGTTCCACGATTAGTTTATTGCATGACTATACCAAACTTTAACTCAATAAAGCCAGTGGCGGATCTAGAGTACGTCAAAATAAATTGCTGCAGCTCTTGCTTGGATATATTTCCATTTCCAAATACATAGAGGCAAGTCCATTGATAAAGTTTAATTTTTTGAAATTCAAATTCAATAGTTTTGGTTTGAATATATTTTGAATTTAAAATTGAGCATCTATAATTCATTTTGACGAACGCTAGATCTGCTACACTAGATTGAGCAATTTTGCAAAGGATAAAACACACATCCTTTTCATATTAACATAAAACTTGAATTTTAGTATATGAATGTTATGACCAAAAATCCTCTTAAAATAAATTGAATTTACTCAATGATCTCTACAAATGTTTACAAAGCAATGATCCCTTCAATAACTGACTTTATTTTAACTGGAAACAGTAAGAAATAGTTAAGATGGTTGCTTACGACATGCTGCACTTTACATCCAGACACGGACATTTTTATGCATGCAATGAAAATAATTTTTCATTCCTAATTAATAGTCATTAAAAATTTACACAGCATTTTCCAAATCAAGCAATTGAAAGCAGTAGAAAATTAATCATAATACTTTATGAAACTGAAAATAATTCGTTTTACCAACCTTCCAAAAATAATAAAATAATACTAAAATATTATATAGTTATATTAACAAGCAACTAGAGCATTTTTTGTTTTATTTATAACACAACAAAACAATTTAATGGGCTCTTTATCATGAACTATGAACAATGTTAATGTATGGGCTTCTTTTAAGATTTGGTTGCAACATAATACCACACCGATTATAAATATAAGAAAATATAAAAATTACAGAACCACAAATTACAATTTTCCATTATAAAAAGTATTTTTGATTGGTTTTTCTCTTCAACAATAACATGTTTGTTTCTGTATTGATTACGAGGAAAATATCCATTGGTCAAGATATTGGTCGTCACATGGGTAATGATGTATTATGTGGAAACAAATGAAAGTATTTTTATACATAGCTATCATTATATTTTTAAGGTTATTGTAGACAAACACATAGTTTGTACAATCAATTTTGAAAACAGCAATTTTATTATCGTCGTGTGCAAGCGCAATAGCAAAAAATTATTTTAGTTGCAACACAGTGAAAGTTGAGAACGCTTTTATTTATTAAGAATGTTGCAGGTTTATAAATAAGGATATATAAAAAATCATTCACAAATGTATCCTAATTCCACACTCTTTTCTGCATTAAGACAACAATCATTAATCCCTAGCAGAAAGTTTATATTTATGTTTTGCTTTCGATTCACAGTTGAGTATCTCACCGTCGTAAAATGGTGACAGTATAGGAATGAATAAACATTTTAAAATTTATTATTTTGCACCATTATAGCGGAAGTAGTTAAAAAAAGCAATGATAGAATGATAAAAATAGCAATGAAGAATGATTTTTCTGAAAAATAAAAATTTTGTTACCCGATGAAGGCATTGCATCGCTGAAACTGTCATTATCATTCGATTGACATACAGAAAGTTCCCTGTTTTTCGAAGCTGGAACAATGCAAATAAATAACATTACCAAATGATAATATAATGCAATACACAGCTTTCTTCAGTGGCGTAGCTAACTCGATAATTACATAATAATATTCATTATGTATGTTTTTCTAGATCAAGTTCTTTGAAATTAATTGTTTCTTACAGATGATACCACGCACTTATGAATGTAAGCTCTCCTCCTCAAATTATTGAGCTGGCTACTCCGTTGTTTTTTAAATCCCGATTCACATATTCACACTTTTCAAAAATGATATTGTCCTTTGACGTATTATGAGGTCAATTTATCAAAGGCGAGTAGCTACAATTGTATTTACACTAAGAAATCAATGAGAGATGATATTATCAAAGACATTATAGGCTTGCAGTGGCGTAGCTAGCTCGCAAATTTGTTCCTCCTTTGTAAATTTTACACCATTATTATTATTCATTTCTTGAAAAAGTAATTGATTTACAATGAGTGAACACATTGAAATTTACACAGCATAAACAAAGTTGTTGGCTGGTTATATGTCACTGGAGGTTTGTGGATGACCAATGCATAGTAGCTGGGACGAAAAAATTATACAGAATATCTTAAATAGATTGGGTGATATATCAGAAGAATATGGTATGAGCATAAATATAAAGACGACAGAAGTTACTGCAGTTTCCAAACAATTTGGTGGCAATCTTGATATAGTTTTGAACGAAATTAGAAAATGAAAAATTGAATTATCGAAACAGTTATTTAATGTTTATAGTATCTTCTTTGGATCATAGTCATGAAAAGCGAGCGATAGACATGAGAAAGATAGAGGAACTTGTGATGTGAATGTCGGGAAGAATGGAGAGTAGGCTGAATAGAAAGGAAAACAACAAAAGTGATGTTCATGCTGTAGATGAAATAAGAGAGCTGTTGGGTAGAATTGACACATCTTTCGCGGTAATAACTTGTTGAAAGAAGTAGCCGAGGAAAGAGTTTATTGTAAAAGACCTAAGGCGATTAGTCCGAAATCGTTAGATTAGAGGATCTCAAGATTGAGTTGAATTAACATTTATCGTGATTTTAAGAAGTTATAAAAAAATGCATAATGTCACGACTCATTATTGCGACAAATGTGACGTATAGCCATGATTTTTATTTAGCGCCGTAAAACTTAATTTTACAAGGTGAGTTATTATGTAAGTGAAAATTGCATAATATTGAAAATTGCATTTATTGTATATATCTGTCCCATAAATAACCTTTACAAGCTTTCAAAATTCATCGGGTAAGTCTATAGCTACGCCTTTTATGTCGGGCAAAATGGTCCGTCAGCGCGCAAAGTTTGTACCCAAATCTCGGCCCTGCCTTCATCTAGGCCATAAAGTAAAATTTTCTTCCGGTCGATTACATAGCAAATGTTCTTAAATTCTATTTAACTATGTAAACAAGTTATTTCCATGACCCTGATGTAGGAACTTTAAGTATATTCTATAAAGATTGCACATACAAGAATTTTGGACGGCACTGTTTATATGGAAATTCGTGGAAAAATGTGGAAATTCGTGGACGATACCACTGTTAGTGAAGTAATTAAGAAAGATCAAACAAGAAACTTACAAAACCAAATGGACACATTAGCGAACAGCATCTCACGTGATAAGTTCCAGTTAAATGAAACCAAATGTAAAGAGATGCGAATTTGTTTTGGATCTAATACCAATGACCTTCAACCAATTACCATCAATAACATTACACTGGATATTGTACAACACGCGAAAGTTTTGGGATTGGTTATAGCCAGTAACCTTAAGTGGAACATCCACGTAAATGAAATAATTAAGAAATGCCGTAAACGCCTCTATTATCTAATTCAACAAAAACGAGCAAATATCGAAGTCAAGGAATTGCTCCAATTTTACAAAACGTGTATAAGACCTGTCTTGGAGTATGCTTGCCCAGTGTTCCACAATAGTCTGACATTATATCTGTCAGATGACCTAGAGTCAGTCCAAAAGCGAGCATTAAAAATAATCCTGCCTCATCAAGAATATGAAAACGCTCTGCAGTTTACTAATTTGCAACGCCTTAGCGAAAGGAGGAATGATATAACAACAGCGTTGTTTCAGAAGATAGTAGCAGATTCCTCACATAAGCTTCATGACCTTTTGCCTCCTCGTTTAGAACGTTCAACTATGGAACTTAGGACTCAATCTTCATTCAATACTAACTTTAATACCAAACGTTTTAGAAATAGTTTTATAACTTATAACTCATTGAAGATGTAATTTAGTTAATTTATTTATATATGTATTATATGTAATCTTAAACGTATTTCAGCGATATGGCTGCCAGTTTTAAGAAATAAATCATCTATCTATCTATCTATCTATCTATAGTTAGTATTCAAGATCATAACTAATATAGGTAGTAAGAAATTAAAGGTACTTTCCAATATATTTTAAACATATCAAAGTAAAGACCGACAAGTGCCGCTATCATATAATACATGATGCAATAGAGTTAATATAATGTTGATGAAAACTGCGTTGCAATTCATGTCTAAGCTGTAAAAGATAAGATAAGTGATACGACTATATATTACTCATATCGCAATCATATTGCAAGAAAATTACAATTGTGAAAGAACAAATCATTTTAAAATATTCGGCATTATTTGACTTCCTGTTTTAGGGTGCCATTGCATGCATGTGTCTAATGAACCAGTAACTTTGGCCGAGCGACTGTGGCTACCTTCACTTTTAAAAAGATGATATTCGCCGACAGTCTTGAACATTTGTTGAAGTTGTGATTGACTTAACATTCACCAAGACTATCAATGCTCTCTTAAACATAAGGCTCCCCTATTCAAACGGCTATTAACATGCAAACGACAAACTTGAACAGTATGTTTATTTAAATGCTGGAAAATCCAGGTAATTTTTCATTTACAGAGCTCTCTAACAGTTGTTAGTCGCTTGATCAAATAATTAAAAAAGGAACTGTTCTTTTTTGTAATTTTTTCTATAAATTTTCCCGAAACCCGCCTTCCCATGCAAGAAATAAGAAATTTGCTTGCGTGTCCATTTCCGCCTACTTAGTTCAAACAACTTTGTCATGACGAATGAACAAGATAAATTTTTAATACACAAGCTAACAAAGTTGCTCAGATGATATGAACTCAAAAATAGCCTTGTTATAAGGCTATTTTGTATGTATAGCTTTACTTATAAGTAAAAATGCAAGAAAACGGAAGCCTAATGAATCGTTTGGTATTGTTTTAGTCGGCACAGTAAAATCGTTCGATCCTTTCCAATTTTCCGTGATTTGTAGAAATCTATTGCTATTCGATTAAAAATATAGTATTGGGATTTGAACACATCGAAAGTACAAAGTTATGGTGATAGAAAGTCAAATTCATGGTGATAAAATCAAACGTTTGACGCAATGGAATTTTAACATTGTCATTACATATACTGAAAGAATTCGCAAATTTTTATTGCAAAGCGTACCAGTGTTAAATCATGAAGAGAATACGATAAAAACAAAACTTACAATAATTTCAGTGCTTGTTCCACTTCTTAAACGTCTGATGAGAATCAACTATCAAAATAATACGAATGACTTGTTTTGCATCGCGTATAAATATATCTTTGGACAATGGAGCATTTCAAAAGATCACAGCAGCAAGAATTCTTTAAAAAATTCCATATTTTGTCTCGGCGGGGAAGGTAGAATAAATGAATTTGCGAATGATTTAATGCATATTTTATATCCACATAGAACTTGAAATCTGAAGATAAGGAATACACCGTAGCAATGCAGCAGCTATTATTAAAAAAAGAACACAAAATAAATTAACTTCATTTAACAGATATCACCTCTAAATTTTCTTCATATGATTCATTATTCTTTTCTTGATCTGATTGATTTCTTTCTTCAAAAATTTTCAAAGCAAATTTTCAAAGCTCTTCTAAAACTTGTAGTTATAAATGCTTTCTTCCAAATAAATACAGGATTATTGACAAGCCTATTATGGAACGCTGGAGGTGTTTCCCCTGTAAATTTTGCATTGGAAATGTGCGCATCGTTTATGTGTAAAAACAACATTCTTTCCAAACGTTTTCTCAGAAAAACAATTAAGTGAACGACACTTGGCTGTTTCAAAAAATGTTAGAGCTTATCAGCAGGCCTAGGAACATAAACTTTACGTCTTTTATTCTTACGTAAATAGTCTTTTGAAATTTCTGTCAAGCCATCCCCCGAGACCCACCATTACACTTCTACATATGGTACCACATGGGACAGTTCATGAACATGGATATGAAATAGCTCAGATTTCACACATAAACAGGTTTTCATATTTTACAGGGGTAGTGCTAAACATCATGAGCGGTTTTACAGTGAAGCAACCAAACGTTGTGTAGTAAGCTGAAACAGTGCACAGAAAAACTTAATTCAACTGTATTACTGATGTGTTTTGCTCAAAACTGGGGGAGTTAAAATGTTTGTTAGAGGGGTGAAAAATTAATCTAGGGGGGGGTGAAATCTGATGTTTGGGAGATGGCACCTCCTAAAAATCTATCCATGTTTTAATAATTTGATTCCAGCCCTTTACCCCTTCTCCTATTATCTTCTGTCAATCCTGGCAAGCTGTCATGACAAGTACACAGCATGAAGATGTCACAATAACTTTATGTGACATAATCAGTAGTGATAATAAATATTTTCTCATACAATCAAAACTAGTAATCGTAAATCTTAAAAAATATATTTTATATATTAATGATTATCAAAAAAATTATCAAAAAAATATTAATAGTACTTGACTGTTTCACCCAAATTCAAGGTTTATATTATGCCTAGGAACACGTTTTCATTTCAAAAAAATGTTATTGTGATATGGACAAACGAACTTCTGCCAAATATTCTTGTTTTTGCTGTCCAGTTAGAAAAGGCAAAAACAGGGCAAATTTTGGAAATATGACATGACTCAGGTTTGAGATTTCACCACTGGAAATGGGTTTCACTGGTTTCACACCAATCCATCTCAGTCAAAATATCAAAATTTATAGCTTCACGTGTCATAATCACTGGTCATAAAAAACATCTTCTCGTAAAATCAACACTAGTTATCTCAAATCTAGAGCAATGTATTTCAAGGGACGAAAAAATGCGTGGCTGTAAGGTAAACATGTCATTATTAAGCATACAGTTACATAAAGAAAAGATTTCTGTCGGGTACTTTCTGGTTGATGATCATTTTTCAATGACTTATTGTGTTTATCTAGTTGCACATTACCGTTACACTTACTGTATGTCGCAATTATATCAACTTTGTTTGGAATTATAACTGGTCAGATAATTCATCTGTAAACTGTAATTATGCTAACACATATTTTTAATTTTGTTTATCTTATACACTATAAATTGGTTTTAACATATACTGAATTAAATGGAGTTAATTACCCGCTATCCGCTTCCATAATAGGGAGTGTACAATTGAGCTTGGAACATATGTCCCTAAACATTGTTATCTACAGTGAAAATATCATCAAAATAATTGTAATCATACGGCAATGAATTTTAATCTTAAGTCTCAAGCATTCTGCCTATGAAGACCCATAGTTGAGTTAAAGAATTTTCCTTTGATCTCATACGTAAAAAAATAATCATAGATATCACTATCAATTTGACTTTTTCAGTCTGCGGGTTCACTATACAATTTTTGAACAACACTTAAAAGAGTGATATTTGTCTTAGTTGGCTGTTGGTTCCCATGCACTTTAAATAACATTTCAAACTTTTCGCCATCCGACATAAGAAAAGGATGTTTCAATGCTTCGTTGGCAGATGGCCTGTCTTCTGGTTTTAGTTGTAGCATCCACGATAAAAGTCTTTAAGTTCAGCATCCTTGATTTCCTCCAATCCAACTGGGTTTCCAAATGTTGTCCAGTCTATGCCGTTCATGTCTAAGAGGATGCTTTCTTTTTGTTCACACATAATAAGCCACCATTCCTGCATTCTATTTTCAAAAAAGGCATTGTTTATAGTGTGCTGTTTGATCATACACCAACCCCTATACGATGTACCTGTCGTTATAATTTTTGCTTTTTGTCTTTTCACACAAAAAATAAACAATGAAAACATTACTTTTATGTTCACACATGCAAGTAAACTGAATGCAGTGTTTATTTGCTTCAGAAAATAACAAGCTAAACGCTAGCTAAATATGATAGCGGTATTTTCTAATAGAAAAAAAGACAACAACATAAATTTCACATGTTATACACATGATAGGTTGATTGATTCACAGTAAAGTATTTTGTTAAAAAATAGGTACGCATTGCGTACATGTGGGTAATCTAGAAACTACGAGGCTATAAAATAAAGTAAAATAATAAACACAGTACATTTTACATTAAATATGCTTGACACCAAAGACGTTTGAGATTTAAAAAATTTGTGCTTTGTGCTCATTGATCAGTCAAATAACCCAGTAGCTTTCTAACCTATTCTGCATTTACCAAACGGCTCCTTACTTAGATCGCATATCACGTGACTATGCTCACAGTAAGAAAAGTGAAGTCTCCAAGATTTCTTAGAAATTTTGATGATTAATTTATTATAATTTTCACCAAAGACCAATTTCACTATAAATACTCGTCAACAACTGTTTTAAAACACTTTTCTGACGCGAATATCTTCCACACAACCGATAATTCAAAACCATTACGACTTTTTTGTTTCACACACATATATGATAGCCATATTTCCTACGATACAGTGACCATTGTAGTTAGTAAGAAATGTTTAATATTTGAAAGCTAGTTAGAAGACTTCACACATTTGCAAGTGATCGTAAGTACTTAAAATGTATTTCCTGCTTATACTTTCAATTACTTTGACTGCTGAAACGTATCATATTACATAACTTTCATAGTCAATCTACGTTATATAAATCCTACACAAATAATAGTTGTAACTCGTAAAAGAGTCAAAAGCAAAATAAATGTCTTTATGGCTTTCATACAACTGATTAACTCGCAAACAGACTACGGTGATCCGCGAACCAAAGAGTTTACAAGCAAGGCTAATAAGTACAGAACCGGACTATAATTATGAGAAGTTATGATCGCCAACCAAGCCTGCATTTGTATATTATAAATCATTTGCTAAATTCATGAATCGATTTCATGTTTAACTCCATATGAATGGATCACTAAAGGTCGTACATGTGTATGTTTTATAATATTAGGGCTAATATGCCTTCAACAATTTTTTGTCGATTGCAAATAACTTTTGTTTCATCGTTTGAACGAGGATAAACGTTTTACATAATGTAAATATTTCGATGTATTTGATACACATTGAAAAGTATTATGCGTTCAGATTCATTGTCACAATGATAACTATACTACTCAGTTCAATCAACAATAAATAATTGCTGTAAATTCTCGATCACAATGCACTAATGAGCAATCGAGATACCAAATATAACCAAAATATAAATACAGTTATTCTCAACGTATATTATCAACAAGTTTTGCAACGTTAATCAAAACATATGATAGCAAATTTTTAACGAGAAATTAGCTATAAAACCAAATTTTATACAGTAACAATCTTGGCAAAGATTGTTGGTTTAAAGTTACAACTTAAATATAGTATACACATTGTCAAATAAATGTGTCTAGAAAAAATTCGCCATCATAAATTACCATTTATCATTTGCTGAGAATCACGGTCTAAAAAGCTGGGGGTCTTTAACTCTAACCTTCTGAAGTATCCTAGTCTTTGATCTCGCTTTCTTTAGCCAGACTATCAGAGAAGTCATTTTTTTCATCCATGGAGTGGCAAAAGAAGTCAAAACCAAAAAATCTGCAATCATCAAAAATTATTTATAAGTGCAGTACGATAAATATCATTTGCGCTGGATTTGAATAAAATGAAAGTTAAAACAGAGCGAATTTTTACATAAAATGTCACAGTTACCACACGGTTTAAACAGTTCTAAAACAACAAACTGTACAATGTACATTTCAATAAAATTCTTGGATAATTATACTTTAGGTGTAATTTAGACCAAATATATGTGAAGACTCTCTTAAAACTCAAATGAAGTTTCATCTTTACAGCAACATACCCCTTTGATTTAAAACAATTTAAATGCGTTGCACTTAAACAATTAAAAAAATCATAATTGCACAATGTTAATTGTGATGCATGGTTCTTTAGTCAGATAGATATGAATGACATCACTGAACTGTGTATATATTTGCTATAATTGTGATTAGTCAAAATTCCACAAAACAGGGAATACTGTATGAAACATAAACCAGAGTTAAACTTATTCTCCCTCGCAAGTGATCATTGACATGCAAACGTCAAACTAGATGCACTGTATTAAATCAAATGCTGGTGAATCCAGACAATTTCTGTTTAATCGTCTAAAAATTTGCAGTGGTCAAACAATCGAAGACAAAGTAAATCTTTCATACAAATGATTAGAACAGTGTCAACTTCTGCCGACGTACATAGTTCATAACATTTTGTAATGAAGAAGAGTTAAGGTATAATACACGTTGTGTAAGTTTCTGAAATGATAAAAGTCAAGATCCCATACATCTATAATTTTACTTCTTGGCAGAAAAACGCAGCAAAAAACATTACAATTCAATGGAATTGTTTTAGTTTTAATAGTCTGCATCACTCAAATATTTTGTTCTATGATATGTAGAAAATCTTTTCTTATAATAACAAAATCTGACAATTTTGATAAGGAGAAGTAAATAACATCAACAAAGTCTTGACAGTTAAATTTAACGTGTGACGCAATATAATTTTTTCTTGTTATACGTACGTACTGAAAGAATTCACAAATTCCAGTTTATTATAAACGTGGCAGTCTTTTATCATGTGAAGAACACAATACAGCTAAGTCTGGAAAACTTACAGATAACTCCCCAGTCCGTAATGAGTATTCAGAAAACACTGACTTCAGTACCGTTCTCTTTCATATTAGAACCATCAATCGCTATACTTTGTTATACATGTCGTCATACAAAAATGTTATTTTGAAAATGCAAGAATTTCAAAAGAACACAGCATGAAACACATACTACATGTTCTTTAGGAAGAGAAGGGCAGTGATTGGATAATTCTTAAAATTTCTCAATGAAATGTCATATGTGTATGTATTTAAAAAAAGATTTCAGTAACATACACATTAAGCAACAGTGCTCTTCTTGTGTGTCATGTGTGAACCAGTAGCTTCATAAGGTCCATGTAGCCAAGAAACACTAAAAAAAAACAGCACAAAAGTAAAATCATTTTGTCATTTAATCTTATTGCCTATAGCACATCAGTGATTATAATCTGGGATGAATAGAAACTTGCTCAGGAATTGAGCCAGACTGAAAGCTTGGTTGTGCAGTGTAAATGTTTTCAAACTTAAAGCTAAAATTTCATTTCAGAGACATACACATTTAAGAACGTGATCTTCTTGTTTGAGCCAGCAACTCCATATTGTCCACATAGCCAAGTAACACTAAACAGCATAAAAATAAAATCTTAATTTCTATTTAGCTTTACTGTATAGAGCATGTCAGTGATTATAATATATAGTAAATAGAAATTGGCTTAGTGGCATAAAAGGATTGACAGTTTGATTGTGCAGTAAAAACAACAGATTTCTATAAACATAAACAATGCTAAACTGACCAAACTGGCAGGCTAGCTACACCAAACATGCTGTAACCTTCAATGGTAATAAGTAAACAAATACAAATCTATCTTGGTGACAGTTTTCAAAAGCACAAAGTAAAACTTGCTTGAAACAAAAGAAACACTTTAACTATTGTAAAGCTATCCACAATCCAAAATCCAACTCTACCATGATGTATGATTATAAACGTATACATCCCAAGTGCAGGAGTCACAATTGTACTGTGGTGATAGCTGGGAGAGTACATTGTTAATAACAGATTGTATATAACCATACATGTATTCTATATTCATACATCAGTTCATTTGTACACCTTTAAAAAATGCCATCAAATGTTACAAGCAACTTAGAAATGATCAACAATCATTCTTTCAAATGGGAATCTTACAGAAGACAAAAAGAGATGTACAAAAATTTACAGAAGAAGAAATTCAATCACTAACAAGGTTGGAAGTAGAAAAACGTTTTCGCTTCACCATTATTAATAATCATGAAATTGTTCACCATATGCAGATGATAAGATGGCGAAATTATTTTGATCTAGAACTAAGAATGCCTAAGGTATGCCTTTTGTTAGTGATAACACTTCTTTGCAAATTCAATCAAAACTGGCAATCAATCTTGTTCAAAGAGGCATGCAGTTGGTTCATAAGAAACATTCATACAACATTAATTAATCAGAACTCAATAAAGACACAAACCTTCATTTTCCTCAACAGCAACAAAAACGAGATCATGTATATACTGGTGAGATAATAACTAAATCCTGTTGCAATTACAGGAGGAGGAATGTCTTCAAGAGTATTGACCTGAAAGTAAAGCAAATATTAGATTTAAGCAAAAGGCATATTTCTTGTTAGACACACAAGTTTCAAGTCCTTAATAAGTAATCACCAAAATTTGTTGGCAATTTGCACACAAATCCACCAACCTCATCTTGAGTTTCAAGGAAATAATCACGAACAGAGCATCCTAACACTTCTTCAATTTTTTTCCCAACATACATCCTTGAAATACAAGAAAGAGATCCTATGACCAATGGTAACATCTGACATCTAAACCTTTTGTAAAATTTTGATGCCAATTGCTAACTTCACGATTTTCATTTCATTTTCATTTTGTATGTGTTTGGTGCATAGTTTGGTGTTAATATGAATCATGTCACGTAATTCATAATTATGCTCACCCCTGAATGGTTGATGTTGAACAAACTATAAATCATTGTTAAATCCGCTTATAATAAAACGTATAAAAAAGTAGGAATATAAAATGTGCGTATATTTATCTTACGAAGTGGCAAAAATATAAAAAATTATTACATATTTACATCCTGATTCAGGGTAGTGGTGTTTCATTTAAAAATAGTTAACGTTCCTATGTCTAAATCTAAACAAATCTAAACTTAAGTTAACTACTCCCGAGGCCACATAAACGTACACGTAATGGGAAAAGACTGACAAGAAAATATTCTGCAAGGCTTAATAAATTGCTGTCTGATCATTAGATGTTCATGATCATTAAAAACCTTGGAAACATGATCCAGAAGTGACAATTTAAAGGTTTTAGCCACCATTGTGTTCTGTATTCAGGATTATAAAAGCAGAAACAGAAATTTCTGAAATATCGGACAGTTTTTACATGTTGCAATACACAGGAAACTCAAAACTTCTTCTCAGTTGCTTATTGAAAGCTTAGGAGTAAAAAATGGCTAAAAACGGTTTTTCTTTCTCGTTTCTGCCTACGTCTAAACAGGAATATCAAAATTACAATGGAATGGCTTGTTTTGCACTTTGTCATACATGAATATAATTTTATATAAAAATTTCAAAAGATCACTTCAAGAAATAGATTTGTAAGAAAGTTGGTGTACTATTTAGGGTTTATTAGAAGGGAGAAATTTGATCCAGAATAATTTGCGTACTCAAGCCTTTGATCTTAAATCTAAAGCAAATGAGCAAAGAAATTAAAATTGTCAGTTGTTACATCATAAGCATGTAATACTAATTTTTCAGATATGTGGTCATATAAGAGAGTAGCTTATGATGTGACATCATGCTTTGTAACGTGTTTTAGCTGTTTCCTTACGGGAAGACATGTTCATTGATTGTAAACTTTATCTACGAAGCGGCATATCACCGGGGGTAAAACTCCTATTTCCACGTGCAAGCAATTTATTGGGGAAAATTTAGCGTTCTACATAAACATAATTTTCTCATGTTTTTCCTTAAAATAAACCGCTCGATTGTAGTCCACTACAAACAATGGTAGAAAAGAAATGTTTTGATTTTTTTAACCATGACAACGTGTGAAGCCCTTTTATTTGAAAAATCTTTCTCACAGTTGGTGTGAAGACGTCAATCTGCAATGTTTACAACTTTAGAAATAGAAAAGAGTTTAGAGAAGATAGTTGTAATATTTCTTCGTTATTTCCTCAATTACATTATCATCAAGTTCATGTTTTGCTTTGTTTCAATTCGTCATTTGACCTGAGAAAAAACACTCCTTTGGCTTGCCAATCTTATAAAATTGTTCTTGTAGTGGTCTTGTCCTTGGTCAATCATATCGGTGAAGACCAATGTTGATTTTAATTGTTATACTCCTTCATCCTTAAATCTAATTACCAAAATTATAACCATGCCAAAAGCTGCAGAGAGTTTATTACAAATGATGTTACATAATGCATTACTTAATGATGTAGAGTGTTTTTATTTTACATCTATAAAAACATTCCTCAAACATAAATTGCGGTATGTAAAATGTTTATATATTGATTGGTGTTATTTCAATTGAAAAAGGTTTTGAGTTCTGGTTTGTTTTTCCATTCATTATTTGATCTGACAGCCGCATGCACCAAAACAGGAAGATTTGGAAATGTTTCAAGAAAGTACTCCTTTGGATCGCCAATCTTTTCAAGTGGTTCAGGTTGTGGTGTTGGCCGTGGTTTATCGTACCAATGCAGGCCAACATTTCGAATAAATCTTAAGCAATCTGTCCATGAAGGCCCATACATAACAATCTTTCCACTCACCTTATCAGTACAAAAATAATTATAGGCCTCATGATGTATTCGACTTTTCCAATCGGAGGGTTCACTATTTAATTGTTGAACGACACTTGAATTGACATCATTTATTTTAATCGGTCGTTGGTTCCCAACTTTACATAACATTTCAAATTTTTCGTCATCCGACATAAGAAAAGGATGTTTCAATGCTTCGTTGGCTAATGGTCTGTCTTCTGGTTTTAGCTGTAGCATCCACGATAAAAGGTCTTTGAACGTGGCATCCTTGATTTCGTCCAATCCAACTGGGTTTCCTTTCAAAATGTTGTCTAGTCTATATTGTTCAATTCCAAAAGAATGTTTCCCCTTTGTTGCAACATAATAAGCCACCATTCCTGCATTCTATTTTCAATGAAAAATGCAGTTCATTTATTTGTTAGTTGCAAAAAACACAAGTTCAGTTCGAAAAAAATTAGAATAATGTTCTCTAATTAAAAATCGTAGCCATAAATTTTTTAGAGAAATCTAAATGAGAGACATACAATCGTAAAACCAATAAGGCAATAACAACAATCAATTGATTATCATACATATTCATATTTTTTTATTTTATACAGTGCAATTTGTATTTCGCCACTATATGACTGTACAATGGAGGTAAACAAAAATTTTATTTAAAATCATCATCACTACCAAATACAACATTCAAATGCAAACACAACATTGAGCTGTAGTTGGACCTCTAGTTCTACTTCAAGAACTTACCATAATGTCAGACTGTTTTTTGTAACGAACTTTATCAATTGATTCATCTGATGCGTCATATGACTCTGGAGCTATCCAATTTTTAGCTCCTCTTTGTATGCTCCGATGTGTCGAAGTTTCATCAGATAACATATGACTTATACCAAAGTCAGCGATTAAAAAATTTCCTTGTACATCTCGAAGAACGTTCGAGGGTCTTAAGTCCCGATGAAGAATAGGATGCTCACCGCTGTGAAGGTGAACTAGACCATTTAAAATCTGCTTGAGAATTGTAGGAACGACTTTTTGAAGATCTTGCAAAGAAGATGATTTCACATAACTCTCTAACGATTCTTCACACAAATCTAATATCATGTACAAATACTCTTCGTCAAGGCTCTCTTTTAAATCCCAAAAATTCACAACATGATTTGAACGCTTTGCATTCAACTCATTCAAAATTTCTTTTTCTCGATTTGCAAAGTCTATGCCGCTATCTTTGAGTATTCGCTTTACTGCTTTTCCATAACCATTATTTCCCAGGGCGAGGTAAACACGGGTTCCATCACTTCCCTTGCCAAGCGAAAACTCCTCCTTGAAGATTACACGCAATTCACTGAGCAATGTAACTTTTTCTGGATGTTTGCGTCCATATTCTTCCATCTTTTTAAACTTTTCCTGATGCATTATTGATTTATCAAAACATTTCCATGGTTGACGCAACAATTCTTCAATTAAAAAGTAAAGTAGATTATTTAGAAAGGAATAAATCAATGTATCAAGAAGCAATTTAGTTATCTAATTATACGCACATCAAGAAAATGTGGCTATTAGACAAGATTTGAAATACCTACACCGCTTTACCCGTTAAGGTGAACTGACTTTTATATTTAGCTACTAAATAATAACATAAAAACATAACAACATGTTTGCCTTTGTTTCAGTTTTTTGTATTAGCAGCGTGTTTCCCTGCTCCCAAACACACGAATGAGAGTTCAAAGGACGTTGAGGGACGTTTAGAATGAATGTTCCTCATAAAAGTAATCAACACCTTGTTTCCACACTTAATTTACTCTCGTTAACTTTAGAAATTGCGTCAGCTCGCTTTCTGATTTTTCCACTGCTAAATAATTTTCAATTCTTGTGAATGGAAAAGTTGATGTCAGGATCTTTTCACTTTAAATGCGAAAACATTGAGATTGAAAAATCAATGATGAAAGCATCTGTCGAGTTGAAAAGAGTTCGGAGAATTAAAGAATCTAATGTTCTTAAGGTTACCTTTTGAGTTTTTGACTAGACTCTCTGAGAAGTTGTGGCTTGGATCCATTTGAATGGCAAAATGGTTAGAACTAAAAAAAACGTACAAACAAAAATTTACCAATCAAAGATGGTACGATAATTGTATGCGATGTTTTAAAAGCTACATCATGAAACAGTCATTATATTGACCACGTGTTTAATGTATACATGGCTCATTAAAATATACAATTTGAAATAGTATACATCGCTTCTGTCTTTGATGCAAAAAGCTTTATAGGAATGTTCAGTCTTTAATTCAGAAAGAAATAATCTCATTAATGAAAAGTGCCATAAATAAATTCATGAAAAAGACTTGCGGTAGTTCTATTAAATTATTGGTTGAACTGCGTGTGTGGAAGTCAGTGAAATGAACTTCTATAAAGATGTGTGTGGAATGCATATACAAGAATTTTGTACTGTACGATGTAGTCAGCGCTGCACATGATCAAACGTGGTAGCTAAGAAATACAAAAGGTATACTTTTGAACATGTTTTGAACATGTCAAAATGAAAACATCTTATATTAAAACAGTATAAAATAATTTTTGACCAATAACGAAGCATCATAAAAATAATTATATTTAGTGTATCTTAATCTTTTAGGCTTTGACAATTTTATTTTTTTGTTTTTGCTTTCATTTTATTAAAAGCCTGTTTCGAATTTCATTTTATAAAAACAAGATAAATTTCCAAAAAAATTTTTTATCAAAGCGCTTGGAGATTTAATCATCATAATGATTTTTAATGTCATCATTATGACAGAAAGGAAAGCAACTTGTTTTTGCTTGGATAATAAAATAATAATTTCTAAAAAATGAAATTTAAGATGTTAGATACAGGTATTAGCAATAACGATTAAATTTCAGCAAATTGAAAACAAGCTAAGCTTTTGAAAACTGCATTGCAATCTACGTTTCTATATTTAATAACACTTGAGATAATTGATTACGACATATGTATTATTCATATCGTATTCATATTGCAAACAAATTCGAGCGTGGGAGTACACGTCATTTTAATATTCTCATCATTCTTCAATTTTCCGTTTTGTGTTTGCTTAGCATGGTGAATTTAATGAACCGGTAACTTTAAATATTTTCACTTTTCAAATATAAGTTATACGAAATTTTTATCGGCAATCTTTCAGTAAGATTTATTTCAGTTATGATGTACTTAACATTCACAGTTTTTTCCCTCTGAAACGTTAAACAGACGAAAAAATGCAAATGATAAACTTGAATATCGTATTTATTGAAATACTGCATAGTAATCATGTAATTTCAGTTTTATAGAGTTTTCTAGCGATTATCAGTTTCCAACCAAATCATCATGAAGTACCAACGGAAATTTGTCAAGATCTAAATGATAAGCTGATGAAAATAGTTTAAACAACGCCAACAGCAATCTTCCTATGAATTTTATTTTTTATTGAAAAATTTGCTTGCGTGTCCATTCCCGCCTACGTAGTTCAAGTCTCTTAACTCATGACTCATGAACAAAATAAATATTTAATATACACGCTAACAAAGTTGCCCAAATAATAAGAGCTTTAAAATGGTCTTGTTGTAACGCTATTTTATAAGAATAACGATATATTAGTGAGTAACAATCGAACACCCCAGCCCAATGATATGGAATTGTTTTAGTACTTGCTGTCTGATTAATTTTTTCTAAATTTTTCGCTATTTGTAAAATCTATACCTTTAAAAATATAATCTTAGACAAGGAGAAATAAATAGAGACTAAAACTACATATAAATTCAAACTTGTGGCATTTAAGTCAAACGTTTGACGCAATGGAATTTGAGCATTGTCATTACATATACAGAAAGAATTCGCAAATTTTTATGGCAAAGCGTACCAGTGTTAAATCATAAAGAGAATACAATACAAATAAAACTTACAATAATTTCAGTGCTTGTTCCACTACTTAAAGTTTTTGCTTCGTCTGATGAGAAGCAACTATCAAAATAATACGTATGACTTGTTTTGCATCGCGTATGTAAATAATCTTTTAACAATGGAAGCATTTCCAAAGATCACAGCTGGAAAAAACTATACTTTCCCTTAGGGAGGGGGTGGGTGGAGAGAAAATAAAATTTGTGAATATTGAATTTGGAAATCTTTTATTTAAATTTTATATGCGCATGCAATTGAGCATGTTTTCTATTGTAAAGATAAAATTTGTTTTTACAGATTATAAAATTAATGTATATGAATATGCCCCCCCCCCAAGTATTCTTCTGGCTACGTGCATGATTCTGTGCCAATAAATAATATACAAGTCTTACCGTCCATAACACGAGTAGTGCATGTACATGAAAAGACATATAAGTTACTAACAGAATTTACTCAAAAGAGTGTCAATAAAGTGTAAATAAGAAAATTAGTGAATTATTGTAGGCGGGTTGTAAAGAAAATATAAAGTCAAATTGGGTCTACAGCAGCTTGCTATTGGCATTTGCTCCGTACGTTACAGTTACTACCAGTTTTTGTTCATGCAGAGAATGTGAAAATGGAGTAGCCATTGTGGCATGTGGGTGATTAATAATTGTCTCTGACCAGCGTTCTTGAAATGAAAATGGCTGTTTACTTGCATGTTTTATTGTGCGTGTTAAATTAACTAAATTCAAATTCTAATTATAGTCCAGTTGCCAAATGCCACTTTAAGACAGAACGTTGCTGTGAAGGACCCCAAGCAGGTTTTTGCACTTTTTGTATCTTTACAAAATATAAAATTCATAATTTTAAGAGTGTCAACTTGGCACTCTTGGTGAAAATCTAATTTACGAGCTCATATATTGGCTGACACATTCTATTTCTAGATTTCAGCCATCCAAACTGTCTCACCTCTACTTTTAGCACATGTTTAAATAAATTATGAAAATAATACTTACTGATACAGGCATGCTATGTTGTAGAAATGTAGATACAAAATGAGTTACAAAGATTTTATAAACAAAGAGGTTAGGAATCTAAAATTTTATTATTTGGCTGTTATTGAACATTTCCACTGACTGAATAAAAATGCTGCGAACGAGAGATTGTCGGGTTTTGTGGTGATTTTGACAAAGGCCATATGAACATTTTCTAAATTACTGTAATTTAACCCGATAACAAAACATATTTTAATATTGCATAAATGTACTCTTTCAGTCATACCTGTTTTATGACTTCTTTTGCATTTATTTCCTGATCTTTCACCGTATTTTAAAAATAAGGTCATTGTTTTTGACATAGAACAGTCATATCCAGATTTTTAAGTACAATGATATCTTATGACTCATATATGATGTAAAGACACACGAATCGTAATGGAACATTTATGGAATATTTTGATTCTTTCCAAGACGCACAGCTTCATCTATCTTGACAAATTCTGGAGCATTTTGCCAGTTACGATATTAAATAAACTCTTACAATGGCCTTCTGGATTTAGTGGATCAACACATAATTGCAGCTTTTCCCTCAATTTCTGTCGATTTTTTGCATCCGAAAATATACGTGCTGGCATTTCTTCGTTATGGGTAGCTACATCGTTTGATGATGCCTCTTCATCTTTCATTGCAGAAGCACATTTAATCAGATGGCTGCAATATGAAGACTGAATGCCCAACGAGATATTGCTGAAGAGTTTAAAGTTTTACCAATTTAGCCGCCTGGCCCATTACAATAACCCATAAACAATGTTTCGATAAACATATCCGACCAAACTCATTCCATAAACCAGGCTTATGGCGTATTACATGCTTCCCTTTCATAAATCTATCTCTAAGTTCTGCCGGGAGACGCTCCATTGAGCGCAAGTTATATAAACCATATCTTGCGTAGTTGAAATGCCCACCCGCAAAAAATTGGGCATCATAGCCTCTACTGCTCCAAGATGTAAAGGCCAGTCACCCTCTTTCTCTGCCCGAACAAACATCATCATGATGAACACTGGTTTAATGAAACTTTCTACCAAAATTTTGGTTGTCCTACTTTTCTCAGCCTTTTCTTCCATTACCAATGTCAAGTGCTCAAAGCACTAGATATCTTTAATAACATTTCGTAAAATTTCCTTAGCAAGCATTCGCAGAGTCCGGACATTCTGAGGAAATCGTTTACCAGAACGCTTACGGTCAACACCTGCAAAAGCCGCTTGAAGAATCTCTTTAAAACCCATATCAGACATAAGTGATCCAGAGCATCCAACAAAACCCACGAACATATGCATTCCTCAATGTCTCGGATGAATTTCTTGAACATATGCGGATACGCCAAAAGGATGTTTACCATTACTCGATATAGTTGTTGATCAGAAGTAAAGCTGTGTAATCCTGGCCAGTTTTTGGGTCTGAGGTAAGGGAATGCCATCGACTATGGTGACGGGGATCCTTTCGCATAAAACATTTTTCACCGCAAAAAACACAGTCTTCCTGGAAAGAAAACGTTGTTCTTGAATTTGATTGTCGTGTACGTTTTACAACAAACGAGCAAGTTGTAGCATCAGTTTTTTCTTGAATCACGCTTTGAACTTTAAATGACGCTTTATATAGGTCAGTGACAGTGGCGTGCGGTCATGCAAGCGTAGGCAAGCGCCGCTTGCCTAAGCATTTTACCGAACAAAAATTTTTTGGATCAATCTCTGAGCAAAATCAGTTTAAATTTTTCTTTTCTAAACAATGTCAATGTAATCTTTTGTCTAAATTGTCTTTACAGTTGAAATGCTTGCTATTTATAAGCGATTTACTGTCGTGGTTTTCGGTTTCACTTTGCTACACTTGTAAGATGAGTCAAGTGGATTAAATACACCTTAAAAATTTCTTATTTATTAACCAAGGCAAGCGCGCTTGCCTTCGGAGCTCAATTTGAACATTTGCGCATGCGTTAATCTAGATTTGGAGGCTTCTTATTCGAGGAATATCGAGAAAGGCAAGCGGCGCTTCTAAGGGCGCCGCTTGATAGCGATTGGTCAACAGTCTTGTACGCTCGCAATTTTAAACACATATCAGCGCACGAATAATATTCGTATATTCAACACATTGGACATCCGAATTATTCACGCCGTTAATGTTATCGTTTATTAAAAGATGACTGAGAGCGAAAGGTAATGTTCTGATTTCTAATTCAAAGTAGTAGGTGCTTTACTGGTTATTTTATTATTTTCTGCGCACAATGTGCGTAAACAAGCAGGGCCGCAGTCTGCAGAGATATCGAAATGCACGCAAACGTGTGTTGTGGTAAAGTATGACTAGCATTATGACCAAAACACTATGCTCTTGTCAGTCTTGTGTCGTTGAATTCGTAAATTAATGACTAAAAATAAAAGGTACAAGATACTAAATAATAAACACGACTCTCCGATATTCTGAAACGTACGAGTCAGTGCCAGACACATTTTGAAGAACGGGAGAACACGTTGCCATGATGTCATTATACCAAAATAGAAACATTAAACAACGCCATGGCCTCAGTTTGTAACACACCGTGCCAATTTTGTGTGCGAAACTGGCTGTTCTTAATTGTTATAATCACGACTGCTACAATACATTTCGCGCCTATTGTCTTGCAATTTATGTTTGTAGAAGATATTATCTGTAGCATGTAATACAAGATTATGATATTGACAAGAGCTTCCTTTTGCGTAGTAGTTTTGATATTTGTATCCGGTAGATATCATGTAACTGATGTAAGGTATAAATAAGATTGATGTTCCTATAAAATATATAGCATAGGAATTTTCATCCTTTTATGTTCTACTTCTACATTCGGTATTTTTACGTACACCACGACCCCAGCGCTTGCCTATTAAATTCGGTCACCGCACGCCACTGGTCAGTGATGTATACGATGATACACAAGACTTGCAACATTGTATTTGAATGTCAGGATTCCCTTCAAGGATTCTCTTTTTCTAACCATTCATGAATGGAATCTCCTCTAGTTTTTCCTGTGTCAATGATTTTTTTCACTTTTTCTTTACCTGCCTTTATTAACACTTTGCTTGTGCCTTCACATTAAAAAAAAACATTCATCTATCTTCGAAAAGTTCCAAAGGGACTTCCAAATTTTAAATAACAGCACAAAATTTCCACATTAAATTATTTAATAATGTAGAAATAATTGTTGAATAATCCTCAAAACTTTTCCGTAGTTCTTGCAATAAACATGATTGCTTTACTAATGGTTTGAACTACTTCATGTAACGTTTGTAAATTTATTTTGTGACTTAAGCATAAGCCGTATGCAAAAATAACTATTTCTTGAAGTTTATGCCCAAATACAGATCATTTACCACAAAATAAATCTTCTATTGTTGCTGTATCCTGTGGCGTAACATTTCAAACAAAAAGCATTGTTTGCTTTTCAATATGGCGTCCATTTTTAATAGAAGTACGCAGCCAAAAGCTCCATATTTCATTTCCCTAAAGGTGCTGAATTGGCACCCTGAAAATTACAAATCGCCGTGTTACATAAATACAAAAACTCTAAAAATCTGTTTGGGGTCCTCCAAAACAAAGTTTAGCCTTTGGCAATTAGTTAAAAAGTAATTAGAAATTAACAGGAATCTAATCCAATAGACACCAGAAATATAAAACATAAAAATCATGTCTAGCCGACATCAATTGACTAAATATGGTTAAAAACTCAGCCCTACGTTAAAACGATTACATGGTGGTAATTTTCGTTCCAGTGCTGAGTTCGACACATGGTGATATTAGAACGTTAAGGGGCTGTTTACATGATCCCAGTTAACCGGGTTTCAGTGAGGCGTGAAATGATTTCGAGTTGAAAGGGCCAAAACTTCAAGGGTAAATGTTTGTTAAACGCCGCAATTCATTCCTGTTGTAATTCTCAAATTAGGCCAAATTGACTGTTTTCATTTTAAATGTTTTGCGTAGTTATTAAATCAGAATATTGTGAAATTGCTTGAGAAGATTTATCTGATGACAAGTATTGAATCGTTTCCATTTGCCAAAATCATTTAACGCTTGGCTGAATCGCGGCTAGCCGGGCTCCTGTTATCAGCCCCTAATTGGTGCTCCAATTTTAGCCCGATTAGCTAAACAGGGTTGAAATTTCAGCACCGGGCTTGAACTCAGCACAGGGTTAAAAATGCTCCATGGCTGCGCAATTGGCTTCTGTATATTTAATTAGTTTGCTGGCTGCCGTTGACCATTTCATCATTCCTATTGGTCAGAAATTGCAGTTGACTGGCTGCCACTAAGGTAATCACATCTGTAATAAGATATGCGTGACACAAAAAATTTCAATAGAGTGGCTTCTACTGTATATTCACTATACTGTGGCTGAGCTAAGCTTTACTCGTGAAAGTTGGTGTAAGCAGGTTCCTCCAGTGTTCGGCGGCATTTTTGAGCGCTTTCCGGCAAGCGTGTCATATTTTTCAGATATTTATCATGTTGAATAATGTTGGTCACGAATGAATGTTTCCTTCAAGTGAGCGCGCATCAAAAGCTATCGCCTCAGCAAATGTAACTTTACGCATGCGCAAAGTAACTCATTTTATACTTTAGACGAAGATGGCGTCACAAAACGTGATAGCTGATATAATGTTAGAAGACCAAATTCATTCATCGAAAGCGGTTTAATCCAATCTACGATACTTCCGAAACTGCTCAGCATCTTTAGCATCTAGCTCACGGACAATATTTGTAGCTCCCTGTGTAGGCCGTCCAGAAATCCCACGCTTTGTTCATGTAGTTCATTTAGCTGCTATCAAACGCCTTCGCCAAACGCAAAAATGGCAAAAGCAACATTTCTTTGTCTTCTACACCTTTTGACGAATCAAACATACCATAAGCAGCAGCCGTTTTGCTTGAATAGCAAATATTACCGTAGACAGAGCATGCGTAAAGCTTACATTTGCTGAAGCGATAGCTTTTCATGCGCGCGCACTTGGAAGAAACATTCATTCCTGACCGAAATTATTCAACATGTTGAATATCTGGTAATTATGACACGGGTGCCGTAAAGCGCTCAAGCTTTCATTCGATTTGCATTTTATCTAACACAGACATTTGTTTTAATCGATCGTTGTTTTCCAACTTTATACATAACATTCTTCGTCTGCAGATGGCTTGTCTTCTGGTTTTAGTGCGGCATCTTTGATTTCATCCAAGTCCACTCCGAGTAGCAAGAAATGTCGGTCAACTTCGTAGAAATGCCCGGCTGGACTTCTACAGTAGAAAAACACAGGACTGCAGTTTATGCGTTTATTTTTCCGATATCTTAAATATCTCTCGAGATAATTTGATGCGAACGGTAATGAACTGTAACACGAGTAAGACTGAGAATGACCATAACAGGCTTGCAAACAAAAAATCTTCCGATTGTAGAATGGAATATGGCAAATCTATGGTTGTTTTCCGTTTACAAAGAAAGCAGAGAATTATCAATAAAGCATTCGACATGATGTTGAAATGTGGCAGGTGTACAAACAGCTTGGATATATTCAATAATCAAAAGCAAAAGGGAAAAGGATGATTTGTCAAAAATTTCTCAAATCTTTGGAGTGAAGTGAAACATCATCTGTATTTCATTGAATAAATTTGACAAATTTCATTGCATAAAGTGTTACTTAAATAATTGAATTCGACTATTTGCCAATATCAACTAGCTTTCATACTGAAAACATTTACGAAAAAATAAAAACCGTTCAGGTACAAAACGATGTTTTCCATTTGTTTCAACATAAAAAGCTACTATTCGTGCATTCCAAAATCAATAAAAAACATGATAACAGTTACAAGGTTAGTGGCGGTGGATACTGAAACGTCAAAAATTGACTTTATTTGTTATTTGCAAAATTCAACTACATTTAAATGTCCACAACAAACACTTATCATAACATCAGACTGTTTCTTGTAGCAAGATACATTGATGATTGGATGCTGGATAGATCATATGACTGGAGTTACCCAATTTTTAACTCCTCGCTGTATTCTGCGATGAGGTAAATCTCCAACGCTCAAAAACCTAAATATTTTTGAGTCGCAGCCACATACAATTTTAATTCATTTAACAACATGAATGTCATGTATTGCAAGGGACACCTTGCCACTACATGACTGTACATTCGAATTAGTAATATTTTCAGTCCCATTATAAATATTTTAAGTAATCATATCCATTTGCGGAGATTAAAATTTTTCACAGTATATATTACATAATTAATTATAAGACTTCAGTATCGAGTGAGAAAGTGTTTAAATAAAAAGTCATTAAATTTAAAAGCGAGACAATAAAACTTATGAGTAGATAGTGTAAACAAATCCTGAACAATTGCACGACGTTCTTAATTATTCTTGTGAACAGATTTCGTTTTCCAGTGACCTAATGACTTTGTGCACCAGAAGAGGAAGTTCAGGAAAACGTTGCAGGAAATACTTTTTATAATTGCCTTGCTTTACATATTGTGATAGATGCGGACGAGGCTTATTTTGCCAATGTTGGTCAACGTTTCGTATAAATCTTAAGCATCCTGCCCATGTAGACTCGTACTTTAGAGTTCTTATACTGTCGTTTACTTCAAAGTTGATCAAATCTTTGACGACTTCATCATCGATACGCTTCATCCATTCTGTGGAGCCATGCAACTGCTTATGAACATCTGAAGTGGGAGAATTTTGACTTTGTGAATGTTTCACCTCCAGTTGGTTCCCCATATCACACAGCATGCTAAATTTCTCTTCATCTGATTGTAGATAAGGGTGTTTTAACGCCTTTTTGGCCGATGGTCTGTCTTCCGGTTTTAGCTGTAGCATCCACGATAAAAGGTCTTTGAACGTGGCATCCTTGATTTCGTTCAAGCCAACTGGGTTTCCTTTCAAAATGTTGTCCAGTCTATGCCGTTCAATTCCAAAAGGATGTTTCCCCTTTGTTGCAACATAATAAGCCACCATTCCGGCATTCTATTTTCAATAAAAAATGGAGTTAATCTATTTGTTAGTTGCAAAAAATACAAGATCAGTTCGAAAAAAATCAGAATAATGTTGTCCAATTAAGAATCGTAGCCATAAATTTTTTGAGCAATCTAAATGAGAGACATACAATCGTAAAACCAATAAGGCAATATTAACAATTCATTATCATACATATACATGTTTTTATATTTTATACAGTACAACTTGTATTTCGCCACTATATGACTGTACAATGAAGGTAAACAAAAATTTTATTTAAAAGTTATAATGATATCAGTGGCAGTGATAATATCCCACCAAATAAAACATTCAAATGTTGTCTTTGGTAGGGACCTCTATTTCTACTTCAAGAACTTACCATAATGTCAGACTCTTTTTTGTAACGAACTTTATCAATTGATTCATCTGATGCGTCATATGACTCTGGAGCTATCCAACCTTTAGCTCCTCTTTGTATGCTTTGATGTGTCGAAGTTTCATTTAATAATTTTCGACTTATACCAAAGTCAGCGATTAAAAAATTTCCATCCACATCTCGAAGAACGTTTGATGGTCTTAAATCCCGATGAAGAATAGGACACGGACCACTGTGAAGGTTAACTAGACCATTTAAGATTTGAATAAGAACTTTAGGAACGACTTTTTGAAGATCTTGCAAAGAAGAAGATTTCACATAACTCTCTAACGATTCTTCACACAAATCTAATATCAAATACAAATAATCTGTGCCTGGTTCTTCTTCAAGATACCAATAATTCACAACATAATTTGAGCGCTTGGCATTCAACTCATTCAAAATATCTTTTTCTCGTTTGGCTAACTCCACACAGTTATCTCGAAGCAATCGTTTTACTGCTTTTCCGTAACCATCTTTTCCGAGCCCAAGGTAAACACGAGTTCCATCACTTCCTTTACCAAGCAAAAACTCTTCAGAACAAATAACCTTTACACCATTTACAAGTTTAACTTTTCTTGGATTTTCCTGCCCATATTCCTCCATCATTTTGAACTTTTGGTGATGCATTATTGATTTATCATAACATTTCCACGGTTGAGACAGCAATTCTTCAATTAAAAAGTAAAGTAGACTATTTAGAAAGGAATAAATCAATGTATCAAGAAGAAATTTAATTTTCTAATTATATGCACATCAAAAAAATGTGACTATTAGACAAGATTTGAAATACCTACACCTCTTTAGCAGTTAAGGTGAACTGACTTTTATATTTAGCTGCTAAATAATAACATAACAACATGTTTGCCTTTGCTTCAGTATATTTGTATTAACATCGTATTTCCCTGCTCCCAAACACACGGATGAGGGATATTTAGTTCAAAGGACGTTGAGGGATGTTTAGACTGAATGCTCCTCTTAAAAGTTATTAACACCTTGTTTCCACACTTAATTTACTCTCGTTAACTTTAGAAATTGTGTCAGCTTGCTTTTTGATTTTTCCACTGCTAAATAATTTTCAATTCTTGTGAATGGAAAAGTTGATGTCAGGACCTTTCCACTTTAAAGGCGAAAACATTGAGATTGAAAAATCAATGATGAAAGCATCTGTCGAGTTAAAAAGAGTTCGGAGAATTAATGAACCTAATGTTTTTAAGGTTACCTTCTGAAAAGCTTGAGTTTCTGACCAGACTTTCTGAGGAGTTGTAGCTTGGATCCATTTGAATGACAAAATGGTTAGAACTAAAAAATCCGTACCAATAAAAATGACTAATCAAAGACGGTATGATAATTGTATGGGATGTTTTAAAAGGTACATTATGCATGTAGATGTATACATGGCTAATTAAAATATACAATTTGAAATAATATACATCACTTCTGTCTTTGATGCAAATAGCTTTATAGAAATGTTCAGTCTTTAATTCAGGAAGAAATAATCTCATTAATGAAAAGTGCCATACATAAATTCAAGAAAAAAACTTGCGGTAGTTCTATTAAATTATTGGTTGAACTGCGTGTGTGTAAGTCAGTGAAATGAACTTCTATAAAGATGTGTGTGGAATGCATATACAAGAATTTTGTACTGTACGATGTAGTCAGCATTGACCAATAACGAAGCATCATAAAAATAATTAAGTTTAGTGTATCTTAATCATTTTGGCTTTGACAATTTTATTTTTTTGCTTTTTATCAAAGCGCTTGGACATTTAATCATCATTATGACAGAAAGAAAAGCAACTTGTTTTTACTTTGATAGGAAAACAATAATTTCTAAAAAATAAAATTTAAGATGTTAGATACAGGTATTAGCAACAACGATTAAATTTCAGCAAATTAAAAACAAGCTAAGCTCTTGAAAACTGCATTGCAATCTACTTATCTATATTTAATAACACTTGAGATAGTTGATTACGACATATGTATGATTCATATCGTATTCATATTGCAAATAAATTCGAGTGTGAGAGAACAAGTCATTTTAATATTCTCATCATTCTTCAATTTTCCGTTTTGTGTTTGCTTAGCATGGTGCATTTAATGAACCGGTAACTTTGAATATTTTCACTTTACAAAGATAAGTTATACGAAATTTTTATCGGCAATCTTTCAGTAATATTTATTTCAGTTATGATGTACTTAAGATTTACAGTTTTTTCCCTCTGAAACGTTAAACAGACGAAAAAATGCAAACGATAAACTTGAATATCGTATTTATTGAAATGCTGCATAGTAATCCATGTAATTTCAATTTTATAGAGTTTTCAAGCGATTACCAGTTTTCAACCAAATCATCATGAAGTACCAATGGAAATTTGTCAAGATCTAAATGATAAGCTCATGAAAATAATTTAAACAACGCCAACAGCAATCTTCCTATGAATTTTATTTTTATTGAAAATTTGCTTGCGTGTCCATTCCCGCCTACGTAGTTCAAGTCTCTTGACTCATGACTCATGAACAAAATAAATATTTAATATACACGCTAACAAAGTTGCTCAAATAATAAGAGCTTTAAAATGGTCTTGTTGTAACGCTATTTTATAAGAATAACGATATATTAGTGAGTAACAATCGAACACCCCAGCCCAATGGTATGGAATTGTTTTAGTACTTGCTGTCTGATTAATTTTTTTCTAAATTTTTCGCTATTTGTAAAAATCTATACCTTTAAAAATATAATCTTAGACAAGGAGAAATAAATAGAGACTAAAACTACATATAAATTCAAACTTGTGGCATTTAAGTCAAACGTTTGACGCAATGGAATTTGAACATTGTCATTACATATACAGAAAGAATTCGCAAATTTTATGGCAAAGCGTACCAGTGTTAAATCATAAAGAGAATACGATAAAATAAAACTTACAATAATTTCAGTGCTTGTTCCACTACTTAAAGTTTTGCTTCGTCTGATGAGAAGCAACTATCAAAATAATACGTATGACTTGTTTTGCATCGCGTATGTAAATAATCTTTTAACAATGGAAGCATTTCCAAAGATCACAGCTGGAAAAAACTATACTTTCCCTTAGGGAGGGGGTGGGTGGAGAGAAAATAAAATTTGTGAATAATGAATTTGAAAATCTTTTATTTAAATTTTATATGCGCATGCAATTGAGCATGTTTTCTATCGTAAAAATAAAATTTGTTTTTACAGATTATAAAATTAATGTATATGAATATCCCCCCAATTATTGTTCTGGCTACGTGCACGATCCTGTGCCAATAAATAATATACAAGTCTTACCAATCGCAACACGAATAGTGCATGAGTGTAAATAAGAAAATTAGTGAATTATTGTAGGCTGGTTGTAAAGAAAATATAAAGTCAAATTGGGTCTACAGCAGCTTGCTAGTGGCATTTGCTCCGTATGTTACAGTTACTACCAGTTTTTGTTCATGCAGAGAATATGAAAATGGAGTAGCCATTGTGGCATGTGGGTGATTAATCTGACCAGCGTTCTTGAAATGAAAATGGCTGTTTACTTGCATGTTTTATTGTGCGTGTTAAATTAACTAAATTCAAATTCTAATTATAGTCCAGTTGCCAAATGCCACTTTAAGACAGAACGTTGCTGTGAAGGACCCCAAGCAGGTTTTTGCACTTTTTGTATCTTTACAAAATATAAAATTCATAATTTTAAGAGTGTCAACTTGGCACTCTTGGTGAAAATCTAATTTACGAGCTCATATATTGGCTGACACATTCTATTTCTAGATTTCAGCCATCCAAACTGTCTCACCTCTACTTTTTAGCACATGTTTAAATAAATTATGAAAATAATACTTACTGATACAGGCATGCTATGTTGTAGAAATGTAGATACAAAATGAGTTACAAAGATTTTATAAACAAAGAGGTTAGGAATCTAAAATTTTATTATTTGGCTGTTATTGAACATTTTCACTGACTGAATAAAAAATGCTGCGAACGAGAGATTGTCGGGTTTTGTGGTGATTTTGGCAAAGGCCATATGAACATTTTCTAAATTACTGTAATTTAACCCGATAACAAAAACATATTTTAATATTGCATAAATGTACTCTTTCAGTCAAACCTGTTTTTATGACTTCTTTTTGCATTTATTTCCTGATCTTTCACCGTATTTTAAAAATAAGGTCATTGTTTTTGACATAGAACAGTCATATCCAGATTTTTAAAGTACAATGATATCTTATCACTCATATATGATGTAAAGACACACGAATCGTAATGGAACATTTATGGAATATTTTTGATTCTTTCCAAGACGCACAGCTTCATCTATCTTGACAAATTCTGGAGCATTTTTGCCAGTTACGATATTAAATAAACTCTTACAATGGCCTTCTGGATTTAGTGGATCAACACATAATTGCAGCTTTTCCCTCAATTTCTGTCGATTTTTTGCATCCGAAAATATACGTGCTGGCATTTCTTCGTTATGGGTAGCTACATCGTTTGATGATGCCTCTTCATCTTTCATTGCAGAAGCACATTTAATCAGATGGCTGCAATATGAAGACTGAATGCCCAACGAGATATTGCTGAAGAGTTTAAAGTTTTACCAATTTAGCCGCCTGGCCCATTACAATAACCCATAAACAATGTTTCGATAAACATATCCGACCAAACTCATTCCATAAACCAGGCTTATGGCGTATTACATGCTTCCCTTTCATAAATCTATCTCTAAGTTCTGCCGGGAGACGCTCCATTGAGCGCAAGTTATATAAACCATATCTTGCGTAGTTGAAATGCCCACCCGCAAAAAATTGGGCATCATAGCCTCTACTGCTCCAAGATGTAAAGGCCAGTCACCCTCTTTCTCTGCCCGAACAAACATCATCATGATGAACACTGGTTTAATGAAACTTTCTACCAAAATTTTGGTTGTCCTACTTTTCTCAGCCTTTTCTTCCATTACCAATGTCAAGTGCTCAAAGCACTAGATATCTTTAATAACATTTCGTAAAATTTCCTTAGCAAGCATTCGCAGAGTCCGGACATTCTGAGGAAATCGTTTACCAGAACGCTTACGGTCAACACCTGCAAAAGCCGCTTGAAGGATCTCTTTAAAACCCATATCAGACATAAGTGATCCAGAGCATCCAACAAAACCCACGAACATATGCATTCCTCAATGTCTCGGATGAATTTCTTGAACATATGCGGATACGCCAAAGGATGTTTACCATTACTCGATATAGTTGTTGATCAGAAGTAAAGCTGTGTAATCCTGGCCAGTTTTTGGGTCTGAGGTAAGTGAATGCCATCGACTATGGTGACGGGGATCCTTTCGCATAAAACATTTTTCACCGCAAAAAACACAGTCTTCCTGGAAAGAAAACGTTGTTCTTGAATTTGATTGTCGTGTACGTTTTACAACAAACGAGCAAGTTGTAGCATCAGTTTTTTCTTGACTCACGCTTTGAATCTTTAAATGACGCTTTATATGGGTCAGTGACAGTGGCGTGCGGTCATAAGCGTAGGCAAGCGCCGCTTGCCTAAGCATTTTACCGAACAAAAATTTTTTGGATCAATCTCTGAGCAAAATCAGTTTAAATTTTTCTTTTCTAAACAATGTCAATGTAATCTTTTGTCTAAATTGTCTTTACAGTTGAAATGCTTGCTATTTATAAGCGATTTACTGTCGTGGTTTTCGGTTTCACTTTGCTACACTTGTAAGATGAGTCAAGTGGATTAAATACACCTTAAAATTTCTTATTTATTAACCAAGGCAAGCGCGCTTGCCTTCGAGCTCAATTTGAACATTTGCGCATGCGTTAATCTAGATTTGGAGGCTTCTTATTCGAGGAATATCGAGAAAGGCAAGCGGCGCTTCTAAGGGCGCCGCTTGATAGCGATTGGTCAACAGTCTTGTACGCTCGCAATTTTAAACACATATCAGCGCACGAATAATATTCGTATATTCAACACATTGGACATCCGAATTATTCACGCCGTTAATGTTATCGTTTATTAAAAGATGACTGAGAGCGAAAGGTAATGTTCTGATTTCTAATTCAAAGTAGTAGGTGCTTTACTGGTTATTTTATTATTTTCTGCGCACAATGTGCGTAAACAAGCAGGGCCGCAGTCTGCAGAGATATCGAAATGCACGCAAACGTGTGTTGTGGTAAAGTATGACTAGCATTATGACCAAAACACTATGCTCTTGTCAGTCTTGTGTAGTTAAATTCGTAAATTAATGACTAAAAATAAAAGGTACAAGATACTAAATAATAAACACGACTCTCCGATATTCTGAAACGTACGAGTCAGTGCCAGACACATTTTGAAGAACGGGAGAACACGTTGCCATGACGTCATTATACCAAAATATAAACATTAAACAACGCCATGGCCTCAGTTTGTAACACACCGTGCCAATTTTGTGCGCGAAACTGGCTGTTCTTAATTGTTATAATCACGACTGCTACAATACATTTCGCGCCTATTGTCTTGCAATTTATGTATGTAGAAGATATTATCTGTAGCATGTAATACAAGATTATGATATTGACAAGAGCTTCCTTTTGCGTAGTAGTTTTGATATTTGTATCCGGTAGATATCATGTAACTGATGTAAGGTATAAATAAGATTGATGTTCCTATAAAATATATAGCATAGGAATTTTCATCCTTTTATGTTCTACTTCTACATTCGGTATTTTCACGTACACCACGACTCCAGCGCTTGCCTATTAAATTCGGTCACCGCACGCCACTGGTCAGTGATGTATACGATGATACACAAAACTTGCAACATTGTATTTGAATGTCAGGATTCCCTTCAAGGATTCTCTTTTTCTAACCATTCATGAATGGAATCTCCTCTAGTTTTTCCCGTGCCAATGATTTTTTTCACTCTTTCTTTACCTGCCTTTATTAACACTTTGCTTGTGCCTTCACATTAAAAAAAAAACATTCATCTATCTTCGAAAAGTTCCAAAGGGACTTCCAAATTTTAAATAACAGCACAAAACTTCCACATTAAATTATTTAATAATGTAGAAATAATTGTTGAATAATCCTCAAAACTTTTCCGTAGTTCTTGCAATAAACATGATTCCTTTACTAATGGTTTGCACTACTTCATGTAACGTTTGTAAATTTATTTTGTGACTTAAGCATAAGCCGTATGCAAAAATAACTATTTCTTGAAGTTTATGCCCAAATACTGATCATTTACCACAAAATAAATCTTCTATTGTTGCTGTATCTTGTGGCGTAACATTTCAAACAAAAAGCATTGTTTGCTTTTCAATATGGCGTCCATTTTTAATAGAAGTACGCAGCCAAAAGCTCCATATTTCATTTCCCTAAAGGGTGCTAAATTGGCACCCTGAAAATTACAAATCACCGTGTTACATAAATACAAAAACTCTAAAAATCTGTTTGGGGTCCTCCAAAACAAAGTTTAGCCTGTGGCAATTAGTTAAAAAGTAATTAGAAATTAACAGGAATCTAATCCAATAGACACCAGAAATATAAAACATAAAAATCATGTCTACCCGACATCAATTGACTAAATATGGTTAAAAAACTCAGCCCTACGTTAAAAACGATTACATGGTGGTAATTTTCGTTCCAGTGCTGAGTTCGACACATGGTGATATTAGAACGTTAAGGGGCTGTTTACATGATCCCAGTTAACCGGGTTTCAGTGAAGCGTGAAATGATTTCGAGGGATTGAAAGGCACCAAAACTTCAAGGTTAAATGTTTGTTAAATGCCGCAATTCATTCCTGTTGTAATTCTCAAATTAGGCCAAATTGACTGTTTTCATTTTAAATGTTTTGCGTAGTTATTAAATCAGAATATTGTGAAATTGCTTGAGAAGATTTATCTGATGACAAGTATTGAATCGTTTCCATTTGCCAAAATCATTTAACGCTTGGCTGAATCGCGGCTACCCGGGCTCCTGTTATCAGCCCCTAATTGGTGCTCCAATTTTAACCCGATTAGCTAAACAGGGTTGAAATTTCAGCACCGGGCTTGAACTCAGCACAGGGTTAAAAATTTGGCTTATAATCGCTCGTATGATATAACGAATGATTTGTATTAAGACTGAGCTGAAGTTTCAACTCACTTAACGGAGCTCAATTCAGCACAGGGTTGAAAATGCTCCATGGCTGCGCAACTGGCTGCTGTATATTTAATTAGTTTGCTGGCTGCCGTTGACCATTTCATCATTCCTATTGGTCAGAAATTGCAGTTGACTGGCCGCCACTATGGTAATCACATCTGTAATAAAATATGCGTGACACAAAAATTTCAATAGAGTGGCTTCTACTGTATATTCACTATACTGTGGCTGAGCTAAGCTTTACTCGTGAAAGTTGGTGTAAGCAGGTTCCTCCAGTGTTCGGCGGCATTTTTGAGCGCTTTCCGGTAGCGTGTCATATTTTTCAGATATTCATCATGTTGAATAATGTTGGTCACGAATGAATGTTTCCTCCAAGTGAGCGCGCATCAAAAGCTATCGCCTCACCAAATGTAACTTTACGCATGCGCAAAGTAACTCATTTTATACTTTAAAGGACACATGCTAGCTAGAAGACAACTTTATTTTATTGTAATGCCTATAGCGTGAAAATAAGACGTACCAAGTTTCAAAGTCGTCCGCGAAATATTTAAAAAGATATTTAGGGTTATAATCGGTAAAAACACGATATTAGATGACCATTGCTAAAACGCCGAGAGATTTTTTAAGTCTGGGAACTGGGAAAGAGTGACGTATTAGTTGACATAAACAAGCATCGTTCTTATATCATTCTACGACTTGCACGCAATTCTTGCACGGCTTTCGGTAGTTTGCTATTACTGTTTTTTATTTAACAAAAATTAATGGATTCTTCTTCTGAAGAAGCCGATTATGATATTGTCATCAATAACAATGAGGTACAACCTTACATGTTTGAGCCTTTGGCCAACGCGCAAGGTGGTCATAGTAATGAATACAATTCAATACAATTCTTCGTCATCGGAAAGCGAAGATAAATACATTGACAGAATTGGAAATGTTGAATGGTTAGTTGCATTTTATTGATGCTTCATTGTTTTTCCCAAAGTAGAAAGAATGTTTTTATCTTTTAGGTGCGAGTGTGGCTTTTGTGTGGTCATGAGTACAGGACGGGAAAGTATATGTTGCCAAGAGGTAAACAACACTGATCCTCTGATACATGGCGATCATATTTGCATCACACAAGAGGAAGAGTTTGCCACAGTATGTACAAACGAAGCTGTCTTAAAAACAGCTATGGTCGTGTACACACATGACATTGGACCTATGCCTGAGAGTGAAGAAAACGAGTAAATATTACCTTAGAAGTGTAATGACGTGTATGTCGACAAGTGTATAATGCCGATAAGTATCTTAGACAAAATTTTGTATCGTTCAGAGCATTACGCTACACGGCGTACCGACAGTGGCACGGCTTGGTGGACGGCTTGGTTGCATTGTCATTGTCGGATTCTTCATTTTCGCTTAACTCATTTGAACATTGAGAGTCTGATCCATTGTTGCTATTGCTCATCGTCGACGTGCTTTCTGTATCAGACCATACAGCGCTATCCTCAAAATGTTCAATTTCACATGACGTCGTCTGTGTGCTGTGATTTTTCTGTTGAAATGAACTCAACCTCCGTACCTTAGCATAAAATTATCGTATTGCTGGATTTTTCACAAAAATCAAAACGGCCGGAATGGAAAGTCTATACCTCTACTTATCATATTTGGCACTTTTGTTTGAGTGGTTCTTGACCTTACGTGTTTTTGCGGACGGATTGTTATATGGCTGCTTGGCATTTCACATTGCGCTTCTAAGGTACGTTAAGGAATTTTTTATGAGTTAAAATAACAAAGAAAAGATCAAACGACATTAGTCTGAATTAGTTACCACTGTATATGTTTGTGTTTCGCTGTCTACATATATTTTGACATCATTCATCTTAGACAAACTTCCTTTGAGGTAAAACGCACAAACATTTCGAGCCGATGTCGACACATCGTGGTCGTCGTCTACAAGAAAGTCGTCATGTTCTGCAAGAACGTCGTCAATAATCTAAAATTATAAAATTGTCTTCAATTTGGTAATGCTATATAGCTTAGTTTTTGATAAATGTAAAAAAATATTGCTAACTATAACTATAATATTCACCTCTTGCCTTCGTCTCTTCTCAAATGCAGTTCTAACATTTGTTGGCTGCTTCCTTTTAGATGCTACACTTGTGGGTTCCACAGAGTATTCAAAAATCGTGGGTACAGCATCCTTCTTAAGGCGAAGCCGTCCTGCTGTCCATCCTACTGATTGCATCGCTTCAAAATTTTGCACGAAGCACGAACTCTCGAAATGTTGCGAGCACAATTTTGAGCTCTTTGTTGGCTTCCAATTTTTGCGTCGGATTTTTTCAATCCAAATATCTCGCATGCGCTTGTTTTCTTTTGCTGCGTTTCGTGGTTCTTAGAAGAACCGTTTTTACAATTAAATGCGGCACAATAATCCATATTTTCAATGCTAAATTGTCGTGTTGTTAAGAAGTTACCAATATATTTTGAACGAAGCGCGCATTTGTCCGCGTTTAGCGAATGTCAACTATTACGTCACAACGACATCGGTAGCTGTCGCTAGCTCGTCGGGCATTTTCAATACGTTATCAGTAAAGCATCAACTTTAAACCTCCATATCTTCAAAAATATTTATCCTTTGAGTCTCAAACTTTGGTGAACTGTTAGTTGGAGCTATACCTTCATGTAAAGTACAAAAATAACAATCCGAATTTTATGTTGCATGTGTCCTTTAAACGAAGATGGCGTCACAAAACGTGATAGCTGATATAATGTTAGAAGACCAAATTCATTCATCGAAAGCGGCTTAATCCAATCTACGATACTTCCGAAACTGCTCAGCATCTTTAGCGTCCAGCTCACGGACAATATTTGTAGCTCCCTGTGTAGGCCGTCCAGAAATCCCACGCTTTGTTCATGTAGTTGATTTAGCTGCTATCAAATGCCTTCGCCAAACGCAAAAATGGTAAAAGCAACATTTCTTTGTCTTCTACACCTGTTGACGAATCAAACATACCATAAACAGCAGCCGTTTTGCTTGAATAGCAAATATTACCGTAGACAGAGCATGCGTGAAGCTTACATTTGCTGAAGCGATAGCTTTTCATGCGCGCGCACTTGGAAGAAACATTCATTCCTGACCGAAATTATTCAACATGTTGAATATCTGGTAATTATGACACGGGTGTCGGAAAGCGCTCAAACTTTCATTCATTTTACATTTTATCTAACACAGACATTTGTTTTAATCAATCGCCGTTTTCCAACTTTTTACATAACATTCTTCGTCTGCAGATGGCTTGTCTTCTGGTTTTAGTGTGGCATCTTTGATTTCATCCAAGTCCACTCCGAGTAGCAAGAAATGTCGGTCAACTTCGTAGAAATGCCCGGCTGGACTTCTACAGTAGAAAAACACAGGACTGCAGTTTATGCTTTTATTTTTCCGATATCTTAAATATCTGAGATAATTTGATGCAAACGGTAATGAACTGTAACACGAGTAGGACTGAGAATGACCATAACAGGCTTGCAAACGAAAAATCTTCCGATTGTAGAATGGAATATGGCAAATCTATGGTTGTTTTCCGTTTACAAAGAAAGCAGAGAATTATCAATAAAGCATTCGACATGATGTTGAAATGTGGCAGGTGTACAAACAGCTTGGATATATTCAATAATCAAAAGCAAAAGGGAAAAGATTTGTCAAAAATTTCTCAAATCTTTGGAGTGAAGTGAAACATCATTTGTATTTCATTGAATAAATTTGACAAATTTCATTGCATAAAGTGTTACTTAAATAATTGAATTCGACTATTTGCCAATATCAACTAGCTTTCATACTGAAAACATTTACGAAAAAATAAAAACCGTTCAGGTACAAAACGATGTTTTCCATTTGTTTCAACATAAAAAGCTACTATTCGTGCATTCCAAAATCAATAAAAAACATCATAACAGTTACAAGGTTAGTGGCGGTGGATACTGAAACGTCAAAAATTGACTTTATTTGTTATTTGCAGAGTTCAACTACATTTAAATGTCTACAACAAACACTTATCATAACATCAGACTGTTTCTTGTAGCAAGATACATTGATGATTGGATGCTGGATAGATCATATGACTGGAGTTACCCAATTTTTAACTCCTCGCTGTATTCTGCGATGAGGTAAATCTCCAACGCTCAAAAACCTAAATATTTTTGAGTCGCAGCCACATACAATTTTAATTCATTTAACAAGATGAATGCCATGAATTGCAAGGGATACCTTGTCACTACATGACTGTACATTCGAATTAGTAATATTTTCAGTCCCATTATAAATATTTTAAGTAATCATATCCATTTGCGGAGATTAAAATTTTTCACAGTATATATTACATAATTAATTATAAGACGTCAGTATCGAGTGAGAAAGTGTTTAAATAAAAAGTCATTAAATTTAAAAGCGAGACAATAAAACTTATGAGTAGATAGTGTAAACAACTCCTGAACAAATGCACGACGTTCTTCATTATTCTTGTGAACAGATTTCGTTTTCCAGTGACCTAATGACTTTGTGCACCAGAAGAGGAAGTTCAGGAAAACGTTGCAGGAAATACTTTTTATAATTGCCTTGCTTTACATATTGTGATAGATGCGGACGAGGCTTATTTTGCCAATGTTGGTCAACGTTTCGTATAAATCTTAAGCATCCTGCCCATGTAGACTCGTACTTTAGAGTTCTTATACTGTCGTTTACTTCAAAGTTGATCAAATCTTTGACGACTTCATCATCGATACGCTTCATCCATTCTGTGGAGCCATGCAACTGCTTATGAACATCTGAAGTGGGAGAATTTTGACTTTGTGAATGTTTCACCTCCAGTTGGTTCCCCATATCACACAGCATGCTAAATTTCTCTTCATCTGATTGTAGATAAGGGTGTTTTAACGCCTCATTGGCAGATGGCCTGTCTTCAGGTTTTAACTGTAGCATCCACGATAAAAGGTCTTTAAACGTGGCATCCTTGATTTCGTTCAAGCCAGCTGGGTTTCCTTTCAAAATGTTGTCCAGTCTATGCTGTTCAATTCCAAAAGGATATTTTCCCTTTGTTGCAACATAATAAGCTACCATTCCGGCATTCTATTTTCAAAAAAAATTGTCATAAACAGTCAGTGTTGGATACTAAAACCTTAAAGATTAAATTTATTTGCGATTTGCAGAACTCAACAATAAATGTGAAGCTTAAAAAAATCTAAAAAATGTTCTCTAAATAGAATTGGAGCCATATATATGTATTAAAAGCAATCTAAATAAGGAACATACAATTGTAACAGTAACACGATTAACAAAAATTAATTTATTTTTATTTAAATAATTTTCACTACAAAATAGCAATATTTAAATAAATGCAAATAAAACATTGAGCTGTAGTTGGACCTCTAGTTCTACTTCAAGAACTTACCATAATGTCAGACTCTTTTTTGTAACGAACTTTATTAATTGTATCATCTGATGCGTTATATGACTCTGGAGCTATCCAATTTTTAGCTCCTCTCTGTATGCTTTGATGTGTCAAAGTTTCATTAGATAACATATGACTTATTCCAAAGTCAGCAATTAAAAAATTTCCTTGTACATCTCGAAGAACGTTTGTTGGTCTTAAATCCCTATGAAGTATAGGACACGGACCACTGTGAAGATCAGCTAAACCTTTTAAAATCTGCATAAGAATTGTAGGAACGACTTTTTGAAGATCTTGCAGAGAAGAAGATTTCACATAACTCTCTAACGATTCTTCACACAAATCTAATATCATGTACAAATACTCTTCGTCAAAGTTCTCTTCTAAATGGCAAAAATTCACAACATAATTTGAACGCCTTGCATTCAACTCATTAAAATTTCTTTTTCTCGATTTGCAAAGTCTTTGCCGCTATCTTTGTGTATTCGCTTTACTGCTTTTCCATAACCATTGTTTCCCAGGGCAAGGTAAACACGGGTTCCATCACTTCCTTGCCAAGCAAAACTCCTTCATGAAAATTACACGCAATTCACTGAGCAGTGTAACTTTTTCTGGATGTTTGCGTCCATATTCCTCCATCCTTTTAAACCTTTTCTGATGTATTATTGATTTATCAAAACATTTCCATGGTTGGCGCAAAAATTCTTGATCTTAAAGGAGAAGTACATATCAGGAAAGATTAAAGGACTGAAATTCATGCCATAAATTCATCAATTCACATTTTTATTTGTTTTAGCAATATCACATGACATATAACATTGCTGTGTTTTTCTCTGGATAAGAAAAGACGGATGTTTTTACTTTGATATGGAAATAACAATTACTCCGGTAGAAATGAGTTGGTCATCATACAATTCACGCGCAATAATCGACGTTCTACGATTAGTTCATTGCATGACCATACCAACCTCTAACTCAATAAAGCCAGTGGCGGATCTAGGGTACGTCAAAATAAATTGATGCAGCTCATGCTTGGATATGTTTCCATTTCCAAATACATAGAGGCAAGTCCATTGATAAAGTTTAATTTTTTTGAAATTCAAATTCAATAGTTTTGGTTTGAATATATTTTGAATTTAAAATTGAGCATCTATAATTTATTTTGACAAACGCTAGATCTGCTACATTAGATTGAGCAATTCTGCAAAGGATAAAACACACATCCTTTTCACATTAACATAAAACATGGAATTTAGTATCTGAATGTCCTGACCAAAAATCCTCTTAAAATAAATTGAATTTACTCAATGATCTCTACAAATGTTTACAAAGCAATGATCCCTTCAATAACTGACTTTGTTTTAACTGGGAACAATAAGAAATAGTTAAGATGGTTTCTTACGACATGCTGCACTTTACGTTCAGATACGGACGTTTTTATGCATGCAATGAAAAGAATTTTTCATTCCTAATTAATAGTCATTACACATTTAATATACACGACAACTTTTTTGAAAATAGACATGTTTCGACATCTCATGATGCCATCTTCATTATGAATGAAATAATAGGTGATACAGGGTTTATATAAAAGTAATATGATACATAAATTAGAACAATAAAAAGGAAATAAGATAATATAATGAGGAGCGTCCGAGCGTATTATAAACTAAATATTGTATTGAATTTAAAACTTGAACATTGAGGTCATAGTTTTGTTAATGTGGAGTGCTTCTTTGATAGTCATTAAAAATTTACACAGCATTTTCCAACTCAAGCAATTGAGAGTTGTAAAAAATTAATCATAATCCTTTACGAAACTGAAAATAATTCGTTATACCAACCTTCCAAACGTTGTTTTCCCTCTTCTGCATTATGAAAAATAAATAATAAAATAATATTAAAATATTATATAGTTATAGTGACAAGAAACTAGAGCATTTTTTGTTTCATTTATAACACAACAAAACAATTTAATGGGCTCTTTATCATGAACTATGAACAATGTTAATGTATGGGCTTCTTTTAAGATTTGGTCGCAGCATAATACCACACCGACTATAAATATAAGAAAATATAAAAATTACAGACCCACAAATTACAATTTTCCATTATAAAAAGTATTTTTGATTGGTTTTTCTCTTCAACAATAACATGTTTTTTTTCAGTATTCATTACAAGGAAAATAACCATGACTCAAGATATTGGTCGTCACATGAGTAATGATGTAATATGTGGAAACAAATGAAAGTATTTTTATATATAGCTATCATTATATTTTTAAGGTTATTGTAGACAAGCATATAGTTTGTACAATCAATTTTAAAAACAAAAATTTTATTATCGTCGTGTGCAACACAGTGAAAGTTGAGAACGCTTTGATTTATTAAGAATGTTGCAGGTTTATAAACACGGATAGATAAACAAAAATTCACAAAGGTATCCTTCTTCCACACTCTTTTCTGCATTAAGACAACCATCATTAATCCCTAGCACAAAGTTTATATTTATGTTTTGCATTCGATTCCCAGTTGAGTATCTCACCGTCGTAAAATGGCAACATGATAGGAATGAGTAAATCTTTTAAAATTTATTTTTTTGCACCATTATAACGGAAGTAGTTAAAAATAGCAATCTGTCAAAACGCTGACATTTTAAAAACAACGCTTGTTATTTTTTAAACGACTCAAACCAATATCTAAGTCACAAAGAGCATTTTCATAAAAAAACCTTTTTTGGCATGCATTTTAGTTTTTTGCTGCCCACATCGGCTTTGCTTATATTTAACGATCTTATGCAAATATTCTAGTGTAACGATCTTATGTAAATATGCAGGACAGTTTCCTTTAAATGCGGAAACATTGAGATTGAAAAATCAAAGATGAAAGCATCTGTCGAGGTGAAAAGAGTTCGGAGAATTAAAGAACCTAATGTTTTTAAGGTTACCTTCTGAAAAGCTTGTGTTCATCGAAAAGTGTTCATCCAAATTATCATCTGCATCTAAACACATGATAAAGAAAACAAAAGTGTATATCACATGTTACACTACCCAGCTTTTGTAAAATATGAATAAAAAGTCGGTCCACAAACAAAAAAAAAAGACCAAAATCTCGGTCTGACTAAAATTTTGGGATATTTGATACAATAAAGCCACAATAAAGCTGGTCCCAGGACGTAGAACACTCCTTCTTAAACCTTTCAGCGAGCCATAATTTATTTAGAATTTGCATTTACGTAACCATTTATTGTATGTTATTCGGTCTTGCAAATATTACATGCATGGTTATGCTAATACCGTGTGTTTGCAAAGAGGGAGTTGAACCAGTGAGTTGAACTACCTTACTTTGTGGTTTCTAATCTTTTGGGTGGAAAAATAACAACGTGGGTTTTATTGCAAGTTTTTCCGTAAAACTAATAATTTACTTTTTCATAACACATCATAAATATCTCTTGAAACAGTTATTTGTCACAAAAAAAGTTAAAGGAAACGAATAACTTAGATCCAACATCAGGGCATCTAGCTACCACATAAACGCTACATGAAACTATGTATTCGTTAACATAATTATTGGCTTTTACTTGCTTCCAATAATCAATTAATATGTTTTAAAAGGATGTTTTCAACAATATTCTATTTAAGTTCATTTATGTACGTGTAACGTATACATGTAACTGACACGTTGATCATGATGGTTTTCACAATTCACTTTTAGCATCATAGCCAGTTTTCACTTGCTATACATATTGATCAATTTTCTATGTTTACAAAGTTTAAAATTTTAACATGATTATGATCCACAACATTTGCATTATTTTTGAATTAAAAGATTTTTAGTTGGCTACATATAACGATACCTTTCAAAATTAATTTATCAGGTTATAAATTATTGTTTGTGTTTAGCGTTGAAAAACATGGAAATGTTTGGGCAAATGTTGGCTAACAAAAATTTTTTGCTTACCAGGTTTTGATGTGGAAGGCGAAACACCAGTGATGACTTCACTGTTATTATCATCTAATAGATAAATCAAACTAATTTCTTGCAATGCAATTAAATAACATTACAGTATGATGAAAAATTTCTAAAACTCTCTTATCTGACCCTTTACAAACGTATGAATGATACGCATGATATAAACGACTCTTATGTTTGTGTTTGACTTTTAAAGGGAAGGTAAGATGCTTGTCCAAATGTTTGCTAACAAAATACAATTTCTTACCTAGTACTGCTGTAGAAGGAGTTTTGTCAATGTCGTCATAGTCGTTGTCACTCATGGGAAATGGCAAAGATATCTTTTCGTAAGAAGCTGGAAATTAATGCATTACATTACACGGTTAATATATCATAGCAAGATAAAAGGAATACTTGCTGAGTTATTTCACTCTTCATTACATCTCATATTTTGACCGTTAACAAAAGTATGTGAATAAGGAAGATATAAACGAATCTCAATGGTTACATTGCATTCTTGTTTGTACTTAACATTTCAAAAGGCAATAAAGATTACATTTGAGTAAAGCCAGCCTGTGCAAACACCGTAAGTGTCTGTTTTGAACATACTAACCTTCGCTAAGTCGCTTAATTTCTGCAAGTAGAAAAATAAAAATTATTTTGCAATTGCATAAGACACGTCAAGTTGACTGTTTTAACTATATTGTTAAAAAACTGAGACTATATAGACATAAAAAGCTTCCTAAAATTAATTGATATTTTTCCAATTTAATAAAAACAAAAATTCAGAAGGTTATCACAAAGTTAAAATTGCAAAATTTAAATACTTAAGAGCTGTTTATATGATCCAAGCTAACCAGGATTCAGTGATTTGTCTAGGTTTCCCGTCTAAGGATGGTGATAGCTACTATGATATCTTAATTAACAAAAGTCTGCATAAATACCGTTATCTTTTTTCATCGATGGATCAGTTTCAGATTCTTTTAATGTTGGCTCTTGAAAATTATTGGAACCTAGTTTTGAAACGATTAAACGATATTTAGCAGAGTAATATAAATTAGAATCAAAGATTTTATGTTGAGTAGATAATTACTCATTCTATGAACAATTGTTGGACAAAACCTTTCAAAGAAAACTGGGAAAGATACAAAAAATTCACTTCATACACCATAATATTGTATTCCAGTTGCATTATTGTAAAATAATTCGTAATGAAAATAATATTTAATTTTGCAAAAAGAATGTTGTTTACCTAAATATTTATTGAACCTTACTTTGTTAAGGGAAAAAATTAACTTCTTACTTGTAAAACTACCCATCATTTATGTATTATATACAATCTTTCATATGTAGTATATAGCTGTGCACGATCATACTAACCAATGAAAACTTCAAAAAGAAGGTATACTAAACCTAGAAAAAAATAAAAAGTATTTTTATAATTACATAAGACAGGTCAAGTCGACGTACATGCAGTACCCTGGGCATGCACTATGTATTTCATTGTTTACAGGAAAAGAAACAAAGTTGCAATAAATAACATGTAACATCAATTACAATTATGGAGATTATTGTTCATGTGATTAAATTAAAAAAAGGAAATTCGTTATTATGCATGAAATGTATAAGCTTATACACTTTGCTAAAGAAAGAATTTCTAATATCTTTATTTTTCTGAATATTTTTGTCATTTATGCTTTATATATGAAGATTCATCAACAGTAAATTGCATGACCTCCAACAAAATATTATTTCAACATTTAAGAAATAAAAGGTTAACTAAGCACGAAATATATTGTATTCCAGTTGCATTAATGTAAATTAATTTGTAATAAAAATAATATTTAATTTTGCAAAAACAATGTTGGTAATGTGAATGTTTTATTGAACCTTACCTTATTAAGGGGGAAAAATAACTTTTTACTAATAAAACTATTCTTTACTAATACATTGTTATATTGCCGTACTTTCTAATGTTGCCAATTACATTTCCAATTATGGAATATTCGATATGAACTTGTCAACTTGAGTTGACAAATTGTGTACTTGAGTACTGAAGTTGTGTACTTAACTACTGAAGTTGTGAACTAAAGTTGCGAAGTACTAGCAAATGCGAAAGGTCTTTGTACCCTGTAGACACTTGGCAATGAATCCGTTCTGTAAGCAAGGAAAAGCTTTAGCAATTCTAATCCGTTTGACGGCCCTCTAAGAGTGTTATAATGTGATACGCCGTTCACATTATGTAATAAATTTACAGTAAATGTAGCACTAGAAGCGTATCGTTGGATTTCAAATGCAGGAGTACCCTGCATACTGTGCCCTCGACGTCTGTTGCCACTCGTAACAACTACAGGCGACTCATCAAAGAACTGCATGCGGTTGCAATCAATGAAATATTTGCTACGTAAATTTCTAACTTCTCCATAACGTCCGGCCGTTCTGTCTCTCGAGGAATTTGACTTACTATCTTGTAAGAGTAACCAAGATCTTTATTCAAAATTCTACTAATGGATGACCGGCTAGGTATGTTTGCTGGAAGGCAAACTTTGATATTTTCTAGGTGTTGCTGAATCTCTTTTGCGTAAATAGATGGTTTATTAATTTTTTAGATATTCAGTGTATGCAATAACGTCATCTGTACGCGTGGTTCGAACATCACGTTCGCTCCGGCGAGGTGCAATAGAACCAGTGTCTACCCAGAGATCTATTATATTTGATATAGTCTTATACGGTAGGTTTAGTTGCTTCGAAATGTTTGTCAAACGCTCGTTATTTAACCACATTTCAAGTATTTCATTTCTTACTTCTATTGGTAAAGCTTTTCCTTGCTTACTGAACGGATTCATTGCCAAATGTCTACAGGGTACAAAGACCTTTCGCGTTTGCTAGTACTTCGCAACTTTAGTTCACAACTTCAGTACTCAAGTACACAACTTGTGAACTTAAGTTCACAAGGTCATATCGAATATTTCGTATTTGGAAATGTAACTGGCAACATTAGAAAGTAACTTGGCAACCGCCATTTGAAAAGTTAACTGAAATCGACAATATCTAAGCACGAAATATATTGTATTCCAGTTGCATTATTGTAAAATAATTTGTAATGAAAATAATATTTAATTTTGCAAAAAGAATGTTGTTTACCTAAATATTTATTGAACCTTACTTTGTTAAGGAAAAAAATTAACATTGTAGCGAGAGACTTGCCGAGCAGAAATCGAATTCGTGTGATAAAAATTAATGCCCAACATAAAGTTCTGATTAGAGCCATAGAAATAGACCAGAAAAATTGTAAAATTAAATTTATTGTGACGTTTCGTCTTTACTCAAGACATCTTCAGACAAATAATAAATGGGATGTGAAGACAAGATATTATATTTACAAAAAGTGTTAAATTACTACTAAAGGAAGCGGTGTCGAATGATTGAATGAAAGAAATGCTAAAGGAAGCGGTGTCAAATGGATACATGATAAGGAAGTTAGGAAGTGAAATAAAGAGAAATTAAAAGAGGTTAAGTGGAATGGAGTTTCCTTGCACATTAAGTGAAGGCTTGTGTTTATTGATTAGAAGGCTTTCATGAATGGAGAGTTCATAAGTATCGTTGGAAGAGGAGATTATTTTAAAGTCGTCTAAGTTGGGTGTGTGTCCAGTTGTGTTAATGTGAGAAAGAATGCTTGATGATGCAGGGTGGGAAACTTGGTTGCCTGTAAGGGGGGATATTCCCAAGTGCTCGAAAATCTGGTGTGTAGATGACGTGTGGTTTGACCCACATACAAGGCGTTGCAGCTTCGACACTTGAATAAATATACTACACCAGATCTCAGAGGCGTGGGAATTTTGTCCTTAAAGGGGAAGAAAGAAGAGATACGTTGAGAAGGGCGGAAAACAAATTTAATGGATATATGTGGGAAGGCTGCAACACAAAGGCTATTGATTTGTGTGCGAATTTGAAGGGAGTGTATGCCGGTGAAAGGAAGACAGAAATAGATGGGCATTTTGTGAGCAGTCAAGACAGGTGGTTTAGGGGCAAAGGTGTTGTTAAGGAAGCGACGTGTGATTTGGTCAATTATACGTGAAGGAAAACCGTTTTTGGTGAGTGACTTTCTGGTAAATTCGAGTTGTGTATGAAAATTTTCGTAAGTAGAGCAAAGATTGAAGATGCGGTGAAGTAAGCAGGAGACTAATGAAAGTTTGTAAGTAAGTGGGATGAAGCTGTGGAAGTTAGTGAAAAGGCCAGTGAAAGTAGGTTTGCGGTGGACGGAAGTGGTGAATTTTCCATTAGTACGAGAGATATCAATGTCAAGAAATGAGAGCTTTCTGTTTTGTTCGACTTCAGCTGTGAATGTGATGTTAGGGTGTTGTCGGTTCAGATATTCAAGAAAGAGAGGGACGTGATCGGAGGAATGAAATAGTAAAAAACAGTCGTCAACGTAGCGTCGGTAAAGTAGTGGTTTGAATGAAGAAGGACATTTATTGAGCCAGGATTTTTCGTGAAAGGACATGAATATATCAGCAAAGAGAGGGCCCAATGGACTGCCCATAGCCACACCATCAATTTGCTGGTACATTTCCCGTTAAAGATAAAGTGACAGTTCTTAACAGCTAGAGAGAGTAGTTTTTCAAATTCTGTTGCAGTGAGTCCGTTGAAGTACTGGTGGTTGTTAAAAATGTTTTTGGATATTATGTGGATGGTTTCGTCGACAGGTATGTTAGTAAATAGGGATACGACATCAAAACTAGCAAGGACAACATTACTGGAGTTGATATCGCAGTTTAGGATTTCTTCAACAAACGAAAAAGAGTCTTTGATGATGAGGTTGCTTATAGTGAAGGGTTTTAGGAGTGGGATGAAAAACTTTGCTAGTTTATCAATAGGTATATTATATGGCCTTCCTAAAATACATAAATGTAACATCCCTCTCAGATCCATTCTTTCCTCCATTAATCACTATTCGTATAAACTAGCAAAGTTTTTCATCCCACTCCTAAAACCCTTCACTATAAGCAACCTCATCATCAAAGACTCTTTTTCGTTTGTTGAAGAAATCCTAAACTGCGATATCAACTCCAGTAATGTTGTCCTTGCTAGTTTTGATGTCGTATCCCTATTTACTAACATACCTGTCGACGAAACCATCCACATAATATCCAAAAACATTTTTAACAACCACCAGTACTTCAACGGACTCACTGCAACAGAATTTGAAAAACTACTCTCTCTAGCTGTTAAGAACTGTCACTTTATCTTTAACGGGAAATGTACCAGCAAATTGATGGTGTGGCTATGGGCAGTCCATTGGGCCCTCTCTTTGCTGATATATTCATGTCCTTTCACGAAAAATCCTGGCTCAATAAATGTCCTTCTTCATTCAAACCACTACTTTACCGACGCTACGTTGACGACTGTTTTTTACTATTTCATTCCTCCGATCACGTCCCTCTCTTTCTTGAATATCTGAACCGACAACACCCTAACATCACATTCACAGCTGAAGTCGAACAAAACAGAAAGCTCTCATTTCTTGACATTGATATCTCTCGTACTAATGGAAAATTCACCACTTCCGTCTACCGCAAACCTACTTTCACTGGCCTTTTCACTAACTTCCACAGCTTTATCCCACTTACTTACAAACTTTCATTAGTCTCCTGCTTACTTCACCGCATCTTCAATCTTTGCTCTACTTACGAAAATTTTCATACACAACTCGAATTTACCAGAAAGTCACTCACCAAAAACGGTTTTCCTTCACGTATAATTGACCAAATCACACGTCGCTTCCTTAACAACACCTTTGCCCCTAAACCACCTGTCTTGACTGCTCACAAAATGCCCATCTATTTCTGTCTTCCTTTCACCGGCATACACTCCCTTCAAATTCGCACACAAATCAATAGCCTTTGTGTTGCAGCCTTCCCACATATATCCATTAAATTTGTTTTCCGCCCTTCTCAACGTATCTCTTCTTTCTTCCCCTTTAAGGACAAAATTCCCACGCCTCTGAGATCTGGTGTAGTATATTTATTCAAGTGTCGAAGCTGCAACGCCTTGTATGTGGGTCAAACCACACGTCATCTACACACCAGATTTTCGGAGCACTTGGGAATATCCCCCCTTACAGGCAACCAAGTTTCCCACCCTGCATCATCAAGCATTCTTTCTCACATTAACACAACTGGACACACACCCAACTTAGACGACTTTAAAATAATCTCCTCTTCCAACGATACTTATGAACTCTCCATTCATGAAAGCCTTCTAATGAATAAACACAAGCCTTCACTTAATGTGCAAGGAAACTCCATTCCACTTAACCTCTTTTAATTTCTCTTTATTTCACTTCCTAACTTCCTTATCATGTATCCATTTGACACCGCTTCCTTTAGCATTTCTTTCATTCAATCATTCGACACCGCTTCCTTTAGTAGTAATTTAACACTTTTTGTAAATATAATATCTTGTCTTCACATCCCATTTATTATTTGTCTGAAGATGTCTTGAGTAAAGACGAAACGTCACAATAAATTTAATTTTACAATTTTTCTGGTCTATTTCTATGGCTCTAATCAGAACTTTATGTTGGGCATTAATTTTTATCACACGAAAAAAAATTAACTTCTTACTTGTAAAACTACACATCATTTATGTATTATATATAATCTTTCTTATGTAGTATATAGCTGTGCACGATCATACTAACCAATGAAAACTCCCAAAAGAAGGTATACTAAACCTAGAAAAAAATAAAAAGTATTTTTATAATTACGTAAGACAGGTCAAGTCGACGTACATGCAGTACCCTGGGCATGCACTATGTATTTCATTGTTTACAGGAAAAGAAACAAAGTTGCAATAAATAACATGTAACATCAATTACAATTATGGAGATTATTGTTCATGTGATTAAATTAAAAAGGAAATTCGTTATTATGCATGAAATGTATAATGCACTTTGCTAAAGAAAGAATTTCTAATATCTTTATTTTCTGAATATTTTTGTCATTTATGCTTTATATATGAAGATTCATCAACAGTAAATTGCATGACCTCCAACAAAATGTTATTTCAACATTTACGAAATAAAAGGTTAACTAAGCACAAAATATATTGTATTCCAGTTGCATTAATGTAAATTAATTTGTAATAAAAATAATATTTAATTTTGCAAAAAGAATGTTGGTAATGTGAATGTTTTATTGAACCTTACCATATTAAGGGGGGAAAATAACTTTTTACTAATAAAACCATTCTTCACTAATACATTGTTATATTGCCGTACTTTCCAATGTTGCCAATTACACTTCCAAATATGGAATATTCCATATGAACTTGTCAACTTGAGTTGACAAGTTGTGTACTTGAGTACTGAAGTTGTGTACTAAAGTACTGAAGTTGTGAACTAAAGTTGCGAAGTACTAGCAAACGCGAAAGATCTTTGTACCCTGTAGACACTTGGCAATGAATCCGTTCAGTAAGCAAGGAAAAGCTTTAGCAATTCTAATCCGTTTGACGGCCCTCTAAGAGTGTTACAATGTGATACGCCGTTCACATTATGTAATAAATTTACAGTAAATGTAGCACTTGAAGCGTATCGTTGGATTTCAAATGCAGGAGTACCCTGCATACTGTGCCCTCAACGTCTGTTGCCAATCGTAACAACTACAGACGACTCATAAAAGAAATGTATACGGTTGCAATCAATCAATGAAATATTTGCTATTTAAGCTTCTAACTTCTCCATAACGCCCGGCCGTTCTGTCTCACGTGTAATTTGACTTATTATCTTGTAAATGTAACCAAGATCTTTATTCAAAATTCTACTAATAGATGACCTGCTAGGTATGTTTGCAAGAAGGCAAACTTTGCTATTTTCTAGATGTTGCTAAGTCTCTTTTGCGTAAATAGATGGTTTATTAATTTTTAGATATTCAGTGTATGCAATAAAGTCATCTGTACGCGTGGCTCGAACATCACGTTCGCTCTGGTGAGGTGCAATAGAACCAGTGTCTACCCATAGATCTATTGTATTTGATATAGTCTTATACGGTAGGTTTAGTGGTTTCGAAATGTTTGTCAAACACTCGTTATTTAACCACATTTCAAGTATTTCATTTCTTACTTCTACTGGTAAAGCTTTTCCTTGCTTACTGAACGGATTCATTGCCAAATGTCTACAGGGTACAAAGACCTTTCGCGTTTGCTAGTACTTCGCAACTTTAGTTCACAACTTCAGTACTCAAGTACACAACTTGTGAACTTAAGTTCACAAGTTCATATCGAATATTTCGTATTTGGAAATGTAACTGGCAACATTAGAAAGTAACTTGGCAACCGCCATTTGAAAAGTTAACTGAAATCGACAATATCTAAGCACGAAATATATTGTATTCCAGTTGCATTAATGTAAATTAATTTGTAATGAAAATATTTAACTTTGCAAAAGAATGTTGTTTACCTAAATATTCATTGAACCTTACTTTGTTAAGGAAAAAAATTAACTTCTTACTTGTAAAACTACCCATCATTTATGTATTATATACAATCTTTCATAAGTAATATATAGCTGTGCACGATCATACTAACCAATGCAACATACATCATAAAGGCTTCTTAGAACTAGAAAAATAAAAGTATTTTTATAATTACATAAGACAGGTCAAGTCGACGTGCATGCAATACCCTGGGCATGCACTATGTATTTCATTGTTTACAGGAAAAGAAACAAAGTTGCATAAAATAACATATAACAATTACAATTATGGAGATTATTGCTCATGCAATTAAATTAAAAAAAGAAAATTCGTGATTATACATGAAATGCATGAGCTTATGCACTTTGCTAAAGAAAGAATTTCTAATATCTTTATTTTTCTGAATATTTTGTCATTTATGCTTTATATATGAAGATTCATCAACAGTAAATTGCATGACCTCCAACAAAATATTAATTCAACATTTACGAAATAAAAGGTTAACTAAGCACGAAATATATTGTATTCCAGTGCATTAATGTAAATTAATTTGTAATGAAAAAATATTTAATTTTGCAAAAATGTTGGTAATGTGAATGTTTTATTAAACCTTACATTATTAAGGGAAAAATAACTTTTACTAATAAAACTATTCTTTACTAATACATTGTTATATTGCCGTACATGAATAACCATACACACCATCCGCATACCAAAGTACTGCAAATAAAGAAAAACAAATTTTATTTTCACATTAACACAAGAAAGGCCAAATTGACTATCTTAAAGTCAAAAAACTTATAACTGTATAGACACATAAAAACTTCATAAAATTAATTAACTTTCTTCAATTTACTAAAAACAAAGACACATAAACAACAATAAACATTATCAATACTAATAAATAGTATGGCCCTACGATCATCAAACTGTCCTCAGGTTACTGTGGATTTCAGTTAACTTTTCAAATGGCGGTTGCCAAGTAACTTTCTAATGTTGCAAGTTATATTTCCAAATATGGAATATTCGATATGAAATTGTAAACTTGAGTTAACAAGTTGTGTACTTGAGTACTGAAGTTGTGTACTTAAGTACTGAAGTTGTGAACTAAAGTTTGGAAGTACTAGCAAACGCGAAAGATCTTTGTGCCCTGTAGACATTTGGCAATGAATCCGTTCAGTAAACAAGGAAAAGCTTTAGAATTTCTAATCCGTTTGACAGCCCTCTAAGAGTGTTATAATGTGATACGCCGTTTACATTATGTAATAAATTTACAGTAAATGTGGCAGTAGAAGCGTATCGTTGGATTTCAAATGCAGGAGTACCCTGCATACTGTGCTTTCGACGTCTGTTGCCAATCGTAACAACTACAGACGACTCATCAAACAAATGCATACGGTTGCAATCAATGAATGAAATATTTGCTAGGTAAGCTTCTAACTTCTCCATAATGGCCGGCCGTTCTGTCTCTCGAGGAATTTGACTTATTATCTTGTAAGAGTAACCAAGATCTTTATTCAAAATTCTACTAATGGATGACCTACTAGGTATGTTTGCTGGAAGGTAAACTTTGTTATTTTCTAGGTGTTGTTAAGTCTCTTTTGCATAAATAGATGGTTTATTAATTTTTAGATATTCAGTGTATGCAATAACGTCATCTGTACGCGTGGTTCGAACATCACGTTCGCTCTGGCGAGGTGCAATAGAACCAGTGTCTACCCAGAGATCTATTGTATTTGATATAGTCTTATACGGTAGGTTTAGTTGTTTCGAAATGTTTGTCAAACGCTCGTTATTTAACCACATTTCAAGTATTTCATTTCTTACTTCTATTGGTAAAGCTTTTGGTAAAGCTTGCTTACTGAACGGATTCATTGCCAAATGTCTACAGGGTACAAAGACCTTTCGCGTTTGCTAGTACTTCGCAACTTTAGTTCACAACTTCAGTACTCAAGTACACAACTTGTGAACTTAAGTTCACAAGGTCATATCGAATATTTCGTATTTGGAAATGTAACTGGCAACATTAGAAAGTAACTTGGCAACCGCCATTTGAAAAGTTAACTGAAATCGACAATATCTAAGCACGAAATATATTGTATTCCAGTTGCATTATTGTAAAATAATTTGTAATGAAAATAATATTTAATTTTGCAAAAAGAATGTTGTTTACCTAAATATTTATTGAACCTTACTTTGTTAAGGAAAAAAATTAACTTCTTACTTGTAAAACTACCCATCATTTATGTATTATATATAATCTTTCATATGTAGTATATAGCTGTGCACGATCATACTAACCAATGAAAACTCCAAAAGAAGGTATACTAAACCTAGAAAAAAATAAAAAGTATTTTTATAATTACATAAGACAGGTCAAGTCGACGTACATGCAGTACCCTGGGCATGCACTATGTATTTCATTGTTTACAGGAAAAGAAACAAAGTTGCAATAAATAACATGTAACATCAATTACAATTATGGAGATTATTGTTCATGTGATTAAATTAAAAAAAGGAAATTCGTGATTGTGCATGAATTGTATAAGCTTATGCACTTTGCTAAAGAAAGAATTTCCAATATCTTTATTTTTCTGAATATTTTTGTCATTTATGCTTTATATATTAAGATTCATCAACAGTAAATTGCATGACCTCCAACAAAATATTATTTCAACATTTAAGAAATAAAAGGTTAACTAAGCACAAAATATATGTATTCCAGTTGCATTAATGTAAATTAATTTGTAATGAAAATAATATTTAATGTTGCAAAAAAAATGTTGGGAATGTGAATGTTTTATTGAACCTTACCTTATTAAGGGGGAAAAATAACTTTTTACTAATAAAACTATTCTTTACTAATACATTGTTATATTGCCGTACATGCATAACCATACACACCTTCCCAATACCCAAGTGCTGCAAATAAAGAAAAACAAATTTTATTTTCACATTAACACAAGAAAGGCCAAATTGACTATCTTAAAGTTAAAAAACATATAACTGTATAGAGACATAAAACTTCCTAAAATTAATTAACTTTCTTCAATTTACTAAAACAAAGACACATAAACAACAATAAACATTATCAATACTAATAAATAGTATGGCCCTACGATCGTCAAACTGTCCTCAGGTTACTGTGGATTTCAGTTAACTTTTCAAATGGCGGTTGCTAAGTAACTTTCTAATGTTGCCAGTTATATTTCCAAGTATGGAATATTCCATATGAAATTGTAAACTTGAGTTGACAAGTTGTGTACTTGAGTACTGAAGTTGTGTACTTAAGTACTGAAGTTGTGAACTAAAGTTGCGAAGTACTAGCAAACGCGAAAGGTCTTTGTACCCTGTAGACACTTGGCAATGAATCCGTTCAGTAAACAAGGAAAAGCTTTAGCAATTCTAATCCGTTTGACGGCCTTCTAAGAGTGTTATAATGTGATACGCCGTTTACATTATGTAATAAATTTACAGTAAATGTGGTACTAGAAGCGTATCGTTGGCGTATCGTTGATTTCAAATACAGGAGTACCCTGCATACTGTGCTCTCGACGTCTGTTGCCAATCGTAACAACTACAGACGACTTATAAAAGAAATGCATACGGTTGCAATCAATCAATGAAATATTTGCTAGGTAAGGTTCTAACTTCTCCATAATGCCCGGCCGTTCTGTCTCTCGAGGAATTTGACTTATTATCTTGTAAGAGTAACCAAGATCTTTATTCAAAATTCTACTAATGGATAACCTACTAGGTATGTTTGCTGGAAGGCAAACTTTGTTATTTTCTAGGTGTTGCTGAATCTCTTTTGCGTAAATAGATGGTTTATTAATTTTTAGATATTCAGTGTATGCAATAACGTCATCTGTACGCGTGGTTCGAACATCACGTTCGCTCTGGCGAGGTGCAATAGAACCAGTGTCTACCCATAGATCTATTATATTTGATATAGTCTTATACGGTAGGTTTAGTTGTTTCGAAATGTTTATCAAACACTCGTTATTTAACCACATTTCAAGTATTTCATTTCTTACTTCTATTGGTAAAGCTTTTCTTTGCTTACTGAACGGATTCATTGCCAAATGTCTACAGGGTACAAAGACCTTTCGCGTTTGCTAGTACTTCTCAACTTTAGTTCACAACTTCAGTACTCAAGTACACAACTTCTGTACTCAAGTACACAACTTCAGTGCTCAAGTACACAACTTCAGTACTCAAGTACAGATCGTGACTAAAACACCACACGAGTACATACGAGTACATACGAGTACATACGAGTAACATACGAGTACATACGAGTGACATACAAGTACATACGAGTAACATACGAGTACATACGAGTGACATACGAGTACATACAAGTACATACGAGTACATACGAGTGACATACGACTATTTTCTGGTGAACAAATGAGAAACAACACAATTTCTTCTATACATTGATATTTGCGTTTATTTTTCCTTGTATTTGTGTGGACTTTGGGGCAACCATTTGATGGATTTAAATGCTGAAAAGGTATTTTACTTTCATACTACATTCATTTGTATGTTTTAGTTGAATTTGTTATAGATATTTTGTCGATGCGATTTGCCAGTATTTGAGCGCTTTTTGACACACTTTCACCTAGGAAATACATATTTATGAAAGCGATTATACATTCATTTTGGTCTTTAAGATACTGATTTTTCAGTTAAAAGACTGAATTATATCAGCTAGAACTTTAAAAACATTAAAAGTAAGCTGAAATTGTACGCATAATATGATATATATACGTAACACAGTGCAACTCTCATTTAATTCAAATATATATGATGTACATTTATTTCATATAGCACGTTTTGAAAGCATTATTTATACGTTGTTTATTTAATAGCTTTCATAATTATGTATTTCCTAGGTGAAAGTGTGTCAAAAAGCGCTCAAATACTGGCAAATCGCATCGACAAAATATCTATAACAAATTCAACTAAAACATACAAATGAATGTAGTATGAAAGTAAAATACCTTTTCAGCATTTAAATCCATCAAATGGTTGCCCCAAAGTCCGCACAAATACAAGGAAAAATAAACGCAAATATCAATGTATTGAAGAAATTGTGTTGTTTCTCATTTGTTGACCAGAAAATAGTCGTATGTCACTCGTATGTACTTGTATATTACTCGTATGTACTCGTATGTCACTCGTATGTACTCGTATGTTACTCGTATGTACTCGTATGTACTCGTGTGGTGTTTTAGTCACGATCCTCAAGTACACAACTTGTCAACTCAAGTTGACAAGTTCATATCGAATATTCCATATTTGGAAATGTAGTTGGCAACATTAGAAGGTAACTTGGCAACCGCCATTTGAAAAGTTAACTGAAATTGACAATAACACTAACTTAGTTGTAAAATTTGAATCACTTAGCAAAGAATAAACTCGGGTATTTGAATATTCATTGGGTAAACGAACGGATAGAGAAATATACAAAATAGAAGTTTAACGAACCATTCATATTTTAGTTGCATTAATGTAAATTAATTTGTAATGAAAATAATATTTAATTTTGCAAAAGCTTCGTTTCAGGTTAAATAATGCCATATAATAATCCTTTTAACAACCTCACTTTCTCGGTTTTTTACTGAGAAATATCTGACCTCTGTCTTTTTGTACAAACCTCGCCCTTCGGTCCGTTATTTCTCCGTATAGACCTCGCGCTCGGTCATTAAAGGCTTAATAAAAACTTATACTTTGTATGACTTATTATTGCAATTATGTCAATAGCCATAAACTTTCATTATTTTGTAATGTACAGAAGGATTATACCAACATTCAAGTGTCTGAATTATCGTCAGTTCTACATTATGAAAAAATAAACAATAAAAACAATATTACACTTGACAGTTCGACTAATTCACAGTCACCGTTATATAAAACTGTAATTATCTTAAAACAAACAAACTTATTTCAACATTCACAAATGAAAGGTAAAGTCAAATGCTAAAATCAAAAACGGAGGAGGAGGTGGAAGAATGGTGGATGAATTTCAATGCAATCTGTCTTATCCTGATACAAACGTCATGAACAAACAAAAACAATAGATTTTCCAGGCGGGAAATAAAATCTTATAATAGACATTAGAACCCAGCTTATTGCAATAATTTGAATTACCATTGCAAAAATAAGAAGGGTTGAAGATTCGAAATAAGTTAGCTTTCACGAACTAATGGTTCGAGATTTAAAGTAGAATGAGAAGAGGATATTATGGAAAATTTTCAGGAAAGGAGATATGTCCTGTTTCATTACAATCTTTATAGATACTGGACAACGGAGTTGTTTTGCATTTCTTCCCGTCAAAGGCGAGACTACCAAATGTTCTGAGATTCGTGGATGAAAGTATCGCCGTGTTTGGCCCACATACAAAGCTCCGCATTGACACGTAAATTTGAAAACTACAGGAGATCTCAGGAGTTTCGGAATCCGATTTTAAGCCGCATTTTCGCCACATCTAACACTGATACCAATAACACAGACGTTGACACTACCGAAAACAACATGCATTTTAGCATGCTTTTTACTTGTAAACACGCTGTTCAAGTTCCAACACAACTAACTAAACTCTGCTCGTCTGCTTTCCCGCACTTATCACTTCACTTTATGTTCCGTTCTTGTTGCCGACCGTCCGATTTCTTTCCCTTCAAAGAGCTGGGTTGTCATTCTTCTAGCCCTCCTATGATTGGTTAATCTCTCAATTACTACTTAATTTATTCTACATTGTAAATACTGTAGCTAATTTTATTTTTATTTTGCAACTTTATACCAATATTCTGAAGATGTCGCGTGTTTCGATGAAACGTCAATAAAATTAATAAAAATCCTTTATTACATTCTTATTTTTGCAATAACAATTCATATAATTTCAATAAGCTGGGCTCTAATGTTCATTATAAAATTACAAACAAAACGTTTAAAACCGGTTTGCCAAAGAGTATTAAAGATATTGAAACACTGTGTTAAAAAAAAAGAAAATTGGAAAAAAGCAATCTTTAGTAAAGGAGAGTTTTACCAACCAAAGAATACACCAATTGCAGCCTATAAAGAACAACTAACTACCAATATATTGAACATTCACATTAGGCTTTACGTGGTGCGTCATAACCGAGATGGAAAGAATCTACGATAAATTCCTGCTAAATCCACAGCGGCACATGCAGCCACATCATTATCAACTAAAGTTACAGTACGCATACTTTAGTTTTAATATATCTCATAAGACCAGGTCTCCTATTTAGTAATATCATCGTCAAACTGTCCTTAGGTTATCGCAAACGTAAATTTGTGATATTTTAACCACTTAGCAAAAATAAACTCGAGTAATTGAATTTTTTCTAGGTAAACAAGTTGAGAGATGAGTACAAAATAAAACTTTAACGTACCAATCGTATTTTAGTTGCGTGAATATAAAAAAAGTAATTTTTTTTCAATATAGTGATCATATTACATGTATGTACAGTGTCGAACGATATAATGACTTGTAGTTGCTTTGCCCTTGTTTAAAGGTATTTAATAAGGAAAAAATGCAAGTGTATAAAAACACCTAGATTGATATTGGACCACATGCATGCAGGCCTGGTCATGCACTATGTGTATTTCATTGTTCATAGGAAAAGAAACAAAATTACAATAAATAACATGAAACGGTGCAAAATACGACTGATATAACAAAAGAAATAAAATTATGTAAAAAAATTTGGGTAAAGACTTGAAATTGGACATATTTAAGAAGCAACGTTTCCATGTAGATTATTCATGACATGCACATTATTCGATAACACCTTTAGGCTAACCATATGCATAAAATATACTACCATGGAGAAGTTATAGTAATGTGGCAGACTTTTGTCGTTTTATTATCAAAGTTAATAATTGTGGTCGTTTATAGTTGGATTAAAGAAACAATAATAGCTTGTTTCGTAGTTTTCATAATACTAAACTTCATTTACAACAATGGAGGTTATTGTTCAAGCAATGAAATGAAATATTTTTGTTACTTATGCTTTATATATGAAGATTCATCATCAGTAAATGTCATGACCTCCAAGAAAATATTATTTCAATATTTACGGAATGAAAGATTAACTAATTAACAGTTGATTTTCTTATCGCTAAAAAATTGCAAGGATATGGTTAGGGACAACATATTTTCTTAAAAATAATGAACTTTATTCAATTATTCTAATTTTATTGTCGTAAAAACCTGATTTTAAATAATGACAGCGAAATTCAGACATCAGAATTTTGCGTTAGAAAGCATTGAATTGTAATAGTAAGAATGGGAAATAAAACAATTTAGAGCTCTTTGACTACAATTATAAGTCGAGGAGTGTAAAATATTGATGACACCCGTACTATACTACCGTGACTATTTAAAACAAAGTCTCCTTTCCATTTGCAATGTGAAAAATCCCAATGAAAATAATATTATGCACATTTGTACGTTTTATGGTGACAGTTTGACTCATGTAGAGAAAATTGCCCAAAAACATTTGTCATAAGTATTGTTTTTAGTACTTACCTACATACGGCATAGAAATGTAAGACCCTATGAAATTGAAAAATAAACAGTCATTTCTCTCTTACACACGACAGGTTCAACAAGTAATTTATGATTATCTCATTTTCAGAAAAATTTATGACAAATTAACAGAAGAGATAATTAATACAAACATAAATTAGTCATATCGTATTCTGAGTTCTTTGACTACAATTATAAAAAATGGAGCGTAAAAATATTCATGACTAGTGTGACTTAATTTAGAACTGTACAGACAGATGAACTGGGATAACAGAAAACTGCATGTAGTAAAACCAATTGAAAGGAAAAGCAAGGTACAAAACAAAATTACAATGTAGCACATGAATGTACATTGTAAAATAATTTTGTCTTCAGTTAAGTAAATGTTATCAATCTCCATGAAATGAACATCATTTACTGACTATCGACCAAAGAATGTTCATATTACGTCACTATTTATGTCACACGAATAAATAGTGTCGTGAGAAGTGTCGGCAATATAATTTACCAATATAATTATACGTGAGCATTGGGGTATTTTATGTTACCTTCTGTATGCTCAACGTCGTTTTCCATTTCTGAAAATGTTGAGTTTTCAAATCTGTAAATGAACAAGCATACGTTTATTTGCGTTCACAGGAGACAATGTAAACTAGGTATTAGAAAATAAGCGAGTTTTTAAAACATCATTATACTTGTAACCCGTCTTTCTTCAAGATAGAATAGAAATATTGGCCTTAAAAGATGTCAAAATGAAGAGTACCATTTTAATGTTACAAAATTTAGTATACGATACATGAAAATATGTAAATTAGAAAATGTTAATCTTCGTTTGTTTTCAATAAGCCATGTTTGTTCAAAAAACTTGCCAACTTATATGGCAAAATTTTCCTACAATTGTATAACACCAACACAAACTTTGCCGACATTTTTAGTAAAAACTTCAAGGTCAATTAACGATAAATATGATTTTAAATGTCGTTACTATCACAGAAGTAGAATAAAAAGCGATTTGTTTTTACATGGATTGGAAAATGATACTTTTTGAAGAACGTAGCTAGATGTTAGAGATAAAGATTAAATCAATTTAGCTCAAACAAAAGCTTTAAGACAGTGTAAAACCAGTTGAAAGCTGTGTTGCAATACAATTCTTTGCCATAACAGAGAAGATAATTAATAGGAACATAAAATATTCATATCGTATTCATATGGCATATTGATCCGACTGCGAGAGAACAAGTCATTTTAATATTCTCATCATTCTTTAATTTTCCCTTTTGTGTTTGTTCAGTATGGCGCATCGTTAATAAGCCGGTAACTTTGATTACTTTTACTTTTCAAGCATTAAAGTATATGACATCGTTCGTCGATATTCTTGAATATTTACTAAAGTTGTGGTACACTAAAAGTTCACCAAGACTATAGGAAGACTATTTAACACATATAAAAAAGACTGAGAACAATGCGCCCTTCTTAATATAGTTGCAATGAATGGAATGCAAACATGAAGCAATATATTAATTCTAATGCTGAAAAATCCAGGTAATTCCCGATTTCCAGAAGTATCTGACGTAAGATATTCTGACATTTTCAGTTGTACGATCACTGATCTCAAAATAAGATCTTATTTCGAGATCTCTCCGTATACGATCTGATAATCGAAGACAAGCAAGTAACCGTTTCTTCAATAATCTATTCATAAAAATGTTCATAAACGACTATATTTAAAGTATCAATGCAAAATGGGTTTATATGTAAATGGTAAACCACAAGTTTGAATGAGATAAATCCAAGCCCAGTTTTCTCGACAACTATACTTTTCATAATACAATTTGCCAGCGTATCTATTTCCGCCACGTAGTTCATAAAATTGTCACGAACATAAGAAAATATACACACTAGAAGAGCTAAAGAATCATAAAAACATAACCCTGTCCAGATTCTGTATGTATGAAAGTTTAGTTGTAATTAAAACGCAGCAAAATAACCATTCAATCTTGTGGAATTGTTATAGTCTGTATAGTTATCGCCTCACTAATTCAAGGGCAGTAATTTTTTTCCTTGATGTGTAGAAAATCTTTCCTTCTTTAAAAACATGATCATAGAACTTGTAGAGGTTAAACACACTCTTGACGATTGTCTTCAATGTTTGACGTAATTTTTATAAAGCATTCAATGAAACAATTTACTGAAAGAATTTACAATTTCAAACTAGTATTTTCGAAGAGAAGCAGTCTTTACTCGTGTAAAGAACACCCTATAAGAAAGTATAAAAAACTTACATGGATAATTCACCAATCTCCGACTAGTATTTCAACAACTTTAACTTCTCTACTGTTTTCCGTCTGATTAGAACCATTAAAATAATGTTTTGTTTTTACGTCGTCATACACATATATTATTTTAAAAATGCAGGAATTTCAAAACAACAGCAGGAACAACATTTTTTTCTCCAAACAATGTTTATGATTTCTAGGGGGGGAGGGGGGAAATTGATTCATTTAGACAATATTTAATTTAAATGTCCTACAGGCAAGCATTTGTACATGACTTCAAATGTAAAGATAAAGTATGTTAGAGAATGATAAAAATAAATAGTCAATTATCTCAAATCATATATCAAACGTAAATTCACCTCCATAAAGTGAACCATTTATAAGTCTAAAAAAGCTTGTTAATAAAACATTCAACTTCAATTTTCATTCTCCTGATCGCTACTTTCAAACTTGATGAAAACTGGTTCGGGTGGTAGGACTTGCACACCATTTATTGGCACATGATGTTTCTTTCCAAAACCGCTGTCATTATGAGTCCACGATGAACTGCTCGTCTCTTTATTAAATGAACCGACGTTTTTTCTACTTTCGTTTCCATTCCTCTCACGCGTCTCACCATTTCGTAAGCGCTGTTTACAAAAAATAGAAAATGTTGTATGACTGTAGACAATATAAAACAATGATATGCAGTTTCTTGAAACAGTAAATAGAATAGACCCATAGCAGTACAAGGATAAACAAACAAAAATCAAATACATTTACTTTATTTTACATATAAATACCTCCAAAATTTCTTCAAATGATTCATTATGTTTTTCTTGATCTGATTGACTTCTGTCTTCAACAACAACCTCCCTGTTTTCTTTAACGTTTTTTTCAAGTTTGTTTTTAAATGATTTATAACTACCACGGGAATATCCATCCGTAGAGATATCTGATTGGCTGTCACTTGGCCGTGGAGGAGTGGGTAAGAATTCAGAAAATTCACTACCACTGACAATGGACATGATTTCTGGGTCATGTGATTTCTCTTCCCACTTTTTGTCGGAATAATTCGCTTGAAACTTTTCATTTTTAATTTGGTCTTTAAAAACAGGGGACGATTCATAATCTACTTCTGATGCATCCGAATGTGAGCTGAGTTGCGATCGAACAGAGGTCTTGTAATAAGTCGAGGTTTTAGCATTTTTAGCATGGGATAGTTTTGGACGGTTTTCAACTATGTATCTTTTACTATTACCAGAACTATGACTTTTAGCTTCACAAACTTTCATTTTGTGATTCATGTAATCTCGTGCACGAGTTGAGCCTTGATATTTGGCTTTTCTTCTAGGTGGTAAGTAATAAGAGTGAACATCTTCATAATTTTCATGTCTTGACGGCGAATTTCGAAGGTTTATTGTCCAGGCAGATGGTAAAGGTTTTCGTCTGCGAGTCGTGGAAGATTTAAAAGATTTTTTGTAGTTGAGTCTTGAGTGGTGTCTTGGCAATGATCTCCTTTGTCTACAAAGAGCAATGGTAATGTAGAAAGTTTAAAAATCAAAGGAAAAGACAACAGGGATGTATTGCTATCGCTAGATGGAGGGGCTCTTATTCATATATTCATGATATGCTGAATTAATATCTTTTGAAATGTATTGTTATCTACGGATTTATAACATGCATATATGAACAAGAGCCCCTCCAATTAGCGATAGCAATACATCCCTGAAAGACAACGTGTGTGTTTGATAAAATTAAGAATAGTAAGCCATTGGAGGTGAATAAATAACAGAGTAGTATTGCGTGTGCAGTTGAATTCAAGTCAGTGACTTGTACTGCAACCGAGCTGTAATATTATACCTGCTCTGTGGTAGTACAACTGATCTGTAATAGTTTAAGTGTCCTGTGGTAGTACGACTGACCTGTAATAGTTTAAGTGCCCTGTGGTAGTACGACTGACCTGTAATAGTTTAAGTGCCCTGTGGTAGTACGACTGACCTATAATAGTATAACTGCTCTGTGGTAGTACAACTGACCTATAATAGTATAAATGCTCTGTGGTAGTACAACTGACCTATAATAGTATAAATGCTCTGTGGTAGTACAACTGACCTATAATAGTATAAATGCTCTGTGGTAGTACAACTGACCTATAATAGTATAACTGCTCTGTGGTAGTACGACTGACCTGTAATAGTTTAAGTGCCTGTGGTAGTACGACTGACCTGTAATAGTTTAAGTGCCCTGTGGTAGTACGACTGACCTATAATAGTATAACTGCTCTGTGGTAGTACAACTGACCTGTAATAGTATAACTGCTCTATGGTAGTACAACTGATCTGTAATAGTATAACTGCTCTATGGTAGTACAACTGATCTGTAATAGTATAACTGACCTGTGGTAGTACAACAGAGCTATAATAGTATTGCTGACCTGCAGTAGTACAACTGACCTATAATAGTACGACTTTCCTGGATGATCAAATGTTCTTACAACAACAACAGGTTGTTGATAATCAACACTAGACACATCATCGCCATATTGACTGTAACCCATGTTGGTATAATTTCTCACTGAATCATTGGGCATCATGTTTCTTGAACGGTTCTCGTGTGACGCCATACTACGTGACGTCATTGTGGCTGTCTCCTTGGAAGAGAAGTTGATTGGCTGTAACTTCTCCGTACGTAGTGGAGCATTAGACTTTAGCTTCACATATTCTCCATATTTATCATCAACATTGAAATTACTACTTTCCTTTTTTCTGTTTTCATGAAACTCCGAACACTTCCATTCTTCAACAACACGATCCTCATTAGCAAATCGTCTCTCGTTATTTCCACAACTCGCGTGGGAAACACGAGTCACGTCGTTCACACGACTCTCTTTAGCTTCACGAGTTTGTATCGCTGATACACTAGCATTTTGAAGGGTTTCACGAGACATTTGTAACCTGTTTCTATTGTCAACATTACTCTCTTCAACAGATCCATGATCTTCTAAACCTAAAATATGAACTTTGTCTGTTTTTACGTTATATTCAACTTCACCCTTGTTTGCACCACTATCAATTTCGTCCACAGTGTTTTCCGTTGTAATTTTAGTAAAACTTTTAGTGTATATGCCTCCATTGACAGATTCATTTCCATCCTTCTTCTCAAATTCAAGACGACGAAGCCTGGATTAAAACATTGAACACATTTTTCTTAAAAGAAAATCAAAGGTAGTAATAGGGGTGATTTTTTAGCCATTTTGTAACTTTTCTAAGCGTTGAACGAATTCTCAATAGATATAAACACCTTTTCTTAACATTTGGAATGTGACAATCACGTGACAACACAAACCATTTGACCAAATATATACGTAGACATGTGATAATCACGTGACAGCACAAATCATTTGACCAAATATATAAATAGACATGTGATAGTCACGTGACAACACTAAACATTTGACCAAATATATACATATACATGTGATAATCACGTGACAACACAAATCATTCAACCAAATATATACATAGACATGTGATAATCACGTGACAACACAAATCATTCAACCAAATATATACATAGACATTTCTAAAACATTTTAAAAAATCATACTTGGCCTTTTTTCTTCGTCCACGTCGATGACATACAACAATAGTTGCTATGACAACAAACAACAATAAGATGACGGTAGCAGCAACGACAATCCACAGAACAATCTCTCGGGCCTCGACCATCGTCTAACTTCACAGGTATATATTAAAACCAGACACACTTTTCACCGACTATACCCAAACTTTTTCTATGACAAAAAATAAACTCAGAAATAAGAAAGGTCATTTAACTTATCACATATTCTATCAATTGAGTAAATTTATCAGAGAAATCTATCACACAGTAAAGTTTATCTTTATTTTAATCGCAAAATCTCTCCACTCACATCCACAATATCATTAAGAAAACTGTAGCTTTGTATGGAACTGACTGTAGTTACACTATTTCTTATAGAATTCTAAGGAAAATTTTGTGTAGAAAAACTTACCAATAGCAAAAAATCGTGAAATATTTTTGTCAAATGAACGACTAGTAAAGATTGAAAAACCCTCCAGCTAAACCAATAACGACGGCAAACGAAAACAGATCTTAAATTCTCCTTTTCTCATCCCTTGCTGTCATTCTCGAGACTCGGTTCAACAAGTAAATGTTGAAACAGAAAAGATATCCTTTTTCCAGTCTTCGAAGTGTGAAAGTGTTTCCTTTGCAATATCGTACTTTTATTCATGTGATAGAAACGTTTCGTGAGAACACGGAAATTGTCCATTCAAAACGAAGCATTATTTAATATAAAGCTTTGGAATTTAGGAAAGATTTTAAATTTCAGTTCAGTCTTTCAGACTTAGGTATTCCGGCTTAAGAAAACGCAAGAAAAATGACTATAGGTCTTTAAAATCGAAATTACGCCAAACGAAATAGATTAAGCACGATAATAATTCATAGCAGCAAATCCGTTTCTATAATTACGTACTTCAATTTTGAGTACCTTTGTAATGGCATTACAATATAAATAATGTTGTAAAAGCTAATCTCTTAGAAAATTTCAATTGTAGTCAAAACAGCCTGGTCACGGCTAGCTGCTTCGAAGGTCATACGAATAAGCGATTCTTATCGCTTTAAACGTCTGTAACCGTTTCTACTTAGGTTCGAAACTTTTCAATATCCATTATCTGAGACTTTAGTCAATTCATCATATTTCGCCGGTTTTAAAAACACGCTTGCTCTACCTAGATATTTCGTCAGTTCTTGTGCATATAATTTAAATCTTAATCAGTATTATATACTATTTGAATAATAATTTTATTTGGGGAGAGTAGTTATAAAAATTGGAATTTAATTTCCCCTTATACTATTGTCTAACGTGCTTATGTCTTTTTTGTTGTTTGAAAGTCAATTGATAGTAAATCTTCATTTAAATATTAAACTTCTTCACAATTATTGTGAAAGTTGCGAAGCATAAAAATTGCCGACACTTGTCTCGTGTGAGCTAGACCAGAAGTGTCATATAGACTTGACGTACACTTGAAGTGTGAACTAGACTTTAAGTGGCTATTTTTGCTTGATTTCTGTACTTCTTGACGTAGTAAGATACTTCAATTTCAAGAGTATATTTAATTAAAAATCTTCAATCGTTAGTTTCAATTCTTACCAAATAATAAGCGTTGTATCTATTGGAAGTACACGCTCAATATATTATAAAACGGATGTTCAGACGTTTCTAGATCTTTTTAAACTTGTCGTGAAATGAGTTTAATTGTTACTCTGACAAAAGCAAGTTTAGTGAGAGATTCATGACTACAATTCATTGCAGCATTTCAATAATTCATTAAGTTACAGCTTAAAAATGAAAACAAAAATCACGACTGAACACATAATGCAATATAACACACCTTAAACATACCGCACACACATACAGAAAAATATTCTAAAAAAACACTTATCGTCACTGGTATCTCTTTGAAAATCTTTTCCTATCGATACGATGAAAATGATGATCCAGACCTACGAAAATATAACGGATTATGTACAAAAAGGAAGGATATAATTCAGATCTATTGTTGGGTAATGTAAACCATGCAGCATATGAAGTATCATTAAGTTTAGGAGAAATTTATGGGAAATTTTTGCTACCGTTAACCATTTGCACTTTTCCAGCATAAAAATGTATATCTTTGTGTTTTAAAGAGAACGCGTTGACACTAATCAATATTTTAAAGTAAGCTTAAATAAACCTAACTATTGTGCCAAGCAAGTTTTTTAACACTTTAATTAAAATGTGAAAGAATAACAGAAATTTATACTCTTTATAAAAAGTGAATGTTATAACGTTGGTTTAAAAAATTTCCACTGAAATTTTCCCTAAACGTTCACATTGAATCCTGTTTTTCGGTTCTAACAATGTTTGAAAATTAAATCCATGTTTAATAATTATACTCTAACTATAACAACTTTTATTCTCATCCTTTTATTAACCACCATTTCAACATACATTGATGATCCAAATCCTTGATTAAGTCCATTATTCTGTCCACTAGCTAGACCACCAAACGAGGGTAAGTCAGTTTGTGATGATAGCGATCCAAACGATGGCGTGGATGATGAATTCCTAAAACGTTATATAAGGTAAAGAATAATGGTTTATAGTCAATGTGATAAAATACTCAAGAACAAATGAGTAAAAATTATACTTTTGTGTTGGAGCATAAACATATTCATGCCTATGATTATCCACTTTACAATAATAATACTTAACTAGCAATACTTTTACTCATACATGAGTAAAATCCTTAGCTATACTTAGGAAAAATTTTACTTTTGTGTTGGAGCGTAAACATATTCATGCCTACGATTATCCTCTTTATAATAATAATACTTAACTAGAAATACTTTTACTCATACATGAGTAAAATCCTTAGCTATACTTAGCTATTCACAATATTTAGCCATACGCAATGTTAACGGAGTTAACTGAAATAAATTTGCATGCATAAATAGCAATGTTATATAATCAGGCTTGCTGATCGTTGGTTTTAGAAACGTCGTATATAATTTTTTCCTGCATCTTCTACTTCGGTTAGTTGACTTGAAATGTTTTTGTTTATAAAAGTTCAGCGTAACCTGCATGTTTTTATTAGCTAAGAAGTCTTCTACAACATTTACTAAACATTTACTCGTACGCCTAAGAACTTTATACAAAGAAATAAAGAACAGATTAGGTGTACCCAAACGTAAAATATCTTCAAAACTGATTCATGATAACCATTTCTTCGTCTATGAGTACAATCAATTATTGCAAGTTTCGTTGTGCTAGACTGAACACGTGATGACACGTGTTCATCACGTGAACTTCTTATGCAAATAATCAAGAGTACCCACTGATCTTATATGACGTGTTATATCTGAATTGTTATAACGTACCCTAAAATTCCTGATGTTTCTGTTCCTGATCCAAATATTCTACAACAAATACAAAGGTAAGTCCCTCATGTACCTTCAAATCCTTCAATACATCCTTCATGTTCCGTCGTCCTACATTCTTACCTAGAAGGACTGGAACCGAGATTACCAAAAGAAGGACCAGCTCCAAATGTTGTTCCTCCAAACCCTGAACCAAACGATGCACCACTGCCAAAACTGGGGGGAGCACCGAACGTTGTTGCTCCGCCAAAAGAAGGAGGGTTACCAAACGCAGGACTCGCACCAAATGTGGGATTTGTACCAAATGAGGGGTTTGCGCCAAACGAAAGACTGGTACCAAATGAAGGCAGAGTACCAAATGTCGGTGCCGCTGCTAAGGTGAAAAATTCGTCATATTTGAAAGGGTAAGATAAAAGAATCGGGAATGTTTGAAATATTAAGATGAAGGAAAGGAGTTGAGATAAAGCCATTATTAGAAAGGCAGAGTAGCATGCCTTCAATTACGTAGGTAAAGAATTACAAGTTGCAACTTGTATAAAATCTAATCTTTGTGAAGACACGAAAACGTCCAGTCAAAATCTCTGGCAAATTATTACATCATCTTAATAAACCATCTTGAAAAACATCAATAACTGCTTGCGTGTGGACATAGAAAAATTCCTTCTCTGAAGAACAAAGTTTATATCTACAGAACTGTAGTCATGATAGCATTGATAATCAATACCTGCAGGGGTTCCGAATCCCGTCATTTCAACCCCACCACCAACCGTGCTCGATCCAAATCCTAGTTGTAAAATTTGAAACAAAATCTCTGTGTAAAAAGATAATCGCCATAAATGGAAATAAATAATACGTACCAGATGAAGAGGACCCAAACAATGATCCTGAACTGGAAGTCTACATTATAAAGAGAATATGAGAAAAGCTTCAATAGTAAAACTAATATCTCATGAGAAATGAAATTTCTATACTATAGATATGATTATACTCAGACATTCAAAAAGAATTGCTTAGGATTTATCAAGTAATATTGGATAGTGATTTTCACGCGCACCAAATATTGATTCACTTGTACAGAAGGATGTTTAACCAATGCAAAGCTGCAACTAAATCATTTACCTGAAAAGGATTGCTACTGGTCGTATTGGTAGGGTTTCCAAATAAATTTGTGGCTAACAAAGAGAACAAACATATGGTGGAAAATGATTGTCACATTATATGAGGGATAATGAAGGATTAACATGAGAATAATGATCTTATAAGGTACCTTATGTACCTTATGGATATGTGATTACAACAGGATAAGAATTAGAATAACGATCTTAAGGTACCTGTAGATGCCTGAGTGGATGAACCAACTTGAAATGGATTTCTGTTTGGATCGATTGGTTTCCCACCAAGGCCACAAAATCCACCAAAACCTGAAGCTTTAGGAAAAGAACACCCACCAGTACACACAAATTTAAAAATATTTTCTAAAAAACAAGACACAAGATTCTGTTATAAACGATACCTGGTTGACTTGACGGTGTCTCAGTCTTTGCTCCAAAACCTGTAAGATAACAAAAAAAAGTTAGTAAAAAGTGATGCGCTTGAGACGACATGTGATTGGTCACAGAAAGAGAGCGTTTTACACAACCAACTCCTTCACATTTACCATAATAATGTAAATGCAAAAAATCAGCATGTCTATAAATCAACGCATTATGTATCATTATAAATACGTAAAAGCCACAAAGATTAATGGATTCATTTACTTGATGTTTGCGATGTTCCACCGAAAGAAAACGAGCCAAACGAAGGAGCAGCACTACTTTCAGGAATATTGACATCACTTTGAGAGATGGAAAACATTGGTTTTTCGGCAGTGAATGAAATGGAGCCAAATAATGGAGGTGCTTGTGACGTTCCAGTATTTCTATCAAATCCACTTGCAAAAGTTAAAGGCGATGACGTAGAAGTTGTTGAAGGCAACGATTGGGAGACTGAGAAAGACTGATGTATGGTTGTGTCCTGAGAAAGCATGTAGGAGCTTTCGTTCGTTTGGATCGTAGGAAACGAAGCATTCTTTTGAGTTTCGGGAAAAGTTTTGGTAGAAGTTGATTGAAGATTCAGTTGGGCAGCAGGAACAATTGATGTTGTTGATACAAATGTTGTAGTTGTTACTGTTGTTATTGCTGATGTAGATGGTGTTACAGCAGTTGACGAAGATGTTGCAGCTGTTGACGAAGATGTTGCAGTTGTAGATAACGTTACAACAGCAGTGGATGACGTTGTTACGACTGTTGAAACTGTGCTTCCTACGTACAAAACATTATAATTATCACAATAACATGCATTTATTTGAAAGTTTTAAATCTATTCGTAGCCTCTCTTTACCTGACTTAGAACCAGGAGGGTCATTTGATTTCACTGAAGTCGACTCTGTAAACGGAATCTTCGAGTCGTGATCAGGTTGGGTCGGAGTATCTGAAAAACTGTTGGTAGTAAGAGGAGATGGATTTTGTCTGGATCCAAGAGCTTCCAGCCTTTGCGTAGGTTGTGCTTGACTACTTGAAGTAGTGATTTCTTGGAAACTGGGGACGGTGGTGGTTACCGTAGAAACTGACGCTGACGTTGATGAAGTCATTGTGGAGGGGGAGCTGAATTGAAGCGGTTTTCTATCACCAATCATGAACATATGTGAAGTTGAAGAAGTGACAGAAGAAGATTTCGACATGGAAGGGTTAGTGACTGTTGATTGAACACTGAAATGAGAGGAAGCTGTCGTCGAATTATTTAAAGTCAGTGTTTCCCCACCGAAGCCTGTTTTTCCTAAAAAAAAAACGTAAGATTATATAAGTAAGAATTATGTAAGTATTGTTCAAATATCGTTGAAATTATTTAATGACTGTAAGTCTTTACCTGAATTAGATTCAGGAGAACTGCTCGTCTTTAAAGATGTTGATTGAGTGGGTGGAGGAGTCGGTGGCTGGGTGATGGGGAGGGTTTGGGTGGGAGCGGAAGAGAAACCTTGTGAAACAAAAGGAGGTGGAGTTAAGGTCAGCCTCGACCCGAGGGCTTCCATTCTTTGTGAAGATTGTAACTCTGCTTGGCTGCTTACGTCAGGGACCTTGACATCAATGGAAGTTGTTTTTGAGATCGATGATGTCAGCAAATTTGATGCAGTGGGAAAACCAAATCCAAGCGTTTTTCCGTCACCAGTGCCCGACTTAAATGGTGTTGAAGAAGCGAAGGGGAAAGACAATCCAGCCGTGAAAGGCTTTGCGTTGGTTGCAGTGTTTTGAGCGTTGGTTTTGGACGGTGAAGGTGGTTTAGTTGAAGAACTTGAGATAGAAGGTGTATCCTTGTCTGACTTGCCAATAGCAGCCTAAATAAACAATTAGGAATTGTTGTCTAATTTCCAACAACAGTGTGTTCTCTCCAAAAATGTAAAATTGTCCATCGTTTCTCACATTTTGTATCCTCAACAAACTAAGAAAATAAGTACACCATTCAGACTAGACAGTTTTAAAGCTCTATAACCTGTCTTTGAGCTGTCACCGTCGGCTGTTTGCTCTCTCCTTCCGGCTCACCGCGTACAGGAACAACATCAGACTTATGGTCGTCCATCTTGGTTTTATCAAAGAGATTTTTCGTGACACTTTCTCTTCCAACATTTGAAGATAAATTTGAATTTAATTCTTGCTTTACTTTTGTTTGCTGTTTTTCATTTTCATCTTTTCCACCGCCTGCGCCTGAAACGATACAAAATGCACAAAGCGATCAGCAGATTTCATGAACAAAATGTCAACTCCTATCATTGAGGCTGTCGTTTCGTTTGACTGGAGTGTTTATGAATTTATCGTTCCTTTAAAGTGTAAACAAAACAATCTTAAGAAAACCACTGATGACGCGGGGAAATGTCAATTCAACTCGTATCATAGAAGTAGTCAAAATACCAAACTTAAGAAGACTACACACGTGATAATCATACCTTCTTCACGTGTTGGTGAAGGAACAACTTTAGCGGTAGGTTGAGTAAGATTGTTAGAAGTAAATGACAGTGGTTTCGTCTCACCAAATAGTTTACTTCCGGTACCAAACACAAGTGCACTATTGACACCACCAAAACTACCAGACGTTCCACCAAATGTGACTTGAGAGCCAGAGCTCTCATTGGCTCCGAAACTGGGGACACCAAAAGAAGGCTTGAAAGTAAAATTCGTTAATGTAGGGGGACCAAACTGACTACCAGGAGGGTTGGGAGCAAGAGGCTTGAAATCTGTTTTTGCATTGGTGAACTGTGTAACAGGCATGACAGGTTTGACACCTGATTGAACAGGTTCTTTACAAACATTTTCAACTGGTTTTTTTATAGCAAACGTTCCACCAGGCTGTAAAACCATCACAGGTGGACCGGATGATTGCGCAGCACTATTTGAAGATCGCAAGGTGAATGTTGTTGCAGTATTTGACGGAGGGGTAAGGGTTGTATTTTTCATCTTGTTCTCGGCATCTTTTACAGCTGCGTCCGCAATCATACGAGCATGGCGGTCAGCGTTAGGGTCTAAATAATGATTAGTTCAATAAAGATGACATGTAGCATTTAGCTTGGCGTTTTTCTTGCAAACAACATAATCACTAGCCATCGAATTAAAAGTTGGAAGCTAACATAAAGTGTAGCAGTTTATAACAGCAAAGTTTTTCTAAAAGTTAACCTTCACAAACTCAAGTTCTAAAACACAAGAAACTGTAAAAGAAATGTTTTGTTTTCGAAAGATCGCAAAATACCTTTCTCACTTTTGCCACCATCTTGAGCTTTATATTCAACCAAAGTTTTGGCGGGAATGGAAGCACCCAAGTCAAGTTTGCTATCATCACTAGACGCCCGCGCTAGGGCAGCGGCTGCAGCCGCATCACGAGGAGAGAGCACAGTGGGAGGTGTGCGAACACTTGTAACGACAACCTTAATGAATCAAAAACCAAAAAAAAAATTGCAGTACTAAGATACGTCTGCTATAGTTAGTGGAATTCTAAGACAGTACGTGCATAGAAGAAGAGAGTGAAATTTCAAACACAACAGAAGTGAGTGATTAAAGTTTCTACGTGGAAATGTCTTTTTCATCGTACAATAATGAAATGTATTAAGGCCAAACGTTCGGAGACAAAACCCGCAAGAAATCAAAGCTAGTACATTGATAAATTCTTCATTTTGTCAGCCCCCCTAACTTGTACCAGAGTTCCAAAATTTGAAATCTAAATTAAGTGGAAATCACAAACTAACTTTAGTTACCTTGTCAATAGGAAAAGTTCTGTCAGGCTCAGTGACCGTGTTCTCTTTGGTCAGTGGTTTCTTCGTTGGCAGTTCAGTCTTGAACAATGCACCGGGTGGCTGAACACTTTGCGCTGTTAAAAACGAAGAAGAAGAGAGGCCCGTTGAAAAATCTAAAAAGTGAACTCGACTGCCTAAATTCGTGTTTGACGTTGGTATATCTCGTGCTGCTGACAGATTTTCAGAGTTTTCATTTGATGGCGGTTTTTCATCACTTTCCGAGATCTCCTCGGCGTGGGCAGCGGTTTCTGATCGATCAACAAATGAATCATTGCGTAAATGCCAATCTGAAACTAAAATAAACGACTTCATTATCGCAAAACTTGTTCACTATAAGAAACTTCTCAAAGTTTCCATTCGGATTTCTAAATGTAGGCAATGACAATGCACATACTGAACGTTGTTTTCCTGACTGGAACAGTGGAACGCTTCGACAACATAAGACGAAGTTCAGCTTTTCTCTTTGCTCTCGCATTTTCTACAATGAAAACATCGTAAGTGGTGACAAAGGAAAAACAAACGTCAAAAATTCATTTTCATACCAGCTTCTTTTGAGGTTTTTTCTAGTTTTTGTTTACTCATACGCTCAGTCAAAGAGGAAACATCATCACTAAAAACATTTTTAAAAATTTCATGCTTAAGATTCAGTTTTCAATTTCTTCCTGCACTAAACATGACAAACATTTAACAACTGTGTAGTGTTGTTACGCAACAGGGGACGGTTTCCCGAAGCCTGGATAGCGTTATCCATTGAATAGCAAAAATCTTCAGTTTTGTAAACAAGGTGTTTGTATTTTCGTTACTACAAAAAATTTTGTAATCTTAGAAGCAATATTTTATTTCAGTGACTACTCAATTCAAATATTACATTTTTCCTTTTTATGAAGTTTTTTAACCGCTCGAAAAAATTTGCCATCCACTGGATAAAGCTATCCTGGCTTCGTGCAACCGGGCCCTGATGAATTTGCATTTCGCGACTTAATTATCTACATTTCATAAAGATGAATAATAATTCTTCGTACTAGGCATATGCTCATAGAAAAATGACAATAGATTTTTACATCTATCGTTAAGTCATAATGACGAGTATAGGCATGTTTCAATATATACCTTCCCAATATCGAGGAAGATCTAACACCATTAGTGCCGTTTCGAAAATAGCGACCATTGATGCGTTGCAAAATTGCCTCTATCTGCACCGACTAAAATGATTTGAAAAATCAATACTGGATATAAGTTCTTCCAAAGTCATATATTTTACGGTATTATATCTACTTAGCCCCTTCCCACCTTTCCACAGTCATTGTGTGTTGATAAAATACCTTCTCTTCAAATTCCCTTCTAAAAAATTACCTTCTCCGTGTAAAGTACAATAGTTAAACAGAAATGATCGAAAATACCTGATTTTTCACTATACTTCGGTTTCGCCTCATCGTTTGGTATATTGTATCAAAACTAGGACTTCGCATGGCTCTGAAAATGATGATGAAACATACAAAAACATACACGATAAACAAAGGCAATGACCAGTCTTTATTTATTGAACTATGTACACGAGCAATGAATGTTTTCATATTTGCCACAGGTGAAGGGAGGGGGGGGAGGTAGAATTAAAGATAATTATATAGCATTGGTCTGCACATCAAAATAAAATCATGAGACGAACCTTGATGATTTGTTTATCTTTTCCCATTGCTCGTCCATGGCCATATTTACTTCCCTAACAAAATCCTTACACTAAGTACTTCGATGTATAAATTGAGAGCAAACATAGTCAAACACACAAGGCCAATTTAGTTTGATTAAACAGCAAAAAACACATCGCATGAAAGTTTACAATAATCTGTTTCCCTCAATAAGCATAAGCTTTAATTCTAACTCCAACACTTTACTTTTGTTGTGTGTTTACTGACTCATTTTTCGTAAGCTTGAGATTAGTTTCCAGACCCCACTGCTGCGTATTGCCACTGTCCTACATACCTCAAAGTGTTGTCTAAGATCAAATAAGAAGAACGAATTTCTTTCATTTTCCTTTCCGAACTGGGATCAAGACCACGATTCTTGAAAATGGAAACACACATTGTCAATATAAACCATTTCAATCTTCATGATTACGTAATTAGTAGAGTAATTTAATGTACAATTTACAAACCTTCAATAGCTGAACATAACGCGGATCACTGGCAGTGTTATTGCGTAGTCTGTTTAAAATACAAAAAAAACTATAGAATAAACACTCGGAAGTGTTCGGATACCATCGGATTCGCCCGACACCAAGAAGAATGATTAAATTGATTTGAAAGAGAAATTATTGTATAAACATACTTGGCATCTTCGATCATTTCAAAAGCATTCAACAGAGAATTCTTCTCTTGATCAATGTCATTGTTTAACTCCTAAGTTAAACAAAACCGCACTCTCGTTTATAACATTTTATAACCAAACACTAAAGAAGCACGGAGAAACACTATGTGCTTTGCTCGAGAACAATTTTCACATAACAAATTTCTTAATGAGCCCACCTTCTTTGGTAGCAGAGAATTTGAAATTCTTACTCAGAACTTGGTGTAGAGAATACGCAGTTCGTTCAACTAACCTCGATAGCTGTTTTAACTTGGTTCATAAAACGTCGTTTTTCGTTAACATCCTGCGATATTTCTTGACAATTTAATTCTTTCAAAGCGATATCCAGTCTCTTCAAGCATTGGTATCTTTTTCGCGCAGCTTCCATTTCCTTATTGAAAGCTTCCACCTATAGAAAATAAGGTAAAAAACACTCATAGCTAAAGATAATAAAGTAACGGGAAAAAATGGAAGTTCACCTCGTTCTGGATATGACGATGAATAGCAGCTTCGAGCAATTCCTGTTTTGAAGGCGAAACCTTTAGGAAAGATACAGAAAATGACTGCTTTTCTTGGAAACAGATAATCTTACTGTTGCATGATTACTTGATCATTCGAAATTAAGGTCTTCTTAACATACCTTGGTCGATGTTTCTTCCTTTTGCCCAATCTTCGTGATTGGTTGTGGTGTAGCCGACAATGCAGTTCGAAGTTCCGGGGAAGGTGAAATGATGGTACTCCCGATCGCAGGCGCATTACTCACAACCCCAACATTTGATTTAGTGCTGACAACAACTGTTGTAGATGAACTGGAACGAGTGGTTTCTGTCACGACTGAGGTACCAGACTGCTGACTTGAAGTTACTGGAGCAAATCTGACCGACTGAAAGCCCAATGAACTGGAGTGAGTGGTTTCTGTCACGACTGAGGTACCAGACTGCTGACTTGAAGTTACTGGAGCAAATCTGACCGACTGAAAGCCCAATGAACTGGAGCGAGTGGTTTCTGTCACGACTGAGGTACCAGACTGCTGACTTAAGGTTACTGGAGCAAATCTGACCGACTGAAAGCCCAATGAAGTGGATTTTGGTGCAACAAGTCCCTTAAAAAAGAACAGACATTTAACGTGAGATGCAGAGTTTAACTCGTACGTTGAAGTCGAATTTTTACATGACACACACCAAACCAGTCGAAGGCTGAGTGATTGTCGTCGAGGATGGCTGAAACTGGAACAAACCAGTTTGAGTGGTTTTCGTTGATGCTGCACCCGAAAATGACAATATTTGTTGGCTAGTCTGTAAACCAGTTGAGGCAGAACTAAACGTCGACTGGGTGACTGTTGATGATGCTCCAACAAGGGGAGTGGAGCCGAGTAAGGGACCTCTGTTGTTGTCAGGAGGTTTTAAACCTATAGGGACACTACTTTGAATGAGAGAGCTTGGAGGAAGATTTGCAGGTTGCAAAGTTGTTTTGGGTGTCGTCATTGCAGCCGGAGGCGTTTGACCAGACGAAGAAATTGGTTTTAATACTAAAATATAAAACGTGAAATATAGAATGTTATTTATTGGTTTCTTGGCATGAAATATAGAATGTTATTTATTGGTTTCTTGGCATGAAATATAGAATGTTATTTATTGGTTTCTTGGCATGAAATATAGAATGTTATTTATTGGTTTCTTGGCATGAAAAAAATGATTTTGATGTTGATTGTTAAATCAACAATATTTTATTTATACATGCAATGTTTCCAGCATCGATGCCTGCCTGCAGATAAACACCTGAAAATGCACACGTACATTCCCCACTTCAGCCTGCCTGAAAACACACACACACCTGAAGCTGTAGAAGACGAGAGACGTTCTCCATCCATTGGTAACGGTTTGGGAAGATGACATACATCATTGGCTAACTGTGGATTCTTATAGATCATGTAGAATGGGCAAAGAACACCATCAGTGGTAAGAAGGAACAATATGGGAGCAGGGGGAAACTTTTGGCCATCTAAGAAAGCCAAAACATGAACAATAGTAAGTAACACTTAGATAAATAGAGGAAAAATCGATTTAGAAACAAAACAAAAACTTCCATTTTTTCAGCTATATGATTTAAACTCAATTCAAAAGTCATAAATTGATGAACTACATAACATCCTTAAGTTGTAATTATATGAAGACCAAGAAAATTTATCAACATATTTCGATACCTTGTTCCAAGGATTTCGTAACAGAAAAAGAGAGCGCCAAACCCAGAGGATACGTGTCCTCGTTATCATGTGTAGAAGGTAATGTAGCTTGACCTGAGTCTGGTAAAATCCACTTGACCCAAGGACCCTGGACAGCAAAAAAGAATAAAAAATACAAATGTAAAGAACCGGGTGGTAAACTACGAGCTGTGTTGACAGAAAGGAACAAATCGTACGAATAAATAAATTTTCACACCTTATCAGTTTGACTGATGGTAACCAGTTCGTATGAACACGAATACAAAGACAAAACCAATTTCCTTTAACGAAATATAAATGAAGTAATTAGTTGACACAAACAAATCATAGCACGGAAATGGGTGCTCAAGAGAAGCAAGCCAACTACAGGCGAGATGATTTAAGACATAGATAGATAGCAATGCAACCTCCCGAAAGATTATTGAACAGTTTGTTGATACTTCAAGATAACTCCTGTAGTCTGAGTTCAATGTACAAATAAAACATGAAGAAATTTTCAATGTACAAAAACTTTCTATTTATATTCAATAAAAGACTATTATATACTAGATTGCCTTACCATTGAGAAATAAAGTTTAGATAAAAACAAGGTTCACGATCTTCACCCAAGCTATAGTACACATCATCAAATACTTCATAGAAAGGAGCGCCTGTTTTCTATACAACACAGAATATACGTAATGTTTGAGCAAAGGACTGGTATCGTGTGGTGAAACCATGGCTACTGACATTGTATTAGATAACAGTAATCAAAAGAAGTTCACTCAACTTACAGGAGAGTTCACAATCACAAGACTCGACACTTCATTATCATCACACTCTGTGTACACGACGCCAAATTGAAAAGTCGATATCCAAACGACGTCGGTGACTACGGGAAAACAAGGAGAGTTCGTACGTGACGTCGGAATAAATAATGATTTATACTAACATTTAGTATAAAACAAGAACACTAAAGAGCCGATATGTAAAGTCAATAATGTTATAGGTGTTCTCTTTTGATTCTGTTGTGCATGTTATGTCAATCATGTTATAGGTGTTCTCTTTTGATTCTGTTGTGCATGTTATGTCAATAATGTTATAGGTGTTCTCTTGATTCTGTTGTGCATGTTATGTCAATAATGTTATAGGTGTTCTCTTTTGATTCTGTTGTGCATGTTATGTCAATAATGTTATAGGTGTTATATTTTGATTCTGTTGTGCATGTTATGTCAATAATGTTATAGGTGTTCTTTTTTGATTCTGTTGTGCATGTTATGTAAATAATGTTATAGGTGTTCTCTTTTGATTCTGTTGTGCATGTTATGTAAATAATGTTATAGGTGTTCTCTTTTGATTCTGTTGTGCATGTTATGTAAATAATGTTATAGGTGTTCTCTTTTGATTCTGTTGTGCATGTTATGTCAATAATGTTATAGGTGTTTTCTTTTGATTCAGTTGTGCATGTTATGTCAATAATGTTATAGGTGTTCTCTTTTAATTCTGTTGTGCATGTTATGTCAATAATGTTATAGGTGTTCTCTTTTAATTCTGTTGTGCATGTTATGTCAATAATGTTATAGGTGTTTTCTTTTGATTCAGTTGTGCATGTTATGTCAATAATGTTATAGGTGTTTTCTTTTGATTCTGTTGTGCATGTTATGTCAATAATGTTATAGGTGTTTTCTTTTGATTCTGTTGTGCATGTCAACACACTCTCTTAGTGAGAGATGTCAAACCGCAAACTCACATCATTTTTTTGATAGGATATTTAGGTATGAATGCCTTAGCATTTGCTGAGCTTTAAAGTGTCCATTCAACAGATCACTCTTACCTCATAAACACTGAATGTTGCAGTTCAAGTTCTATCCATATATGGTCATTAAATTGCGTTTATACTGCACAAGAATAAATTAACTCAAGAACAAAATTCACAAACCTTGACATGGATTTGTCAAAACATCAGGAAATGGTATTTCTTTCTTCATTTGTAAATCCTAACAAATGAAGTTGAATTCATGACTGCACAAATATCTTCTAAACATACTTAACACATTGTTAATTACAATAAAATGGTCATAATGAGAAACCTACAGGTTTATATTGAACCAACATTCCATTCTTGAGTCCAGCTACAATTTGCTTGCCTTTAGGACTCCATGACACTGAATGAAAAAATGATATATACAACTATTTTGACTATGAAAATTATATGAAATATTAGACAACTTGTTATATGAAGTATTCCTTCCATCAATATATCAAAATATTCATGGCTTAAAACTCGGAGGATGAAGTTTAAACAGGTATATTTGAGCAATATGGACTAAACAACATCCTTCAATCCCTTTATGAACAACATTGCATAAACCTGATAATCATTAGCCATGTTAGATCAAGGTTAAGTACATGGTTACCTGCAGTTGCAGAAGTTCGTAAAGCAGCAATGATATCTGCGTTAACACCATTCAAGGTCACCATCAATATTTGACCATCACTCAGTAAGACAGCTAAAATCTCTGCAGATGTTGGGTTCCAAGCCAATTGCACTACACTTACAACTAAAATCGAAATAAAAATACATATCCTCATTCCAATTGGATATTCTTTGAGAATGCCCCTCCACAATGTCTCCCAACAATCATTTGACTAATTTCTACTGGAAATAAGGTTAGGGTTCAGGTCTGGTATGCAGATAAAAAAGTATCTGCCACGATATTCCAAAACTTTCCCCCCAATTGCAGTTATTATGTTACATACTCACTTTCATTTCCAGGAAATGGTAGTTCAGCAAAAAATTTCTTGGGCGACCTCTGAGAAATTGAAAATTTGGCCACATTTTAGAATGATGAAGAACTGGACCAATGGAAGTTTTCCATCATACCCATTTTTTTAATGGTTATTAACCATTAATGTTTAATGCAAGAAACTTACATTTGAGAAAAATGCCCTGACATCAAGAAAACCAACAGCAGGAGTGTTTTGGCTATGATAGCCAACAGCCAATGTAAGTTCATTGCATGAGAGGGCAATGTTTGAAAATGAATGACCAACATTGATGGTTGCCGATGGAAATGTAGTTTCTAAATAATTTTGAAATCATGCATTGGCACAACATTATTGATGAATAAATAGACAATGCATTTTGATTTATTGTTACATAATAAAACAACATTTCCACATCATATTTGCTCACAAAATAAACTGAACATAGCATTTCTTTGACAGTTTACTACCTTCAACCTGTAAACTTCCTTGGACCTCTACGAAGATTTTTTCAACTGTCTCAACCTTTATTGCAGATATACCTGTCAAATGAAGTCAATCGTAAAAGCGTTACAGAGCCACATTGGTGAACATACTAGTGGGAGTAAGAATCATTATCATAAGTTCAAAATTGGAGCTTCACATTCCCAAAATACAGGGATCAAAAATTGCATTTAATTGTCACAAATTTATCCTCATCTATCAACTTCAGAAGCAGAAAAGGAGAGATAGACCATCTAGTACTAATTATAATTATCACTGAACTTAAGCAAGTTTTTTATATTGAATTGCAAGAATCCTGTTTCTTTCATGAAGCAATCTTGAAAATTTTGATCTTTGTATGTTTATTTTACTTTAAATGAATAAATATTATTCTTGCCATTATTATCAGGGTTAAATGTCAACAATCCACGACGTCTACACTTGGTTGGTATGTAATACAAAACATACAGTACATACATTTATCTTCCCCAGCTACATAAACTACACCATACTCGTTCGACACAGCCAAAAGAGAAGATCTTACGGTAACCACATCTGTTGATTTAAACACTCTCAACTTGCGCATTTGCTTATAATAGAAGTTCTGCAGAATACGAAAGAAAATAAATGAAAGCAACTGCAACAATGCAGCTAGTTTTAACGACAAGTCGGAATATTTTCTTGTACGTGTTGAGGAGTGCAAACAAGAGGAGAGCACTACAACATCAAATAAATGCACAAACTTGCTAGAACAAATTCAATGAAATATTTACCTTGACTTCAATGCCATCGTCATTATTGTCGTTGTCGGCCGACATTTTCTTTTGACTAGTTGTGAAATAGGTACGCCGTACGTACATTTATGCTTCACACGTGCATATATCACCATTGAAATAAGAGCAGATACGCTTAGCGTACACGTTGATGGTCGAAATGACACGTGCTGATTTAGAATGACTTTAACTTTCTTATTTACCGGTAAGCACAATACCAGTAATTTTGCCTACAGCAAGATTAGTGCTTCACCATGACTTTTCTAGCTCACTGAGTATCACATATTTCACGGTAATATTTTTAGTTCAATCTTGACAAGATGTTACACGTTTCTTGATATTTTATTGCAAATTTTTACATTGCTTTTAAAGACCCTATTGGTATGGATTTTTTATCTGTTCAAAGTATCAATACGTATAAAGTTATCTTGTCCCGAATATCATAAATGATGCTTCTTGAATCATGACAGCACGCTGAGTGACAACATCAATCATAACAAACCACAATAACAAAGTAAAATCTGCACCACATCAAAAAAAACATTTTCATTGAATTTCAAATATCCCATACAACCACCTAATCTACCTCAAGAAAAAAGAGCTGATAATATAAGTTTTTTATTACTTTATTATATACAAAATTGTATTAGTTTTCATCAAGGTTTCCAAGTGATATATGGTAATCATTTGAATATTGTCCATGCGCAACCCCACTTTATGATTTATGAGTAGGATCTTAGTTAAATGGCAAAAATTGCTCAGGTCATGAAAAGTGTGCTGTGAAAATATTTTGTACAAAGCTGTTCTAAATTCCAAAATAGGTGGCAGAAGTCTATTTTGGAATATATCAACTTTGTGCAGAACTTCTTTCCTAAATTAGAGAGCGAGGGAACTCTCTAATTTAGTAAGAATATTGGAAATACTCTGTGTTTTTGAGTTTACATGTAATTTTGCTAATGACGTTCACCCTTTTCATACTGAGCAAAATTTGTCATTGATCATCTGCAAACATTGGAGAAAGGAAGTCACAATATTTATTCCAAAAATAGTTTAATGAATGATAAAAAGACAGAGACTTACAGTCATAGCTTCTTCCATTCAATCTTTTGGTTCTCCATATCTGACGAAAAGCCTAAAGAACAAGTTTGAGCAGAAAAAAAACAAACAAACATATACCCATGTCTTCTTCTTCATCTTCTCGCTCACTGCATCTATAAAATACTGAAAAATAAGTTAATGGTCTGACGAAAAAAAAAAGAAACAAACAAACACGTACCGCTGCCTTCCATTTGCCATGCACGTCTGTAATCTGCATCTGTTGCCATGCAGGTCTGTAATCTGCATCTGTCGCCATGCAGGTCTGTAATCTGCATCTGTTGCCGTGTATGTCTGTAAAAGTAATTATTAAAATACATTCATGACAAACAGTAAACTCTTATGTTTTTTATGAAACCAATGTTTGCAGAAGATCAGCTCAAATTTGAGTTTAATCTCGTACTTTACAATGATTTGCCAAAACAGCTGTAAACTGTAAACATTTGGAGAGAAAGCTTCATGAAATCACAGTCAGATTTTTCCAAAAAGCTTTATCGGTACATCTATGTGGACACAGAACACTGTTAAAACATCCCTCAATGCTATAACAGTGCCAATTTTGACTATGTATTAAACGTTCATAGCTTTTTTGACCGATACGGTAATCACTTCAAATAGACATTAAATTTGTGAAGATTTTGCAATATTCTGCCATTGTATTGCAATATCTTTTTGCAGTTCACGATGGATCTATATATTTATAACTATGATTTCATTTTAATGTTACATGCATGACGCAAGGTCCGAGCATTTTTGAACGTTCGCAACAAGCACTTCCATGTTAACATGTCAACAAGAATGTTAACTTTGATTTGTGCTAACTTCTCTAACATTATACAATGGTATAAAAGTGCCAGTGAATACAGAATGAACAAATAGACATAGAATTATAAGCTGGAAGCCATATTTTTACAAGTAATGTTCTCTAGCTGTTGTCTGTTGGTCAGTCAATAATTGATATGTAGAATGAAGAAGGATGTCTCAAAAGATGAACTATCTTTTCCATCAGCAGCATCATCTTGACGACGGCTTTTTTCTCTACAAAAATACAAAACAGTGAAGCAATGAAAATGAATTTGAAAGTATAGGATGACATAAATATTGACGACCAAGTACGTCCGACATTAAAGCATTAATCATTAGCGTATTTCTTGGTATTTCAATCAAGTATTTCTGGATGTTAAACGTCATAGTTTTTGTTTGGCTCAATCGTCTTTGTTTCAAGAGTTCTTGTATACTACGCAGTTCTTCTTTGTATCTACTCTTGTTATATAAACAGATCATTATGGAATTATCTTTTTCAAATAGTTGCTTAAAAACAATGGTTTAATTGAAAAGATTATTTTGATATCTATAGGGCAGCTTTCGATGCCAAAGTTACACAGTGAGATGGTTATCTTCTCTTAAACCCGTCTTGCAAGCAGTCCTAGTAATACCACGCCAAAATAGCAAATTCCAAAATGAAATGAGCGCAAGCATTAGTGTCGATGAATTATGAAATGCAAAAAATTAGCATTGACATAAGCACAAGCATAAACCCAGCGATGAACAAAAGAAAATTTCATTTTTTTGTTTTTTTACGTCTTGCGAGAATTAAAAAGTCACACAAAGATTTTGTCTCTATTTCTCTAGAGGTTTACAAAGAAAAGGCATTAGAAATTTTTCTTGATTTTTCTATTGTTCTTTTTTTGTTCTTCTTTGAGCAAATGCCTGGGGAGTAAGGATTTATTTGGTCTGAAAAATAAGCGCGATGTAATTTTGCACATTATCGCTGTCAAAATTGCTCTGATAGCGAGAACGAGGTTCCAATGCAAAATCAATCCATGAATAACAGCGAGTCTTCTGAAGATATGTTCATTAGGTGTATCAATGAATTACATAGACAGTTTGGAAGCTCGTTGGCTTACGTGGTATATAGTAGTGAGAACTCTTCATGATGTTGATAAAGATATGCAAAAATAACTACCAGCGTCTTTCTTTTAGGTCGAAGAATCTGATTTCGAATGTGAAGAAGAAGCAATCACCACAATATCTTTGCCAGAAGATTCAAAGTGTACTATGCAAACCCAATGTATATACGAATGGAGTATTATGAGAAGAGAACTCTAAAGAATGTTATTGAAAAGGGATAGTAAAGGACAAACAGAGAATGTGACAGCTTCTCCTCGAGATTGTAGAAGGATTAGCTCACGTTCATTCACAGGTAGAAACTTTTGATTATTTTATGTGTTAATTGTATGTGTTTGTAACTAAACATGAAAAAATGTGAACGATTTTCGTTTAGCTCAATAAATATATATGAAGAACTGTTATTTGATATTTTTCTCTAATTTTTGCCAATAAAACAGGGTATGATTCAAGTAAACGCATTTCGACATTTTTGGTTTTCCATTGTTACGTTTTTTAGGTGTTTTCTTTAAAAAGTCAACTAATGTCAAGGAGTAAGAGTTTGGTCTTTGGATGAATTGAAAAGCTCGTTTTGGACTTCTAACTTCCTTTTCATAGGTAACTAATTCTTCCTTAGCACAGCAGCTTCTTGGCCATCTTTTTATCCCTCCAAATCCCATGTTGCTCGGTTTAAGCAATAAAATCACTTCAGATAAGCTTGACGCTGAAAAAGATCACTGAAGAAATCAAAACTGCTGTGATAATGGAAATGAGTCTCCTGATTTTATGCCTATTTCTTACGGCCACGCTGCGAGAAATTCAAGAGTTCGGAAAGAATTTGAAGTGTTGCTTGTCTTTGCAACACTTTGAGGACGCTTTGAAGAAGAATTTGAAGACGACTTTGTTCTCTAAAAAAAGACAAAACAGGGAAGCAATGAAAATGACCTTGAAAGTACAGGATGACATTAAATATTGACGACCAAGCACGTCTGACATTAAAGCATTAATCATTAGCGTATTTCTTGGTATTTTAATATTGCAATTCGATCAAATATTTTAGTATGTTAAACTGCATAGTTTTTTTTTGCTTATCCCTTTTTATTTTAAAAGTTCTTGCGATAACACTCACGACACTGCAATCTATCTTCTTTTTTATCTCTGATTAAATGAATGGCTCATTACTGGCGGCTCATCCTGTTCTCCTTTTGAATTGTTTTTTAAATCTGAATTTCTCAACCGATTGTTGTAATTGAAAAGATGATTTTCATATCCATAGTACAGCTTTAATTTGATGCCAAAGTTACAAAATGAGATGGCTATCTTCTTATTGACCCGTCATGCCAGCAGTCCAAAATGAAATGAGCACAAGCTGACAAGCACAAGGGTTGTTGAATTATTAAACGCAAAACATTAGCGTTGACATAAGCACAAGCATAAGAAAAGCTAAGGATAAATCAAACAATGAACAAAAACACATTCCTCTTTTTTGTCTTTGTAAGTCTCGCGAGAATATAAAAATTAATGTCTGGTTCACACGAAAATCTTGAGTCAGAAACTTTTTTTAATTTTTCTATTGTTCATCTTTTGTTCTTCTTTCAGCAAATGCCTCATCGCACCTTTTCTTTTAAACCCTGTTCTCATTAAGTCGCTTGAATCATCCGAGTCGTTCCGAGTTGTTTTGTTGTTTTTCAAAATGACTGGGACGACTCAAGCTACGGAATTCTCATATATTCGTACAAGCGCTGCCGAGAGACTGTGCTATTTATCAAAGACAAAGTCTTTCGCTAGTTATTTTCTTCTTTAAATCGTTTTTTGCCGTAAAAAGGTCACTTGCATTTCGGTCGTTCGGTCGTCCGGATAGAGCAAAGTTCTATCCAAGCAACCCTCTTCGTTTTAGTCGTGTGAGTCATTTGAGGTCATCCCGGTCGCCCCTGAAATGTTCTCATACAGTCGCACTGGTCGTCTGTGAAATTTTGGCAAGACTGAAACGAATCGGACGACTATACGAGAACCAGGCTTTAGACGTAGCTTGGTTCTGTTTTTGGAGGGGGTGGGTAAGAACTCATTTGACGTGACAAGTAAGGGCGACATAATTTTGCATGTTATCAGTAGAAAAATCGCTTTGTTATTTTTGAGTAATTTTTCATGAGTAATAATGTTTTAAAAATTTCATGAGCAATAGTGTTTCACGCCTGAATTTTGGAAAAATTCAATGCTCCTAAAACACTTTATCGCCGTGGGTCTTTTCTCGCAAGTCTTTTCCCGTAGGTGTTTTCCCGGAGATCTTTTCCCGGGGATCTCTTCTGCACTTAGCCACTACCGTCTTATGGTGTGAATCAAGCTTTAAAATCATCAACTCTACATAAATTGTTTATTTCGTCGAAGTTTATGTTATGATATGGGCACTACGAGTACGCCTACGTTTATATGGATTAGATTTTCGTTTGGTTCAGTCTGACAAAGGCTAGATTTTTATATCGTACAGTGACATCGTATTGTATTTCATTGTACCATTGTATTTTGAACCAATCTTGAATATTGATATGATCAAGGACTTCCAACACACCTCCTGAACAATTGCTAATTGATACTACGTTTTCGTACACTAAATGATTTGTTGTGGACATCGAAAACTTTCCATCTCCTCAAAATATTTGCGACATATTCGTGCCAACAAGATGGCTTATAAATTCTCCATTGGTCTGGCCATGATGGCGATTCAAATAGGTTGGCTAGGAATATCCTTTTCGCTAGCATTTTTCGTCACCTTTATGATTTATCTGGCGACTGGTGGTTGGAGATTTTTCCGACTTCTTTGGCTTACTTTTCCTAGGGATTTGAGGTTTGTTGTCTCAAAGATATTGAAGATGTAACTTTGGGAGAGCTTGGAATTGCAACATTTTTCATGAAACGTATCGATACCTTGGTATGGTTGTGTGACTTAAGTTTTAAACGTAGAAAACCGTTTAAATTTAGAACTGCTGATGAAGTTAGAAACATGAAAGTGTGTGCAACAGAATCTTTTAATTGTGTCTTTGTGTTAGCCAGATAAAATTCACTGAATGTTTTAGTTCTGAGCACATCACTTAAGCATGACTGTTTTAAATGTTTTTTGTAGGTTGATAATATTTCACATAAAGCATCAGTTACAGTTCAAAAGAGTGATTCGCCAGCAACTTACTGTATGCGACTTATTTTCTAAAACCGTGACCAACTATCCTGACAGAGTAGCATTTATGTTTGAAGACAAGAAATGGACATTTAGAGATGTCGAGTGTTTCTCAAACAAAGTGGCAAACTATTTTCAAAGTGTGGGTTATTCTAAAGGGGATGTGGTTGCAATATTCATGGAAAATAGGCCTGAGTTTGTGTTTTTTTGGCTTGGTCTTGCCAAAATTGGTGTCATCAGCGCTTTGGTGAATTACAACCTCAGGAAAGACTCACTTGTGCATTGTGTATCGATTTCAAAAGCCAAGGGTTTGATTTATTCATGTGAATTGGCAGGTATGAATATTTGAAATGGAAAATAACTTGGAAGAAGATAGAATTGCTTGAATTCTTGCTCTTGCAGATGCAGTTTCGGACATTTTACCACGTATATCTGATGTGAGACTGTATGAGTTTGGAGATGGCATTTTTAGTGGTCTTCAGTCAGAAAATCTTTTGAAAAATTTAAAGTCTTCATCTCATTCTGCGCCAACTGTGAAACATATGATAAGCAACAAAGGTATGTTTATGTTTTCCTTGAGATTCACAAGGATTTGAATTGGTAAAATTGGTTTGCTGCTATTTTACAGTCGTTGATGTTGATTTTATTTCAGATATTTTGTTTTATATCTATACATCTGGAACCACGGGCTTTCCAAAAGCATCAGTGATAAGACATGTCAGGTAGGTTTTTTCCAGATCAATAGTTTAGTAAATGTGCATGGTTTTTAAGCCAAAATTTTCACATAGAACATGAAAGGATGAATATTTTGTTTTTACTTAACTGTTGATAAAATTGCTAGCCTGGAGTTTGTGAGAACTTGGAGCTTGTGAGAACTCAAGTCAAATCTAATAAATGCACCAGATTTTACTTTTCAAAGAAACAAATCACTCTAGCTTAAAGCGGTGTAAGACTTTTTCAAACTTTGCGTTTTAGTAGTAGTATTGCCTGCAATTGTGAGTTCTATAGTTTGATTTCCTTTTCAGGTTTATCAATGTAGCTATTGGTTTTTCAATACTGAGTAATAGCAAGCCAGATGTGGTTCTCTACTGTGCACTACCGCTGTACCATACTAGTGGAGGCATGTTAGGCGCTGGAAGCACTTTGATACGCGGTTCAACCCTCGTCGTGCGCAAAAAGTTTTCTGCAAGATGCTTCTGGGACGACTGTATTAAATACAAAGCAACGGTAACTACGATTATGCGGATTGTTGAACTTATAAAAATTTTTTCACTTCGTTGAAGTAGAGTTTGAAAACAACTCGTTGAAATTTCATCTTTTTTTTTCCATTAAGCGTGCAATTTATATTGGCGAAATTTGTCGTTATCTCCTTGCTCAGCCACCAAAAGATTGCGAACGTAAGCACTCGCTTTCTGTGATCTTTGGTAACGGTCTGCGACCTCAGATTTGGAACGAGTTTAAGGAAAGATTTAACATACCTCGTATCGTGGAATTTTACGGCGCGACTGAAGGAAATGTTGGATTGGTTAACCTGGACGGGCATTCGGGTGCTATTGGATTTATACCCGTCATTTCTTCTGTACCTATTGTAAAAATTTTCAAGGTTGAGATGGGCACAGGGCAACTTTTGCGTGGATCGGATGGCTTTTGCATTCCATGCAAACCTGGAGAAATTGGTCAAATCGCTGGTAAAATTGTCGCTGGTAGGTTGTTTAGTCTGTCTTCATGTTTATTCGTATAATTAACGTGGTTCATGTATAAAGATTAACTTTACTGGGGCTTGAAGACCACGGGTATAAACCTCGGTTATAACCTACAAGCTAAAAGCCTTTTTGAAAAGATTCACTTGAATAAGTTCTCTGGCCTTTGTTTCGTTTTGCAAATGATTTTTTTCTCTCTCTTTCTATTTGAAAATGTTTGAAAGCGAGTGAACATGTTAACTATACGTCTAGTTTGTTCGTCTCATATTAACTTTTCTCATCTTTTAAATTATACTAGCTATAAATATGTTGTATGTTCACTTGTGTTAATTTGAATCGCATGATTTGTTTTCCGCTTTGTTTTTATAACCATGCTTTTAGTTCTGAGAATCCCCCTTATTTGTATTTATTCCTTTTGTCGTAACCGTGCCTTCATTTGTAACTGCGCCTTCTTTTGTCACCATGCGTGTATTTTCAACCTTACCTTTGTATGTAACCGTACCTTTGCATGTAACCGTGCCTTCATTTGTAACTGCGCCTTCTTTTGTAACCATGCGTGTATTTTCATACTTACCTTTGTATGTAACCGTACCTTTTCATGTAACCGTGCCTTCATTTGTAACCATGCCTTCTTTTGTTACCATGCGTGTATTTTCAACCTTTGTATGTAACCGTACCTTTGCATGTAACCGTGCCTTCATTTGTAACCATGCCTTCTTTTGTTACCATGCGTGTATTTTCAACCTTACCTTTGTATGTAACCGTACCTTTGCATGTAACCGTGCCTTCATTTGTAACCATGCCTTCTTTTGTTACCATGCGTGTATTTTCAACCTTACCTTTGTATGTAACCGTACCTTTGCATGTAACCGTGCCTTCATTTGTAACCATGCCTTCTTTTGTTACCATGCGTGTATTTTCAACCTTACCTTTGTATGTAACCGTACCTTTGCATGTAACCGTGCCTTCATTTGTAACCATGCCTTCTTTTGTTACCATGCGTGTATTTTCAACCTTACCTTTGTATGTAACCGTGGCTACCGTATGAATTGCCGCTTTGGACGGAATGGGGAGCAGGAAGTGACGTTTAAAAGGGTGTTGTTGTTTAGTTAGAGTAAAATGACAAATTGTTGTTGTTGAATGTTGTACGTGGAACCAAACTGTCCTTAAAGTAATTTGAAAACAGTAATTTGAAAGTAGTAAATTGTAATTTGGTTTATTTCATTAAATTGTTTATTCCCAAGTTGTATGACGACTTGATAGTCACAGTAACCTTGCCTTTGTATGTAACCGTGCCTTTGTTTGCAACCGTGCCTTCATTTGCAACCCTGATTTTGTACTTATTAAATTACTTTAAGGACAGTAGTAAATTGTAATTTGGTTTATTTCATTAAATTGTTTATTCCCAAGTTGTATGACGACTTGATAGTCACAGTAACCCTGCCTTTGTATGTAACCATACCTTTGTATGTAACCGGGCCTTCATTTGCAACCCTGATTTTGTTTTAGGTGATGAAACACGTCGATTCGATGGCTACGTGAACAAGAAAGCGACAAACAATAAAATTGCCCACGATGTTTTAAAAAAGGGCGACCAATGGTTCCTAAGTGGCGATGCGGTTTACTGGGACGAGTTGGGATATGTCTATTTTCACGATCGCCTTGGTGACACGTTTAGATGGCGTGGAGAAAATGTGTCCACGTCCGAAGTTGAAGCAATCATGGCAAATGTACTAAGTTTAAACTCGGTAGTCGTGTATGGAGTTGAAATTCCCGGATGTGAAGGCCGAGCAGGAATGGCAGCCATTGAAGATCCACATGACGTCATTGATGTAAAGTTTTTATCGCAGAAGCTACGGGAACTCTTACCCTCCTACGCCAAACCCGTATTCCTAAGGATTACCAACACTGTAGATGTAACAGGAACTTTTAAATTCCAAAAGGCTGTCTTGAAGAAGGAAGGATTTGATCCCACGCTTGTTCGAGATAAGTTGTTTTACTTTGATGACGTTTCTGGTGAGTACAATATCCTCACTGAAGAAATTTATAGAAAGTTTGTTGCCGGTGACATGCGCATTTGAAACTAAATATAGCTAATTAGAAACAGTGATATGTTTATTGGCCTGGATAGCGCATCTGTTGTGAAACCCTAAAGTTCTGTTTCAATGGCAATGACGTAGCCAGCTCCTTAGTTGGGGAAGGGGGGGGGAGGCAATATTTATATGTGTTTTTGCCGTATTAAGTTCCTTTGAAATCAAATGTTTTCTGGGGATACAATCGCACAAAAGAACTGCTTAAAAATACAAATGCCTTGATTGCATTATTACACTTCTAACATTTATAAAACCTGGTAACCACTGACCTCTCATATCTCACTTCAGATATTCACCGTATTCATATTGTATTTAATACGTGGTTGCGTTATCCAGTTTCATGTTCATATCAATGAATAAGAAATCATCCTATCGATTGACTTTACGTATTTGAAACATAGTTTTGTCAAATACGCACTAACAAAGTAATGATATACTGATGAACTAGAGAGAAACAAACATTGGTTGTTATAGAAAATTGAGCTCTAGTTCCTATATAAATTAAAAAGCAGCTTTCGCTTAAGAAAAGAAATCTGCTCTTTGAATTATAGTTTAATGGAAAGGAACTTTCAAAATGACAGTAAACTTTCTGAAACAGTTTGTGAATATTTGTTTTGAATCTCAAAATATTCGAGTTTTTATTTTTCGGTTTTGTACTACCAGGATATGATATTTGATTATGAAATTTGAACTGATCCGGTATATTTAATGATATTTTAACTACCTAAGTATTTCATGCAAAAGTTGCTGTGAAACTGACGGATATTTGATATTTTGGCGACTTGCAATACGATGTAAAGGGTTGTACAAAATGAACTGTTTTAGAAAGTCTTTTGTCATTTTAAAAGTTCTACGCGGCTGTTTTATCCTTTTCGCTGTTTTTGAAATTTCGTTCTCTGCACCCAGCCACTATATGTTTGTCAATACCTCATAAATCTTCATCAAGACAGGAAAATTCAACGTAGATTAATGTCGTAGAGAAATGATAAATATTTTTGATTTTCCCAGAATAGAATGCAGGTATCGACAGCAATTTTTGCACATATATTTTTGAATATATAATTTTGTCAATACGATCCTCGCTTTGCTCTTAATTTCCGGTAATTTAACTTTAGTTTCGTTCGAAAATGATTTACATTATGCTTGTCCTCGTATAACATCCTCGTGTTGCTTTATTTGAAAGCCTTTGCGCGTGCGCAGATAGCCCTAACGTGAAAAGTATGACATCACTGTTGGTCATAATGGTTCATAATGATTTCTCACATGACTATTGGCCAATCAGCGTACCAGTTTCAGTCCTCTCAATCGTCTTTAGAGAGCGAGCCAGTAGTCCAGAGCTCTATCGAGAAGAAAGACAAATATAGACGACTCAGACGACTCGACAACTGCATCAGAAGATGTACAATGTTAACACTGAAAAAGTTATTTAAAACTTTGGTACATTTATCACCCGAGCTTGTGTCACTCAAGGAAATTGCACTTCAAGTTTTAAATAGCTCTCGTATTCAAATCAAACAACCGGCTATGACGAAGCCTAGTCCGTCATACTTCCCCATTAAAGTATTAAGTAAACATTTGTTTCCATACTTGAATAAATCGGAAATCTTACCTCGTAGAACCCTTAATCCATGTTAGTATTATAAACATATTCTATAGAATATGACGTATCGATAGTGGAAGTTACTGAATGTTTCAGAACTCTTGCCGAGCTTAAAGTGTACCCTAGTAGCATATGCTGGGCAAGATATTTTTCATGCATTCGAGTATACAGCTCATTTTGAAATGTAATTCACACGATTTTTGAAATTTTTCGTGTGTGAGAACATACTTTGTGGTTGCTTAGTTTTTCGTTGTTTACCTGTATAACTTGTATGTAATGTCTTGTCTGTCATTTCCAAGGATGTTTTTATTTCAGTTTTGCAATTGTCCTTTTCCATATTTACCAGGCTTGATAACGCCTTCGTGATTTTGTACCAATTGCATTAAACAGCTTTTTGTAAGTGTAATTTTCTACTTGACTTCTGAAAACTGCATTAAACAGCTTCTTGGTAAGTGTAATTTTCTACTTGACTTCTGAAAACATTTTCACACCTCGACTACTTTTGAACGGCAACTCATGTCACCTCTTTCAATAGAGGAAATACTATATTGACAAACTGATCTTTTGGTTGACAAAATGTTTTTGTGTTAATACTATCCGCTTACGAAATGAACTCGTTATCGCTCGTGCAATGGAGATTACACGATTGTTTAAAAGAATATTTTCTTGAAAACGTTTATGACGCCAAGTATGTAATTGTAGGTGCTGTGATTTGTTTAATGAGATGTTCGTTTTTCGAAACTTCATTTGAACAAGAAAGAGACTCGATGTCTGCACGCTTACCCCGTCTTGATTTTGATTGGTTTATTTACGTTCAATAACTTTGTGACATTTTTAGTACGGCGATCTTGGCTATGCATAACGTGCCTACACCCAACATCAAACAATGACCATATGTTGTTAAAACAACTCGAAACAACTTTGCAAACGCCTTCGTACCATGAGCGCAATTTATGTAAACTACCGTGCGCAATTTATGTAAATTTTGGGAAATTATGCTTAGAAGCTCGCAGTTTTTTGCCCTTCTTAACCCAAAGTGCGGTTCGTGCTTAGCTGTGGAATGTGTGTCGCTTCCTGATAAATCTTACTTTCAATTAAAAATGACATTTCGGTGTCAAAATGTTGACACGGACTGTCAATTCGGTCTTGGGACCCCTAAGGTAGGCCAACATTACTTTCTTATCTTGCCTTGTGTATTAGTTCAAAACGCTCGCCGCACTCAGACGATTAATCCACTCATGTTGTTTTCCTGATAGAAATTTTCGCCGTTTGTCTGTGGGAACTACTACTACGAATGCTATGCTTTCGCACCGTATCCTTGGGTTAATTTTACTCTCCATCTCGTCTGTTCCAGGTATTTTATAATTTGATTTGATTTATAGCATTCTATCGCTGTTTCCCGATGCCATTTGTTATCCGTATTTAGCGTCTCTCCATGTGAATACTTTTCTCACTGTTACTTCACGCTGCTAAACACCATTTGTCAAATCTTTCGACGTGAACGGCGTACTCGCGTCCTATCAAAAGCCTCGCACGTTAGCTGGAATTTAATTCCATTTAACCTTAACGCGATTGAAATGTCAAAATATGATAAACAGCCCCGAATTAGAAGAGCAGTTTATCAAATTTTGGTCGTCTTGTTGAAAGTGATTTGTTGTATTATATCGTCTATTTGTTTGATATCTTATTGTATGTAGTGTTCCGTGAGCTTTTATTCGTCGAAGCAACGTGAGAATTTGCTCAAAATATTCTTCACATGATTTGCTTCGGAATTGGCCAATTTCTTATGTTTCCTTGTTATATATGTACATGTGTTTCTCCGTGTACAATTACTCTCTTTACTATGCTAAGCTTTTCATTCTTTGACGTATAAACAGTAGATAGAAAACGGAAAAGCTCAAAGCCGTGTTGTGTTTATGATTGCCGTATCAAAACAACTGATTTATCTCTCTTTAAAAAATTTCAAACTACATTCAGAGAAATTCGCGTTTTCGTGAAGACTTTTTCATTGTTTCTACTAAGCCATTATTCAGCACGAGATGCTGATGACTTACTTGAGTTTATATTTTACATTTTGTCATCAAAAGTCAATTTAATTTCAAAAGACGAAAAGTATAGTTGTGGCAACACCATTAGCGTATAGTGAAAAACAGATGTAACTCAAAGTCTGAAACTTTTAGAAAACTACAGTATATATGCCATTGGAAGAAAATAGTTTGATAGATTTTCTCCACCATTTGTTATAAGTCAATACAAACTGCTTGAAAAGTAGGATATTTAAATACAGAACGTCTGAACCGCGTGACATCATTGGCATCCAAAGCCATAAATCAAAAGCTGTCGTCTTGTTAATTTTATCAAATATAGTTTTCCCTTATTTAATGTTTCCCCATGTGGAGATTCCCGTTTATCATGTGTGCGCTCGATCAGACATACTCATTTACATAAAATGCGCGAAGTTCTTCGCGAGCTTGGGAAAAAAGTGAATTTTTAAATATAGAAGCGCATGTGTTTGAAATTCAAGCATAGTCTGGCAGCTGGGCGTATTTTCCGGGCAGAATGAAACCCGTCAAAACTATTATTGAAAAGTTCTTTTGCGTTTTCAGCTTGTTTGTGAATTAACATTATCTTGCCTGTATTTGTTGTACGGTTTTTCATAAAGTAGTAAAAATAAGCGAAATATAGTAAAAGCATAGAATACAAGCTCTTATGTATGAGGATGATTCCATTCTACGCGGGGTTGTTTTTTAACGAACCTACTGTTGATGGTGGTTTTTTGATGTAGCTATGTTTTGAAGACAAGTAAAATACTTTAGTGTTATGGAGTATAAACATTAATATGTTTATTCTCTGATGTGTATGGACTATGAACGTTGACTTTGGTTGAAGAACATAAATTAGACTATGTTTCATGCTGTTGTACTAGTTCGTGTACTGGCGTTAATGTTTTTTTTCCAATCGGAATTTCTACAGATTCATCACAAGAGTGCTTGAATTTTGAATGATCATAATCCTTCATGTTATATGCTCTTGTATACGTTTGTTTGAGAGCTTTTTTAAGCTTTGGTGATCGCCTTGGGCAAATTTACTAAGTGGTCTCAGCGTTGTTAAGTTAAAGTTTTGCGCATTTTTTCAGTTTATTTTAGTTTTTTTGGGTGGGAAACCATGTGAAAGGAATGTTTGTGGCACAAGTACCAAGTTCCATAAGGCTGGATTTGTGATCAGTTTTTTTTTATTTATGAAAGACGTGGTTTAGATTATCATCAGATTACGTTTTGTCTTTCTGCATGCCACTCGTTCTCTGTATATATGTATATCCGTGTGCACTTGTGTATCAATGAGGTTACTCCGAGTGGCAAGGTGTTTTAAAGGCCTTGATAGCGTGAATGCTCACGCCATTAATAATGTTCCGACGGAATTGTTGTCACGAATGAGAAATTTCTTTACAAAGATATTCATCGTAAATCTAATCCCGAAAAAGGATGCTTAAGCGTGTGAATCACGAGACTATAAACTGTGAAACCTGTGCCACATCACTTAAATTTAAGCTGCTAAATATTCTAATCCATTTTAATACTATTTTCTGTAACTATTTATTGTTCAATGTCACCTCGATTTAACCCTTACGTACTAGATCATATTTTTTTACAATGCGTTTCCTTTTCGTGTCGTGATTATTGCCATATGGTAACCGTGGGCAATAAGGGATTAAGCCGTTTTGATATACCGTTCTCATTCCATTGAAATACTGAACTTGTCGTTCGTTGATAGTCTATACAAATGGTCTTTACGCTATAAGTACACTATGACTATGGCCGTTTTTTATTGCTTATATAACGTTAGGTGTATGTAAATATTTGCTACGTTTACCTGTACTCCGCAATATTGGTTGGGCTATTTGTATTTGTACTGTGAAAACTATACTAAGCGTTTGAAAATAGTGTATTTGTGCATTCCTGTAAATAGGTTTTGATATTTTTTACTAAGCATATCATGGAAATTGTACCTTTTGACATTTGCTAACGAGATTCGTGCTTTTTGCAAATTTGCGGTAATCCTATCCTGATCATTTCATTAAGAAATGCTAAAAAAATCTTTATGTGAAAATGATTGGTTGAAATAACATAGCTGTGGACGTATGGTTATCTTTAGTGATGGAGTAGGCGAATATTTCTTTCATTCCTAACATCCACACCTAGTTAGTATTTTATTTGATTCTCATATAGATTGCTTCTGAAACTGTATAGTTTTGATTAAATCCTTTTTTTCCTAAAAAGATATCCATCTATGATAATGCTATGAAATCCATACTTTGACCTTTTCATATCGTCTTATATACCTACATATGTTTATCCATTACGATTCGTGATATTTTTTACCAATAGCAGATCTGTGTTTGAAGTGACATTAGCTATAGAAAAATCTGTGTTAGCTATAACATTGAGAAAGCACTTTCCAACATGACTTTAGTTCGTTGTGACGTCATACAAGTTTTGGTTGGCGTCATCATAAATGTGTTCTGCTATTTTGTGTAAAGTGCTTATGACATGAGTAAGAAGTCATGTTCTTCTATTTTGAGCCAGAGTTCTTTATTTTGCCGTTATCGTCTTTGGCTGCAATCCTCCATATTATTCTTAACTTCAAGCTTGTTGATTTTTAACAATCATTCTTTAATGTTTTACCAATCTTTCTTCTTCAGGTATATGTGCTAATACCAATACGACGAAGCTTGACAAAATCAGGATAAAACTCGGCTTTGTTGCACCTTTGGATAACAGATTGGCGGCCACAGCAACCCTCGGACGAGAGTTTGATTCTATTTTCCGTTTATCGGTGGAAGAATTGAACAAGAGAGCTAGAAAAGAGAAGAGTAAAATTGAGTTAGTTGCTGACTTCACAAGTAAGTTTGAGTGTTTATCCATATGTGTTGATAAAAACATTTCAACTTTATTGCTTGTTGCATCTCATAGGTCAAGTCAAAGACAGCGGTTACAATGACAAGGACCAATGTCTGCGCGTGGCCAAACAGTTCGTTGCCGATCCTGATATAGTCGGCGTTGTTGGTGCTTTCAGATCAACTTGCTCCGTCGTGTTAAATCAACTCTTCAAAACAAAGTGTAAGCTCCATTTCAAATAAATCCCCTACGAAATTATCAGGTGTTTCTCTCCATGATGTGATGACTTGTTCTTTGCTGCTCGTTTTAACGTTACGTCATCAACCATTAAGTCATCTTTTTTCTTCTTTTAGCTCGAACTTTGACTCAAATATCCTATGGTTCTACGGCTGCCGAGCTCTCGGATAAGCTCAACTATCCGAGATTTTTCCGTACAGTTCCGAGCGACATCCATCAAGCGGAAGCTCTTGCCGATATCATTAAAATGTACAAATGGAAGAAGGTATTTACATGTGGTAGGAATTTTATTTAAAGAGGGGGGAAACACATTACAGCCATAGACTGAAAAGCGAGTGGCCCTCGCTATACTTATATCAAGAAATGTGCAATCGTACCTGTGGCCTTCACTGTAGTAATTTCGGGAATTGTATGTTGCATAATATATAAGCTATCAGATCTATCCTTTCAACTCTGGGATGCCCGAGGTCGATCTCGGTCAACACAACCGTAGCTATTGGCTAGTTATGTCACGTGATTAGATTCTTAAACAGAAAATTTTAATTACTCACGTGATCCAGGCGGTTGAAATATTTAGGACCCGGAGCATGTGTTTGCTTTTGAAGTTGTAAATTGTAAATTACTATTTGTAATTTTGAGATTAATGGCCTTTTCCCTTGAATATGCTCACTCGTTCATCCAGTGTCTATGTTTTGTTTTGAAGGTGAGCACGATGGCTACTGGCGATTTGGATGGTCAAGACTTCGCAAATGCGTTTCAGAAAGAAGTGAAAAAGAGGAGCGTCAACGTTGTGGAGTCTGCACGATTCAGTCGAGGGGATACCTCTCATAATGTTCAACAGAAAGTTATACAGGTTTGTTCCTTTGCCTTCTTCATCGCGGAAGAAACTCATTCAGGTCGATGGTCTAATTTCCAATGAATGAAATTGTTGATAATAAACAATTTTGTTAGATCAAGAAAGGTGAAACGAGAATCAATGTGATCAGCGCCCTTCCCAATGACGCATTCACGGCTTTTCATCAAATACGACAACTAGGCATGACAGGAGAGGGGTGGGTATGGCTCACGTCAAGCAAAGTCACGGCTGCATCTTTGATCAATGAACCGGCACTACAACAGGCTTTGGATGGAATGGTTGGATTGTCTGTAAAATCCGGCAGTGGTCCAAAACACCTGGAACTTCTTGTCCAATGGACCACCAAAGAAGAAGGAAAATATCCTGGAGCAATTTGGTACAGTGATGTAAGTATTTGACAAACTTTAGTGCTGTCATTGTATGGTTACTTGTCACTTTTGGTGGTTATAGTTCTACACTTATACACGGGTAATATATTGTCTTTGATGCTAGTACATTATGGTGGACTGGGGAGAGTCTGCATTATATGTTTGGAGTAGTCTGCAGAAATGCATTGTGTCGTTTAATTTAAAAGTATTGGGTTAGTGCTCTTTACTTAAAACAGCTCTTTTACGAACTATCAACTTATTATTTTACTTTTACCATTCACTATGGTAATGGCTATCTTTAGAACTATTTTCAGATTTGTCACCACAACAAAGTCTCCATTTTAACATTATATGTTGTAGTAATGAAGTAGGGTGTACAGACTTTCCTTGATCCATCTCCTCCCTTGTAGGTCAACGTTTCAAGGTCTGTATAGTATATTTTTTTTCTTTTACGTTAGGAACCAGACATGTCATTGTTCTCTCCTCAAGTTTTCAATGCCGTATCTGCGTACTTTAGAGCTTTTGACAAATTGTCGAGGAAAGGAATCATTCAACCGGTATGTTGCATCGATTCAACCTGTTGCCATAAAGGCATGCGAGTGATGTGAGAAATGCAAAAAAAAACAACTCTACGAGCTTATGCATTTTTAACGCTGATCTGGATTAATGTCATTTACAAGGATTTATAGTTTGAGTCATATAATGGAGTCTATTATCTTCATTAATAATCCATGTTCTATGCGTGTCAGGAGGGTGGAATTCCCTCATTCATTTAAGAAATGAAAGATGTTTACTGTGTTTGCACAGGCTTATGCAAACCGAGGAAACCTTTGGGAGAACTCGAGAGAAGATCAGTGCAAGCCCGAGACCGAAGGTCGAGGGTTGCACATGCTCGAGAGTTCTCACAAATGTCTCCGTGGTTTTCATAAGCCAGTGGGAACACGAAAAAATCTTTTATTTCTTTTATAAAATAACAATAATGCGAAACAAACAAAACATTTTAATATTCTTCTAACGCATATTCATGATTGAATTGCAAATTCTCTTTGATTGATTAAATTATTCGATTGGTTGAGCTCAGATCTTCAGATCGTTTTTCACAGGCTAATGCAAACACAGCTCTAGAGCAATCACGCGTTTCACTGTGTTTATTTTATAATTCACTTTGAAAATTTTTGCTGGTGACAGGGCGAGAGCAACACAAGGCTTCGTGATATCGTTTATGATGAGTTGAAGAATTTCAATGCTCCTACGTCGAAAAATGGTTTTGAAAGTGCGACAGGTATTATATCACAGTCTCAGCTTTGTCGTCACGTTTGACTTGATTGTTCTTGAATATCATTCAGTGTGTTTTAAGGTTACGAAGATCCTTCAATATATGTTTAGGTCTTCCTTCATATTTTGACGAAAATCAAGATGCTCCACCTTACTACGACATCAAAAATTTTGTGGTATGTATGTTTATTGCTACATGAGATGAATCGGATCTCTAGAAATGATTCGGCACAAAAGCAAATCCATTGGTTCTTTGCTACATTGGCATCTTTCATCATAGTATTAATTATTTGATGAATGTGGTTTTAAGCATCATGGCTGACAAGAATGTTTTTGATCATTACGATTAATTTTTAGAACAAAAAATGGGTTACTGTTGGTTATTGGGAACGTGCTAGATTGTTGTCGCTTCAACCCGGCAAAATAAGATGGCCTGGCGACACGATGCAACCTCCAAGTGATGAAGGTTGGATATTACGTTCTTATGTTTTTTCTTTATGTTCTAATGTCTTTTTGGAGAAATCTGATGTTAAAGCTTGAGTTATTATATACTCCAGTCTAGTGTCTTCTTCAGGAGTGATCTGATGTTGAAACTTGAGTCCTTATATACTTCAGTCTAGTGTCTTCATCAGGAGTGATCTAATGTTGAAACTTGAGTTCTTATATACTCCAGTCTAGTGTTTTCATCAGGAGTGAGCTGATGTTGAAACTTGAGTTCTTACATACTCCAGTCTAGTGTCTTCAACAGGAGTGATCTGATGTTGAAACTTGAGTTCTTATATACTCCAGTCTAGTGTCTTCATCAGGAATGATTTGATGTTGAAAAATATGTATATTATCAATGTTCTTTTATTTGTAGCTTTATTTATCGGTTCACTTTCTTTTCTAACAGGAGAACCTGGCAAGATAACGTTGAAAATCGGTTTCATCACACCGTTTTTCCCAGCATTAAGTGGCCTGGCTGATCTGGGAAAGCAATACCTCGAAGGATTTCAGACTGCATTGGAAATGTTCAATAACGACGATACTCTGGCTGTAGACTTCCTTGGCATTGAGAAAGACTCCGGTATCTCACCATCACAATCTTGTCAGGATATTGCGGAGTCGTTTGTTAAGTCTGGTGTTGTGGCTGTTATTGGCGCCTATAGATCCATTTGCTCAATGAAAGCTGCTGATGTATTAGGTAAGTTGAGCAAGTTAACATTTCGGCGGGAGATTTCTACTCTTGCCACGCTTTACGACTGGATATGATAATAGTAAGCTTCAGACCAATCGTTGCCACGATCATGAACTCAAACATTCGAGACTAAACTGCGCATGTTCAGATGATATAGTTGGTTCTGGCCAAAACTATGAACTCGAATAGTTGGTCAAATGCAGTGCGCATGCTCAGACGATTGTTCTGATAAATTGTTACCGAGCGAGTTAGTCCAGCTGATTGGTATGAAATCCCTTATTTAGTCGAGTGACTGCGCTAGTATTCAGTCAAAAATTAGTGGCACGTTGTGTGTCATCTTCATCATGTTTCAACAAATGCAATTTCAAACTTGTTAGCTCAAGGACTGTTATTAGCCAGGCGTGCCTCCACCATGAGTAAAAAGCAAAGCAAGCAGGCAAAACACAATCACAAACATTACACCGCACCATGCACAAAACATGGACAACAAGACAATAAGTTATTTTAGACTACAGCTTGTGATATGTCTTTGCAAAAATGTTTTGTTTGCCATGAAGTCAATGTACGTTCATTTCTTGACACATGAAGTAAAAGTAAAGTCAAAAAGCAGTGTTTTTTTTAAACTTTGGCCTCCTGCTCTTGTAACGAGTTGTCTTTTAACACTTCATGAAAGACGTCGAACTTTGCTGGAAGACGTCTGAAATTCATAAAATTCTGTTTAAATTTTTTTTCCCTCGTTCAGGAGAAGACCAGAACATGATACCGCAGATATCATACGCTTCAACATCTAGCAAATTATCTGAAGTTTCGTCAGCGTACAAGTACTTCTTTCGTACCGCTCCATCAAACGTAGATCAAGCCATAGCGATTGTTGCACTTATAAAGCTTTATAAATGGAAAAAGGTTTGTCTACATCTTCTCGTACCATTTGATTACAGTATCTCAGCGTTTTACCTCTGAGTCACCACATTGTGGTGTGTACAGGGATCAAAGATTTAAATCCTTTTCTAATTGATGTTAGTGCAAAAATCGTCGCGTGATATTCTCGTGGTATACGCGCGATACCACGTTACTTACTTACTTTTGGCCTACGTTCGCAGAAAGACTTTTTTCATAAAGTTTTTACGGACCGTTCAAATGAAATTAATAGAAACTGTTTAATTAGCGACATGATCAATCATATAAGTGATTTGTTGCCTTTTTATCTTAACTAATCTTCTTATTCTTTATCAAACGACCCAACCTTAACAATGAATACGTTTGCATGACAATTTTTTGCGTGGTATGTAACTTAATATTGTTTTCATGAAGGTGTGTACCATAGCAACTGACGACGCTTATGGACGAGATCTTACGGAACTTGTCCTTGCTGAACTTTCAAAGACCAACGTATCTGTTACTGTCACGGAGACATTTCAAGTCAGAGCTCATGCTGGAATTGTGAGACCCAAAGTTGCAAAGGTAAAATATCATTCATTTTGTCGTTTTGATGCAAGAACGCCTGCTCACTTACTTGACTTGTTTGTAAATGTTTGCTTCCAGCTAAAACGCGCTGGTTGCCATGTTGGATTGGTGTTTATGGTTCGTAACGATGCGGAAGTTGTATTTCAACAATTGAGGGAGTTAGAGATGGTTGGTCGCGATTGGGTTTGGATTGGATCGGATAAGGCTACCACATCGGTGTTTGAAGATGCAGCTAATCTCCAGGATGCAATGCAAGGCGTTATTGGCGTCCATCCGAGACGTAAGTTGTTTTTTTTTGAAGTTGTTGTATTTTAAGTAGCAGGATTTACTTCAATTAATGATAATACCAAATTATAGCTTAACCCCCAAGATATTCTGATGCATTATTCGACATTGATTTCGACTCCCTTGATAATATATAACATTATATACTTTTAGACGGCGAAGGAAGATTGTTTGACCAATTCATGTTGGCTATAGCGAGACGTGAAGCCTCCCGCTATTCCGGAAAGAAAAATGTAATAAAAATTGTTGTATTGGTTAAAATTTTATAGATAGTAATGATGCATAATAATAAAACGTTGTTAAGAAATTGTCGTGTTTTGAAACTATCAAAACAAATTGAGAAACTGTTTTTTCGAATTCGATTTTCTAAGTTGTGCAAATCATCTTGACATTTACTTCTTTCATTACAGAGTCATTCTAAAACAACGTATCTTGCTCATTTATTTGATGCTATTCACGGAATGGCGTTGGAGCTGTCAGAGCTGGCGAGGAAGGAAATTATCACCAGCAAATCGAAAATCATTGACATGAGAAAAGCTCTTTATGACAAACTAAAACGAGCAAACAAGAAAGAAGCTGGTTTCCCTAGCTCTGTCGGTGGACTGGACACCATGTATTTCGATAAGAAACAAACGGGACCCCCCGCTTTTGAATTTGTGAATTTAGTGGTGAGTAAATGATACCTGTAAGTTTATACCCCCCCCCCTGGGAGAATTCATTAGCTTGACTTCGTTCTGTTGTTTGTTCAGGGAAAACAGTGGAAAACTGTAGGTATTTACATTCATCAAACAAGGAGTGTGTCGTTGTTCCGAGATCCAATATTCCCCGGTGGTGTAACGATTCCGATAGTGGGTCCGGTCAAACCTTCGTATAGAATTGCGGCGTTCTTTCCTACGAGTAAAACATTTGGTCCGCTTGCTGATCTTGCTGAAGAATGGGTACGTATTGTGTACAACTTTTCTGATTTAAAGCTTTGAATATCTGCCTCATTTGATTCGAAGACCATTACGAAATGACCAGGGATGGATTTAGTGCAAGGGTGCAGGGGGTGTAAATTTCCCAGCAGAATGTTAATGTACCAAAAATTTAGCAAAATTAACTGTCAAACTACACATTTCCTCGGATCTCAAATCAAACACAAAAAGTTTGATATATGAGTGATAAAACGACACTTGCAATATAACCACCAAAACATAATCCAAACTAGACTGACTGAAAGATATCTTATTACAAGTAGGTCATATCATACACCCCCCTCCCAGAAAATCATCCTGGGTCCTTCCCCGACAAAATCGAAGTGGAAAATATACTTCAAATTTCAAACAAACGTCATCAACAGTTGCTCAACGAGTCATGTGAAATTAAATAAAAGTATTATTATGCCTGCTTATTTTAAATTCATTATAGAAATCTGCTTTTAAAATCGCCGTCAACACAATCAACAGTGATTCGTTGTACAACATTCGTCTCGAATACGACATTATAGAAACCACTAAAGATGTAGACTCGTGTCGTAAACGAGCTGCTGTAAGTATATCTATGTTCAGGTTTGGGTTAAATTTTGTTCTCACACACAACAGGGAGTTGCTGCAGCCAATCCGCCGCAAGCTTGACATTTATTACACTCAAAAAAACAGTTAATACAGCTACCATTACATCGGCTAAGCGGCCCTATTCCCACGAGTAGCAGCCTAAACTCAACAGTCTTAGTTACCAATATACATATGTCTATAGTGTTCCAGGTAGGTGGGTGGGACTTTAGTCAAGCTTTGCGGATGCAACAACAAAATGCCGTTCCTCAGTCGTTCCTCAGTCGGCGGAAAATAATACTTTGACAGCGTAAGTTAATGATTGACGATTTGAATCAATGATTCACAGAATGAAATATCAACTAAGAGGGAGAGTTATTAATCGACTGGGTGTTTGTTGAAAAGGAAATAAGTGCTTGACAGGTTGAATTATCGATTGACCGAGGGGAATCATTGATTGACAGAGTGAAATATTAACTAACAGGGAGAGCTATTGATTGACAGGGTGTTGGTTTAAAAGGGAATAAATGATTGACAAGTTGAATCATTTAATGGCAGAGGGATATATTGATTGTCAAGGGTGAATAAAGATTGACAAGTTGATTTATTGGTTAAAATACTTACTGAATCACAAATACATGCAATCTTCATTAGTTCTATTTTTCAGAACTCAAGTCCATAAATTTAAACCAAAGATATTTGCTGAGCTTGACAACTTTTTATTTAGACTCTTTCTTCTAATGTTGACATGATCATTGGTGAAGCACGTTCGGAATGCTCTATTGCCATTTCCAAACAGACGAATCACACATTAGTACCTCAAATATCGTACGCGTCGACGTCTCCTTTTCTCTCCGACAAAAACAAATTTCCATTTTTGTTTCGTACTTGTCCGTCTGACGTTTATCAGGCCAAAGCACTTGGGGAATTGGTGAAAATTCACGAGTGGAAAAAGATGGGGACAATTGCCGTTAAGGACGAATATAGCCGGGAACTTGTACGCCGTACGGAGAAAATCCTCACTAAAGAAAACATTGTTTTGGGTGCTCAGGAGCGAATGAAACATGGTGACTACAAGGATGTTGCTAATCATCTAAAAGAGGTCAGTTGTTAAAGGTTGTCATGACTACAAATGATTTATGGATGCATTGAAATGTAATGTGAGAAAGGTAGCGAGGATGGTCTGCTTTCTGAATAAAATCATTTTGTTTGTCTTTTCATTACAGATAAAGAAGAGTAAAACGGCTGTGAATCTTGTCATCTCAAGAACTGACGAGGCTGAAAAGATATTTCAAACTGCAATCGACATGGTCAGTGGAGAATGAATTTTCATGCTAATAGACAGACTTAATATATCTATCATGTAGACTTTCTACTTTAACCTACTCCAAGCGGAAAAACTTTGAGTCAAACACCTTACATACTAATAATCGTTTCACATGACATTATTGTCCATATGCTTTACATATTTCCTAAAGGGTATGACGGGTAAAGGTTGGACGTGGCTGGGTGGCGATGGATCGACGTCATCAACCTTTAAACGATCCCCGAATCTTCAGAGTGCAATGCAAGGCATGGTGGGAACGAGACCACAGAGTGGAAAAGGCGCCGTTTATGAGAAGTTCCTTAAGGAGTGGAAGAATAGCGAACGAAATAAATATCCTGGTATAATCCACACTTCAAGAATAGAGCAGGTTTGTTTTTTGTTTTGTGGATTATGTTTTCCTTGTAAAACGATGGCCATATTGAAGACATGCTCTACACTAATTACTGTTGTTCATCTTCAACTTTTTAAAATCGACCATGACTCATTTAATATGAATACTTCAGGTTTCCTGTTATGTCCCCCAAGTGTTCGATGCAGTCTTAGCGTATGCCACTGCCTTGCAACGTCTCTACGAAGTTGATCTCATCAACGAGAAAACGAGCCGACGAGTTCTCAGGAAACATTTGATCAACGAACTAAAAAAGATGCGGAATGAGCAGACTGGTTTTGAAGGCACAACCGGAGGCAGACAATATTTCTCGGAAAAACAAGATGGAGTACCCATTTACGATGTTGTCAATCTTAATGTGAGTAATGGAGTCGAAGAAATTGTCGTTTTGTTTGGAAAACTCGCAATGAAAATTACTTTTTGCATGTCTGTTGAATGGCAACCTTCAACGAGAATTTTCACGCTACATAACTTCGGGAAATAATATGTTTTGAGAATTTTCATCATACTTTACCTTTCAGTGGTTCCAACTAAACACCACACAAAAAAGAACGTTCCTCTATAGATAAATTAATTTCTGTGCTAAATGAATGAATCCAAGTCGGTCTTTAAAAGGCCTATTGCAATTGCTTTGTTTTGAAAGATAATCTTAGCAATCTTTAAACTGCTTTACACAATGACTGTTACCAACAAATAGTGATCCCATTCTTCATGTGACAGTTGGCAAATTACTTATGTGGATGAGTTGTGCTGTGTTTGATTATCTGGTTTCATTCATTTAGAATTTTTAGCAATAAATTTTGGGCGAGGATTTTTTTTCTCTGTGGTGTTTCTTTTGACATGCTATCAAAACAATAAAGAAGGTTTTGTTGAATTTCCGTTTTGTGTTGTTGTTTAGGGCGAGAGTTGGGTCAAAGTAGGCACGTATACAGCTGAAGATGGTCTTCAACTCACGGGGTTTGTAAACTTTGAAGATATACTTTCAATATTCAAGAAAAATAACATGTAGAACTATTCTTTCAGTTCAACTGACGTAAATTTTCTTTTACTTATGTTGAAAAATTGATATTTTTCTTGTTAGGCATATCGTCTGGCCTGGAGGCGGGTTGAGCACACCATCAGAACATCAACCACAGTAAGTTTCTTATGATTGTTTGTCAACTTTATTTTAATTAAGGATTAACAAATTAGAACGGCAGACCAGACTGAGCACATCGATTTTCAAGTTCGGTAGTATGAAGGTAGAATCACTGCTTGCAAAAGCTATCTAGACTTTTCTCTCTGCCGTAAGCTAGAACCAGGCTGTCCGAGTTGCAAGATGGGGTGCCCCCCCCTCCCCAACGAAATTTGACAACATAATCATTTTCCTGGTAATCGTTAATAGGACACAATATGAACTGGTTTTTTTTTGTACAGAAAATTACCAATTTACTTTCATGGAACACGAATTCACGAACGACTCTGAATGAGAAACATCCACTACATCCACTTAACCAAATATACACCAACTTTTTTCTTTATTTTTGTAAATAACTCCCTTCAGGGTGACCTCTTCCAAGCTGATTGCTTGGGTTCCCGAGGCTTTGTCCAGCCGAAGCTCATAGCAGATACACCAATGACTTTCCTTTCATACTAACTCTCTGTGTTTCAATGTAGGATATCCACTGCAACAAGTGTCCAGGAGATTGTAGACAGGAAGGTCTTACTAGCACTGTGTGCTATATTTGGCATTTTTACGCTGGTCGTAATTATCGTCATAATTTTATGGATTATCACGAAATTTAATTGCGTCTGTAAGGTAAGAAATGAGTTATATAACTGAAATGAATGCTACGTATGCTTAAGAGCCAAAAGGACATGTTTGCGAATCGCAATGCCTAAATTTTAATGTGGGATGACAAAATGTTGTAAATGAAAGATGTGTAGTTTTTGCTTCAAAATGTATTTTCAAGTCATGCGCAGTGAAATTCTTCATAAGGGATGATAGTAAACGTAGTATTATGTGAGATTTAACACTTTGATGGTTGAGCAGTTTCTTAGAATTTCTCTACCTCGATTTTTATAGAAAAAGGAGAATAATTACGTGAACGGTAATGCTGTTAAAAACAACATCAACAGATAGTTGAAGTGCTTCAAAACGGAATCACGCAAGCCAGAATTTAATCCATTGTATGTCCCTCTTTACTACGTAGTATCATATATTGTACTCAGACTGTCATTATCGAGGAATCGTTCGGCTTAAGAATAATTTTACAATAGTGAAGAGTAGACATTCAGCGCTAAATTGTATTGACATGCGAGTTTCAACATTTTCTGGTATATAGTGAAAAGGACTTGCTTAAAGCATAAATTTTGGAAATGAAAACTTGTCTACAAGCTGGATTTTAACTTATTGGTATAATTTCAGTATTAAAAAGTCAGTTTTAGTTCTCTTCGTACAGGCAAATGTTCAGCAGTAGCTGTGAGGCAATATTGATAGTTATTGAAGATGGATGAACAATATTTTCGTTAGCGGAAATAGAAAAAGATGAAAGCCATTACTAATGAAAACGAAAACACGCAAGTTTTAAGTGCTTAAAGATAAGACTAAAATTAGACACTTTACTGAATTTAGTCAACTTATTAAAACTGTTAAAGACATTTGAAAGAGGCGATAAATAGAAAAACATATATTTCCGAATTTTCATTTGATAAAAACTTAGATTATGGAACTTATGTTTATGAAAATTCATCACTGACTCTTTTTTCAATACTGAAATTACATCGAAAATAATATCTGCTTCAGTAAAATATGTCGGACATTATTACTTCCTTTCCTTAGTAACATTTCGTGTTATGTGTCCGTCGTAGACAGCTAATTAAGAACACAAATCCGTTTGTTTTGACTCCTAATTGTATTACTTAGCGTCATTTTATTTTGTAAATGGAAATTATTGAACTGACCTACTGTATATAGAATATTTCTAGTTAAATAAAAAAAAATTCAAATTTTACGTCTGTCGTTGTAATGATCAAGAGTATTACAAGGTGCATGAAATAAGTACCCTCTATTGTCGTTGAAATCAGAACTTTTATTGAATACTGAAAGGTAACTTGCTTCTACGAAAAAATTGCACGGGCTGACTACCCCATCGGGTAATGGCAACTCCATCTTAAACCGCTGACGTTGCAGTTTTGGTTTCTGAGGAAGTGATAAATATTAATGATAGCTGTTTGACGAGTTCACAATAGAACCGGTGTTGCTCAGAATAAAAACGTATTTTTGGTCTTCTTTTTGTTTAAAGAAGGCAAATGACAAACGAGTATGGATTCCAGATAAACCATCTCGAATTATGATGAATGCTCGTGTGGAAACGATTTGTTTATGTACTTTGAGTTTGTTTATATTTTGTAATCAGTTTGTCGTTTTCGTGGATTCGAAACCTGTTAATAATACGAACCAAAATACATCAAATCATAATGGAAGTGAGAAGAATGAACCTCATCGTCATGAACACAAAATCAAAGTGGCGAAATTAGATTTTGAACATATTGCAAGGCCTTTTATCATAACAGTATGGGTGTTGCTCGCCACTCTACTCAAAGTCGGTATGTTTATAGGTTTTAACCAAATTTATTTGCTTAACATCTTTTGTTTTGATTTATATTTTCCTTAACTTGAAGCAACATTTCGTGGTAAATGTTTTCATTATGTCTTTAGTGCTTGTATATTTTATCATTTATTTTGCTTTGATATTTGCCAGATAAGTAAGTTTTAATCTCCGTGTATCCACATGAGGTCTTGAATTTGTAAATACATACGAAAGTCGATTTTATAAAAAGCGGCTTAACACCTGCTCGAGAGCAAATTATATTCTTCATTCAATGAAGTGTTCGTCTTTATTGAACAAGTAAACCTTTATTGTGCCACAAGTAAAAGCTGTTACGAAACTGCAATTAAAATTAAATACAAAATAAAGTTACATAACTCAGACTTCTCCCACGTAGAGCGATACAACGCTACGTATGAATGATCTTGAAATTTTTTCAGCAAACCATTCCCTATAATAGGGAATGAAGAGTATGTTTATTTTCCCATTGATAAAAATTGACATATGTTGACCGACTAAATTAGTTAGAAGCAATATGTCGCTTGTCATCATGACAGTCTGATTGCTAATTACAGCCAGGAAGCACGAAATGCAATTAAAACTTAAGTGTTCATTTCAAATATAATATTTTCATGCATTTACTTTTGAGTCTTTTGCTAGAATTTGATTGAAAACCATGTTTCTGGTAGTCTTACTACATATGAGGAAAACATACTTAAGAAATAAATAGTATAATGCCAGTAAAAGTCTGTTTCAATATATTGAATGTGTAATTTATGCATAGAAATTTATAATGCATGTGTAATAAATATAGCAACCTTCAAAATTAAAGTAAACATTTCACAAGGAAAGAAAGGCAATTTTAGTATTTTTATCTTGGCAAAATGTATGAAAATAGCCACTTGCTTTGGCATGCCAAGGTAAAATTTGAGGGTTGTATAAGAAAAGTTATTAATAATTTACATTTGGTTTAATATAGGATTTCATATGACCTCAAGATTGTCAAAAGTTGTACCTGAATCATGGTGAGCTACAAGTTACATTTATCCAAATCTGTTATCAGTGTTAATGTGTTCGAGAAATCATTCTCAATTATATCTTTCAGCATGGTTATTTTGCTTGGCATTCTTCTTGGATTAATTTTACAGTAAGATCGTGCTATAAACTGAGTGTTTGTAAATTGTTTATTTATCAATCTTTTATTTTGTAAAGCTATTCCAACTTCAAAAGTGTCGCAGATATTCCATTTTTCAACTCGAGAATATTCTTTCTGTTCATGTTGCCACCGTAAGTCGTCTTTCAAATTGATTGATTCACTTGCTTTGTCAAACAATGACATTTTCAAAATATTGAACACCAGAAACTATAAAGAGGATAAATCATGATATTGTTGAAGGCACCAAGGCTAGTGTTGATGATTCAACAACTATGACTATTCTTAGTGTGTTTCAAACTAAAGTATAACAACATTTAGTTGGTGTGAAATTCGAGTAGATTTCACAAAAGCAATAAAACACATGCAGTTATTGGTCCATGTAACATTGGCATTAGTCTGAGCCCAAACTGATCTGAGCCCAACAAATTAAATCAAATCAATAATACAGAGGTTGCAAGTCAACCATGAATACATGTTACAGAAAAAATTAAACATGGAAATCATGGAAATTTAATTTAATGATATGTATTTCATATTTAGAATTGTTTTGGATGCTGGCTACTTTCTTCATACAAGAGCGTTTTTTGATAATATGGGGACAATTTTACTCTATGCTGTCGTGGTATGTTATATCCTTCATGGTTTATTTTCTCAATCATAAGTACAATAAATATGGTGGAAAGTTAGGTGCTTGTCGGCAATATTCATTAAGGCTGTTGGAACATGGATAATTTGGGCGGCTGATATTCCTATAAGCATGTTATAATCTGTAGACAACAATGGATTTCAAAAAAAACTTAAATATGGCATTATCCTGCATACATGAAAATCATGTCAACAATTAATGATTTTACAACAGTACTGTAGATTATAAGCTCTTTCAAATAATCTTATCATGTGAAAATATGAAAAGGTTATTTGTACTAATAAGAAAGATTGAGCAAATTATGGTGTGTTAGTGACATTTGATGTGACGAAAAATATTCTTTTATGATGCAAGTGTTGAGTTACACTAATACTTGTTGAGAACCGTTGTACTGAGCTTGATGATGCTAGTGTGTGAGGATCAATCTGAGAATAGTGTGCTGAGCCATTTCCACCCTTCTACTCAAACATTTTACATATTAAATTTTTACCTTTTTTGTTCAGGGAACAATATACAACACATTTACTGTGGGAATTTTACATTCAATGCCATTAACATATTAAACTTATTACTTGCTTGTTCAGGGAACAATATTCAACACTTTTACTGTGGGAATTACACTTTACGCCACTACAGATCTTGGTATTCCTCTTCTACAAATGTTGCTCTTCTCGTGTCTCATAGCAGCTGTTGATCCTGTTGCCGTGAGTACTCAAATACTTTATCTATGTGTGCCTTATGAAGAAGAAACATACTAGTGATGTTTTCACTTATATTGAGACAGATGAATGAATAAGAAAGTCCGTTTTGTGTTATTTGTGAAACGAAATGATATCAGCGCTCTTAATTTTGAATTGGTTTACGTTGTTGTCAATCATTTTTTACTAAACTTGATTTGCTTTTTGGAGAAACATTTGTATCTTTTCTTACTGTTTGCTTGTATTTTTATTTATTTGGCAATATGTCCTAGGTTCTTGCTGTCTTTGAAGAAGTCCACGTGAACGAAGTGCTTTATATTTTAGTGTTTGGTGAATCACTCTTGAATGGTGAGTTTTGCTTTCGGTTTCAGGTCTGTCTACTTCACTTGTTCGTTGAGAAATTGCTTCTGAAATGAAACAATTTGTCTGTATTTTACATATGTATATGTAAATGAAATCATGACGAAAACTAGTTAATGTAAACTATATTTATATGGTATCAGGTCGAATACTTCTTTAACATATTTGACCAGATGCCTCATCTGACCAAAGCTGCGTTTTCGCCCCGTCTTTTCCATAGGACTTCGACTAAATCTGTTATTCTTGTTGAATTTAGATGCTGTAACCGTCGTGCTTTATCGACTTTTTGAAGCTTTAGTCACCCAGGCCACTGTGGAAATAGGAGAGGTTCGTATCATGAGTGATCATGCATTGAATTACCACCGACTTTTCATCGCCCAAATTAAAGGTGTTTCTTTTTGTTTTATTATTGTAATGAGAAAAACTAACACTTATCCACATAAAGTAAATGGTTCGAACCCGGGAGTATCGTTACAAGTTTGTAGATGTAGACCGTCCAGGTTGGTATAGTCCTGAGAAGGACTGTTTTTGTTGCTGTTGACTGACATTTCGACAACCTTAGCGGTAGTCATCTTCAGAGTCAAAAATACGAACCTGGACTGTACCAACCTGAACGATCTACAGTTAGCTTGATGTCGAAATTTACAAATGAACCTTTGATGGATGGTGTAATGGAAGTTTCATGGGATGTCTGGTGGTCATCTTCAGCGTCAAAAAATGACTTTCGCTAAGGTTTTCGAAACGTCAGTCAACAACAGCAAGAACAGTCCTTCTCAGGACTATACCAACCTGGACAATCTACATCTACAAACATGTATGGTAGTTATATTAACTTCATTTGATTTCCATTATGATTAAGTCATTTTCATTGCAGGTTTTCATCGGTATTGCAGCTTTCTTTGTTGTCAGTATTGGTGGTGTTCTTATTGGATTATTATGGGCGTATTTAACTGCGTATTTGAGCAAATTTACTGATCACGTGAGAGGTACGTATGTATGTACGGTAGGTAAATATACAGACGACATGAAGTATTAGAGAACAATCCAGTGCGGTTTCTGTGTGGCTTCAAAAGAATTATTAGAGAACAATTTTTAGAATATTTATTAGAATAATTATTAGAACAATTATTTGAACAATTATTAGGACAGCTATTGGAACATTTATTAGAACAGCTATTTGAACAATTAATGGAATAATTATTAAAGAACATTTTAATGCGCGTTCCATATGGCTTACCACAAACGTGTTGACTTCAATTTTTGATTTTTTGACTGCAAGTTTCGGACTCCAGGCTCAGTTTGATCTTTTTGTGGCGTCGGAATATTACTGAAAAAAACAAAAGTACAAAAAATATATAAAATGTTGAATTTGTTTTCTGTCTGTAGTTCTGGAACCGATTTTCATCGTCAGCATGTGTTACATGTCTTACTTAACTGCCGAGTTTTTCCACTTCTCAGGAATAATCAGGTAGGAAATATGACTTAATAAACTTAACATACTTTTTATTCAAGCGTAACATATATTATCCTTATCATTCTATGAGTGTTGTTGGATAAACTTCTCATGATTTTTTCAGTATTGTTACATGCGCCATTGTGATGAAACCGTACGTCGAAGCAAATATTTCGCACAAGTCCAGAATTCCTTTGAAGTATTTCCTAAAGATGGCAAGGTAAGGATCATGTTTTGTTTTATGTTTATGATTTCAATGGATACACGGGGATTTTCGTGAAGGTTTTCCTGTTATATGTCCAGGATTTTAATGGATACACGGGGATTTTTGTGAAGATTTTCCTGTTATATGTCCAGGATTTCAATGGATACACGGGGATTTTTGTGAACGTTTTCCTGTTATATGTCTAGGATTTCAATGGATACACGGGGATTTTTGTGAACGTTTTCCTGTTATATGTCCAGGATTTCAATGGATACACGGGGATTTTTGTGAACGTTTTCCTGTTATATGTCCAGGAACTCACTTGATGTAGATTCAAGAGATGACGAAATTTACGTAGTTGAATTTTTATGTGTAATTTTTCCAGCACCTTGTCAGAGACCGTTATCTTTATGATGTTGGGAGTGATGTTATTTGAGCGAGAACTCGAGCTCCATGCGTCTTTTACAATGGTCACACTGTTCCTAGTTTTTATCTATCGAGCTGTTGGTATGAGTCGCCTTTGCTCTATTTCTTATTGATCATTCTATGAATAGGCTAGTGACATTTATGATCATTGATCATTCTATGAATAGGCTAGTGACATTTATAATCATTGATCATTCTATGAATAGGCTAGTGACATTTATAATTATCGACTATTCTATGAATAGGCTAGTGACATTTATGATTATTGATTATTCTGTGAATAGGCTAGTAACATTTATGATTATTGATTATTCTATGGATAGGCTAGTGACATTTATGATCATTGATTATTCTATGAATAGGCTAGTGACATTTATGATTATTGATTATTCTATGAATAGACTAGTGACATTTATGATCATTGATTATTCTATGAATCGGCTAGTGGCATTTATGATTATTGATTATTCTATGAATAGGCTAGTGACATTTATGATTATTGATTATTCTATGAATAGGCTAGTGACATTTATGATTATTGATTATTCTATGAATAGGCTAGTGACATTTATGATCATTGATTATTCTATGAATAGGCTAGTGACATTTATGATCATTGATAATTCTATGAATAGGCTAGTGACATTTATGATTATTGATTATTCTATGAATAGGCTAGTGACATTTATGATTATTGATTATTCTATGAATAGGCGTCGTAATTCACTTTATTTATCAGGTGTTGTTATCCTCTCTTGGTTGGCGAATACATTAAGATTGAATAAATTAAACAAAGTTGATCAATTCATTATGGTAAGATGTGCTTAAAATATTTCCACCGGCCGCCGCCATGTTTGCTAAGCTTATAAAGTTTTTTCTCAGGCTTACGGCGGTTTGCGTGGCGCTGTGTCGTTTTCATTGGCTATTGTCTTGGATGAAAATGTTGAAAAGAAAAAAATTTTGGAAACTACCACCATTTGTGTCGTTTTCGCTACCGTGTTTTTTCAGGTAATCACCGTTGACGAAATTTAAGTTCATATTTTCACTTTGATCAATCATGTTTTTAGACTTCTTAACTTGCTTTTTGTTACGTCTGTTAGTCTTGATTTCCAACCTTCGTAACTTGCTTCATGCCAGTTTGTTTGACTTCCGCTTCTTCTCTCTGACTTCCGCTTCTTTCTCTCTGACTTTCGGTCTTCTGGCACATTACGTTCGACTGGTACTAAAAAGGAAATTAAAAAGTTTGTTGAAACATTTAGGGCATCACAATCAAGCCCCTGGTCAACTTACTGCGAGTTAAACGTGCTGTAAAGCGGAAGGAAGTCATGTTGGGAGAAGTTAATGATAAGGTAAAGTCTTGTTGGGAGAAGTGTATGGTAAGGTAAAATCATGTTGGGAGAACTTAATGATAAGGTATAATCTTGTTGCGATAAGTTAATGATAAGGTAAAGTCACGTCGAGAGAAGTTAATGATAAGGTAAAATCATGTTGGGAGAAATTAATGATAAGGTATAATCTTGTCGAGAGAAGTTAATGATAAGGTAAAGTCACGTTTGGAGAAGTTAATGATAAGGTAAAATTATGTTGGGAGAAGTTAATGATAAGGTAAAATCTTGTCGGGAGAAGTTAATGATAAGGTAAAGTCTTGTTGGGAGAAGTTAATGATATGTTAAAATCATGTTGGGAGAAATAAAGGATAAGGTATAATCTTGTCGAGAGAAGTTAATGATAAAGTAAAGTCACGTTGGGAGAAGTTAACTATAAGGTAAAATCATGTTGGGAGAAATAAATCATAAGGTATAATCTTGTTGAGAGAAGTTAATGATAAAGTAAAGTCACGTTGGGAGAAGTTAATGATAAGGTAAAATCATGTTGGGAGAAGTTAATGTTAAGGTAAAATCATGTTGGGAGAAGTTAATCAAAAGGCAAAAACGAATTTGGAAAACAAGTGATTTACAATTATCAACAGCAATCTCTGAGCATTTTGACAGATGTAAAGTTCAAAAATCTATCTTCTATGGTGAGGTAGGACTGACGTTCACCATAGGAGAGGGTGCAGTAAATCAATGGTAGAGTCCAACACGTTGCAAATGGCAAATCCCACAGTGCAATTGCCCTTTAAAAATTTAAAAAATTTTCTTTAATATTCTGCCTAGTTGATGGATCATCTTCTTGGTGGAGTTCAAGATGTAATCAAACACAGAGGAAGATATTACTGGATGGTATGATTAATGTTATTTACTAATGACGACCTTGTTATCATTTTGCGGAACGAAAAAATTTTCTGTTGTATTCATGTTTCGACTTGGACATCAGTCGTTCACACTGAGCATGATTAAAATTAGACATTTGCATTCTTGTAATAAATAAGTCTTTGCTATTCAGAAATAAATTCGTTGCTTTTATTTCCTGGTGATCGTATGCAATGACTCTTCCACTGAGTTGATACAATCTTAATTCGAAATCAGTTCGATGCTGATTTATTTAGCTATATGTTGTGTGAAGAATGGAATAATTTACATAATTTATATAAATTTATTGCAGAATTTGTATCACTATGTCGACTTAAAATACATGAGGCCTATATTTATGCGAGAAATGACGGACAAAAAAGTGATTGACGAGACTGTGTTAATGGTTTACAGAAAGATTTCATCGCGGTAAGTATTTGAATCTGTTTTTTATGTAATTCTCATTGTCTCAGTGTTATCCAGCTGATGGTCTCTTGTTTGATGTCTAAACAAGTTCCTATACAGGATCCTCTTAGAACCTTGTATCTTACCGTGGGATCCTACAAGATCCTGTAACGTCCTATAGAATCTTAATTAACATTTTATAGGATCCTCATTTAAGATCAAGATCTTAATTTTGAGCAATTACCAATTTACCCACCTGAATTGTTATTTGATAGAATCGAATCAGGGGGGTTAATGCATCAGATTACTTTTCGAATACTTATTATGACCACGAGCCCATCATCAATTTTATTAGTCTACACTAATATAACGCTTCTTTGAAGTATGTAATGTTAATCTGCATAATATGCGGACGAATTTGAAACCACGTGACTTTGATATTGCCTGTTTTTAAATTTTCTGAATATTTTATAGTGAACATGCTTCACCTGATATGAAACGTGATATACCCGATGACGAGTAAGATAATTTACATTCAATTTTATTATTCATTTACAATCATTAGAATTAGTCGTACACATTCGAATTAGAATTAGTTATACGTAATAGAATAAGAATTAGTATTATGTATAGTAATTACAATTAGTTGTACGCATTAGAATTGGAATTAGTAGTACGCAAAAGAATTAGAATTAGTATTATGCATTGGAATTAGAATTAGTCGTACGCATTAGAATTGGAATCAGCTAAAACGGATTAGAATTAGAACTGGTTATAAGACTTAGAATTAAAATTAGTGATACTTATAAGTAACATTAGCTCATTCATCAATGTTCTTTATTAGTGTCTTCCATTGGATTCCGTAACACGTAACATTACGTACTTTTTACTGGTGCAACTTTTGATTCTTACTGTAATCCATATTTTGGAAGTATGAATCCAATCCCTAAATCGTTAATCAATGTGTATTGGATTCCTGTAGCTACATTTTCATAACACGATCTACGTGATTATTTTTCAGTGAATTTGGGGACGTTGTAAGGGATCCACGTCGATCTGCAGGTAAATATTTTGATTTTTCGTGAAATTGTTTTTGGCATTCAATTTTCGAACACATCGTCTTTTTGAATGGACGTCGTTTGGTTGATGTATTCACGTAATGTCATTCGTACTGTTGCTAGTTTTGTTCACAATTGTCTTTGCTCCGAGACGAGCTTGTTTTCATTGAAATCATGAATATTCATGTCTCGTCACTTTAGGTGGTGGTTTGGCAAGCGAAGACTGTGAAAAATACAAAGTTTTAATGCAACATGCACAACTTTCAATGGCGTTGGGAAGTCAAATTAAGGTCACTACGCTTACTCTACGTATGAACTGATCTTTTCTCATATGAAACTATAAAAACCATTTCATTTATATCATTCCGTAACCAACACTCACGTTTGCTCGTGGAATGTAACACGTTTGCTTGTGGAATGTAACACGTTTGCTCGTGGAATGTAACACGTTTGCTCGTGGAATGTAACACGTTTGCTTGTGGAATGTAAATATTACATTGTTCATTCGCCATAAAGTCAGTAGATTTCCAAATAAATAAATGATTAAAATTTACAACGATAGCACGAGCAAACTTTCAGTTCCCGTGTACACATACCTCTCTAACTTTCTCACCTCAATTAGATGTGGTGGATCAAAAGGTACGTTTTTTTTTAAAATTTAATTTATTCGTGTTGCAGGGAACAAGAAGATTCTCAAAGAACAATATCGTTGACGAGACGGATATTTGCGATAAAGCTTTGCGCGTGAGAAGGTAGGAATGCAAGGAGTTGATCGAAATTCAATCAGTTTTCTATGGCTTCTCAAATGTGTACGAAATAATAACATTGAACAACACAGTCTTAAATGAAATGGGAGACCACAAAGTCTTAAGTTAAAAGGGAGACCACAAAGTCTTAAGTTAACCTTATAATATTTGGTGCACTAGGAAACGTAATTCTCTTCAATCAGTGTCGACGCTTTTTCCCCAACAAACATGGAGACTTTATAGTCCTCGTTCGAAATTTTAGGATTTTGCCAAGAACATCGTCCTTTTATTTAAAATTTAGTTTATCAGCATAATTCATCTTTCAACTGTCATGAAAAACTACTGCATGTTTTTTACGATGTGTTTCCCGTTCGCAGGCATTCACGACAAATGCCGCACGTTCCTCGCAGCGTAATATCAAGGCAGGTATCACGACAATCACCTAGCAACGGTGCCAGCGAAACAGATGGTCCACCACCACCCCGTTGCAGACATCATAGACACAACCGAAATCACAAACACCGTAAGCATAAGAAAGTAACAAAAAAGTTGAGTGATATTCCGGAGAGTCCTACGTCGAATGACGCAACATCAGATAGCCCTCCTTTGAGTAAATCTCCCGAAGATCGTAATCTGCTGCCTAAAATAAGTGATTTCGGATCCTGCAGTCCTCAACTCGCTATGAAATTCAGTAGATCAAGCGAGCCCGCGGTATCAAATGATCCCGAGTCACCGATGATGGCCGACACTGTAATGTGATGAAAGCGTATGACGTAGAAATATTGTGTTGGGTAGAAATACCTCACTTTCTCTCACATCGAAGAATATTATCTTGAATTCAAGCAAATAGTAGCTTTCATTATGGATGATCAAATATTTAAATACCACGCTTAATTCTTTCATAGTGAAAACTGTACATAGATGGAAAATAATCACCCCGATGAAGACGAGTTAACCTTCTCGGATGTACGCCCTAAACTTTTTTCTCAAACTCGCCATGCATTAACCATTTTGTATTCATTGTTCTTCAGCTAGATACCCACCCTCTTGTCGATTTTCATTCAAACGCTCGAACGGGTTCAACTTTTCACGGGAAATTTAGTTTTATTTAAAGATACGGAATGATCATTAGACAAGAAAGCAAAACATCAAGACTTAGCCACTTGCAAGCTTTTGCTTTTTCCTATAGGTAGTTATTCAATATTTGTGAATCAAATCATTTTAAGTTTCGTGCTCGTGTTAGAGGATTGGAACGAGTCGTGTAACATTAAATAACATTTGCTTTTCATAATACGATTTGTAATTCATAGGGAGTAGATAAATGGGCTGGCCACTACTCCTATCTTATTTGATAAACTTGTTTTTTTCTTAGACACGAGAAGATAATGTAATTAGCTAAGAATGTAATGTAAATGTACTTGTAATATTGAATTGTTTTGAACAATCAGCAATTACAAATGTTCAATTTTTCGCAGGATGTGACTTAATTTAGTTGTGCTTTAAGTAAAAGCTAAATGACTAGATTTTAAGCCTCACAAACTTTCGAAAAACCTTAAAAACAATCATTTGTCCAATGTCGTCCTCATGGATGGAAAAACGTTTTTGTCACTGCACATGGCACATGAATCCGACGAACATAAATGAAACAATATTTCTAGCTAAAAGTTTCGTAGGAATAAAATTATGTCGTTAATATTGTAAAGAAATTGTTTTAACACAAAATTTCAAGATAGAAGTTTCGAAGAAATGAAAATATGATTTTAAAATTTTAATGAAATTGCTTTAACACTGCAAGACGTCGAAGAAACATCGAAATTCAAGTAGGAACGACAGCAAATTGCGTTGACTTTTAACTTTTCTTATAATGATGTTGGAATTGTCGACATTTTCAATATTCTCTGTTTCGTAGATGGGTGGTAAATTCAGCATCGTTTGCAAATTTTCACCGAAAAGGCTGCAAGAAGTTTGTCTGGTTGGCTCGGATATTGAGGAAATTCTTGTGCCAGACTGGAAAGTATGTCTTGCGCAACCTAGATCTAGCTTGCGCAATTTCGGGAGAAATGCGCGTCCTGACGCGCAGATTTTAAAAAATTTCTTGTTCGCCGCGCATTTGTGAAATTTGCCGCGCAGCGCTAGAAATTATTGCGCAATATCAGCACATGTGCGCTGCAGCGCTGTTGTTTCCGTTGAAAAAAATTGTTGCCTGTTGAATGTCAATCTTACAAGCTGTTTTTACAGGCAAGTTCCGTTAATTGATTGGTAAGCCAATAAGCGTTTGATGACTAGAAATATGATATCTGGGCAGATTAACTACACATTCTTTGCTTTCGTTTTTCGAGCTTTCTCTTTTTAAGTGACTTCAAGGCAAACCATATCGATTCTTCGGTGTATTCTACGGTGATACGTGATATTTAATTAAACCAACTTGGGGTGTTCAAATTTGTAAGGTGAGTACACGTAATGGTTTAGTAAAATCAAAAGTACTGATACAAAATTACAAATGATAAAAATTCTGAAAGCATTAACGCTTCTAACACTAAACGCCCGGGGAAACAAGTTATTATTTAACAGTTATGTTTTTTGTGTAACCTAAAAGTAGTGGTACGAAAGGATTTCTTGTATTACAAACTACAAAGCATGTTTTAATTTATTTAAGGCAAATAAAATTCACAATCCTTACATAAAACATATTGATAAATGAAGCAATTTATAATTAAAACCGGTTTGCTAACGAACTAACAGGGCTTAGCTCGCTATTGTTTGGTGATAAAGCGAGATTTTTTGACAAACTTTTTTATCTAATTGTTTATTTATTTTTACTAGATGGCTGAGATTCAAGCAGTTAAATCAGGTAAATTCACGCGTTACAATAGTCGAAAATTTTCCTAACAACAATATACACAATATATATCAGCCATTGGTTGATTGCAGGAGCTGATTCGGTGATTCCTCGACAATATTCACTTCTCACTAAGAGTACCAAACCAACATTTGTGTGTTGCTAAAAACTAGTGCTGCTTGCCTTTGATACCAAAAAAACATTCATTACATTATCTTAACTTATGTTTTCATTGTTGTTGCCTAATTACTAGTTTGCGTTTCATGCAAGAAGGAATGTGGAAGCCATTTTTGCAAATTTTGCAAAAAAACGTGCCACGCAATTCCGCCTTGCTCAACATCAGCAGGTGATGATGAAGGTTTTGGTGCCCAGGTCTTGTGTAGTGGCTGTGCAAAAACTGAGACAGCAGCAGTGGCTAAAAATAAGCAGCAAACACTGTCTAAGGAAGGTAACAGAACAATTATCTAGTGTTAGAATGTTAGTCGTGTGTAAGAGTGATCGTGTTTGCGTCACAAAGAAAAGTGGCATGACATTGTCAGTGGGTTTTATAAAAACAATAGTAAACAACCAAGATTGGCTATCGACACATTTGTAACCATAAAAATTGTGTGTTATAGAGTTTCAGTTTGCCAACATGTTTAAAAGACATAGCAAGCAGCAGAAAACAGGACCAGAAGCAAAGCGAGCAAAGAGTGGACACGAGAAAACCCCAATGGGCTTTTGCTTACTTTGTTTTAGGCAAGGCAAACGCAAATTTTGGCTTGCTAGAGGGAACAAGTCCTCTCTAGCAAACCATTTAAAAACTCACAGCGACAAGGGCGAAAAGACCTTAGCAAATGACGCTATTAGAGAAGATTCCCCTCTTGCTAAATCTGCGCTACAGGCGTACAAAATGCTTAAATCGGCTAGGTAAATGAAAATCAAGTTCCCAATTCCCAAATTGAGAACTGCACTTACATTGTGTATGTTTTCTATGTTAATTGTATTTTCAGTACAAGCCAAGTGCAACAAAGTGTAGTGGCGACGGAATGGGAGAACGGATAGAAATTATGGAAGTCGATGAAAGGTAGCTAAATTGCTCATTCCCCTGCGTGAACCATAAAATAACCGAATATCACAAACTGCATACATGTTATATAATACATTTCTTTTACATATACAGTGATAGCTTTTTAAAATTATGAATATTAAATTGTTTCAGAGAGCTTGGTAAGGATACGGCTGGACATGCAACTGACGAGCTTTCGTGCAAAATCGTTTCTGGTGTCAGTGAATCTGAAAGTTGGGAGGAAACCGATGAAAAATATGAGAGGTTTGTTAGTGAAATACGGCATTTTTCTTGCATTATAGTATCAGATTTTACGACATTTTGTCACGATATTTTGTGAAATTTATGCCATAGTGGTTGAAAGTGTTGACTTTTTAGTTCAAGGCTTCCAATAATTCACTTGTTCGGATAAGTAATTTCTACATTACAAATTTCTTAAGTCGTTTAATATTAACGATGAAATCATTAAGTATTTCAACGTCTTCTGTTGAATTTCTTAGTACATATACTTTTCACACAGTTTGCAAGAAAATTTTAATGTTGGCTTTTTAACACTTTCATTGTTACAGCGAAGAGATTGTGAGAGTTAATGCAGTAAGTAAGACGACCAAATAAAGTTTTACATTTTAATCACGTCTTCGTAAATTCCTCCAATCTTCCCCGCCAACGATCATTAATTCTTGCTGTGATCTTTTCAAATACTTACATTGTTAAAAGAAAATTTATTTATAACGAGTTGCGAAACAAGTCATTTGTGTTATATTGATTTTATAGCAGACGGAAGCAAAACCCGTGAAGACTGTTTCAATTTTGTTGAAACACTGAAAGATCGGAAATTTGTTATAAGGTACGAAGACTTAGTTCTTTTGTATTGTTCTCAAAATTAAAGACTGAATGCATGATATATGTTTAAAATACCAGGTTGAGTTTTTAAATTTATTCATTGTATGTAGCCTAATGGCAATTTTGAGGAAATTACATTGCGTTAGGCGTTATAAATTTAATCGCCAAGAGCCTGTCTTTCTATTCAATTTGCTTCTTATTTTTCTTAGAACGTATCCTTCTAGATTAATCATTATATTTCTAACTGCGCAGATTATTCAGACAACACGGTAAAAAATCATTCAGTGCAAAACTATACAGACTGAAAGGATTCCATGCAATTGGAGTCTTTTTGTTGAGTTTTTATCCACAAGTAAAGTTGCGGATTACGACATCGTTAGAACAAGGCAATAATCTTGTTCGCGTATACTCATGACGCAGTGATATGATGTACCTGTCTGAAAATGCACATACAAACAAATTTTCCAATTATTAAAAATCTTCCAAGAGAAAAATTTAAGTACTCAAAGTTATAGGCTCAGAAATGTCTATTAGGCCGGTGAAGTATTTAAGTTATGAGAATCTAAAAAATTGTTACTCCTCTGGTTTATTATCAACCATTTATTTATGCTGCTATTTTGCATAAGTCAAATACCTTGATCAACTGATCATCGAATATGTTTTCAACTTTTAAAAAGTGCGAAAGAAACTTTAGAAGTTAGCTTGAAAAATTTTTGCTTTCAACTCAATGATGGAAATTCGAGGAGGTTTTGTCCCCAACCAAAATATCTTGCGGTGCTTTTGCGTGGGAGATTAGCGTGTTTTGTATGAGTGGATGAATTTTTGGAATTTCAAACTGTATCCAACATTGTCCATCATCAACATTTATTTAATTTCATGTATTGTAATAACTGACTAAAACTGAAGGGAAACATTCTCTTCCTCTAAGGTGACATATTCTTTTATAAGAGTTTGATAAGAGCTCAGCTCACCATGGGTTCAACGACAGCGGTTTTCGTTGGAAGAATCGTAGTCAATCGATTGTAAAAGTCAAACCATCAATTTCTTAGCAGTTGCGATCAGGAAAAACTAGCTGAATTCCAGTTTAATTATTAAGACTATGAATTTACTTATCTCTTGTGTTTTGTTGTTCGAATCATATTTATGGTGATTTATGCATGCGATATAATAACTGATGAAATTTTGTATTTTCTCAAATACTGATGATTTTCATTTTCAACCTAAGACATCTACGACCAAATAAAGTTTTAAATTTTGATCACGTCTTCTTAAATTCCTCCAATCTTCCCCGCCAACGATCATTAATTCTTGCTGTGATCTTTTGAAATACTTACATTGTTAAAAGAAAATTTATTTATGACGAGTTGCGAAACAAGTCATTTGTGTTATTTTGAGTTTATAGCAGACGGAAGCAAAACCCGTAAAGACTGTTTCAATTTTGTTGAAACACTGAAAGATCGGAAATTTGTTATAAGGTACGAAGACTTAGTTCTTTTATAATCTTCTCAAAATTAAAGACTGAATGCATGATATATGTTTAAAATACCAGGTTGAGTTTTTAAATTTATTCATTGTATGTAGCCTAATGGCAATTTTGAGGAAATTACATTGCGTTAGGCGTTATAAATTTAATCGCCAAGAGCCTGTCTTTCTATTCAATTTGCTTCTTATTTTTCTTAGAACAAATCCTTATAGATTAATCATTATATTTCTAACTGCGCAGATTATTCAGACAACACGGTAAAAAATCATTCAGTCCAAAACTATACAGACTGAAAAGATTCCATGAAATTGGAGTCTTTTTGTTGAGTTTTTATCCACAAGTAAAGTTGCGGTTTACGACATCGTTAGAACAAGGCAATAATTTTGTTCGCGTATACTCATGACGCAGTGATATGATGTACCTGTCTGAAAATGCACATACAAACAAATTTTCCAATGATAAAAAATTTTCCAAGGGAAAAATTTAAGTACTCAAAGTTATAGGGTCAGAAATGTCTATCATGTCGGTGAAGTAACTAAGTTATGAGAATTAAAAAAATTGTTTCTCTTCTACTTTATTATCAACCAATTTTTATGCTGTTATTTTCCATAAGTCAAATACCTTGATCAATTGATCATCAAATATGTTTTCAACTTTTAAAAATTGCTAAAGTAACTTAAGAAGTAAGCTTGAAAAATTTTTACTTTCAACTCAATAATAGAAATTCGAGGAGGTTTTCTCCCCTTCCCAAAAATATCTTGCAGTGCCATTTTGTGGGAGATTAGCGTGTTCTTGTATGGGTGGATGAATTTTTGGAATTTTAAACTGTATCCAACATTGTTCATCATCAACATTTATTTGATTTCATGTATTGTAATAACTGACTAAAACTGACTATTTTCTTGTCCTTCGTTAACGTTTTAAATGAATAATTTGAGAATTCCTTTCGTTTCTCCCCAGCAAGGATCACTGTCTCCTGCTGTGGTAATTTGAAATGCTTGCATTTTTGAAAGATTTTAATCTGCTGCTTGCAAATAGCAAAATAGGCATTCGAAATACTTTGATGGTTGTAATATGATGGGAACAAAAACAGCGAAGTATACTTGTTGAACTATGTCATACTTATCGTTCGTTTTCCTAAGTTGCAATGTTTTTTAACAAGATCAAACACCTGTATATAAAGTACAAGAATACAAGATCATCAAATATGGAAGAACCGAAAGTTTTAATGTAGTCATGTTAAGTAATTTCGAGCTCTACCAAATCATCTTTTAAAACTTATTACTACCTACAATAAATAATTCAGGCTTACAAAGATTTGGAAAAATGATTAATAGCTATATTGTTGCCAGTTGTACATTTACGCGTACATTTGGCCACTTCCATCATTTGCTAACTGAAGTTTCCACAAATGAATTACCTTCATTGTATTTTTTCATTGAATATCTTGGTGCATGGAATCTTTGAATGGGTTCAAATGTCTCAAAAATGGGTGTGCATTGTAGGCTTATGTTTCCAACATGTATCGTTTACACGTTTGCTTTAAAACATAAGCAAAAAAGCATATTACAAACAGTCCTAACATGTGTGGATTTTTATAAAACATAACGAATTAAGAAGTCAAGAAAGTATAGGACACAATACAAATATTAAGTAAGTAATGCATTGCTGAGATATAGTATAACGGTGACAGTCGACTTTATTACACAGGTATTTGCTACATTTCCAAAATGGATAACTCATCTCCTGACGTTGGTTCAACATTTGAGATGGAACTTTCCATTTAGGAAAGTGAAAGAAATTTGGAAATAACAATGGAGAGTTCCGACAAATCTTCGCTTGATTCCGATAAGAAATCTACATCATACAGTGACTTACCAGTGGCTTTATCGTTCTTGAAAAGGGGGAATTGTAGTATTGATAATAGAGATTATGAAACAGCAATTGAACTGTACAAAAAATGTTTAAAAGGTGCAGAGGAGAAAAGCGTCAAAATGATGGCACATTTTAGTCTTGGTAACGCTTACATCCTCTCTGATAAAATGGAGGAAGGATTGAACTGTTTTAATGAATGCTTGAATTTTTCATCTAAAGTAGACAGTAAATATTTTCAACATGAAGTATATTTTGGGCTGGAGAGTGTTCGTTCCACCAATAACAGATTAGATGATGGTATAAAGAAAGAAGAAATAGACTCTCTCTGCCATGTTGCATTGGGAGGATTGAATAAGTTGAGTAGAAATTACGAGCAGTCCTTGGAGCATTACAAAAAAGGATTCTCTCTTATTGAAAGTCTTTACAAGCAAGAAATACAACTTTCGCAACAGGAAAATCCACAACATCGACAAAAGAAAGTTGGTGGTATTAACGTTAGTAAAGATTTTATCGACCATAACATAAAGAACTTGTCAATTATTACTTCAACAGGAATCATGAATGGAGTGCTAATTGTTTATTGGGAATTAGCAGAATTGTTTGATAAACTTGAACAATGGGATGATGCAACACGTATTTATGAAATATATCTTGAGATTGTGAGAAAAGATGAAGACATAGAAAAACAAACCAACGTTGTACAGCGTCTGATACAAATATATGAAAAGGATGAACGTTATGCCTTAAAGGAGTCTATGGTATTAAATTTACAAAAACTGGATGAAAAAAAGAAGAACAAAGGTAAACAATACATACGAATTTAGTTTTAGAGGCAGTTTAGATTGATTAACAAAAATAAAAATAGGATTGAATGTGGCAGAATACTTTTATTTGCAGTTTATTACTTAATTTATTTGGCACAGAAATGTTTAGTGTGTTATAAGCATTTCTTTTTCAATGCAAATGCAATTTTTCAACGGAATAAATTTTTATTTTTTGAAAAAATCGGTCTCATTCGTGAAAACTCTAGCTGAATTTGCTCGTGTAAAGGCTTGATTATGCGATTTTGGAGACATGGTGCACATCATCAAATACTTTTTTGTCTTACCAGAGCTGTTTATTTCATGGTTTATGATATAAAGGTTGTTGATTAGTTATTTTGATAAATTATGCAATTGTATCAGAATCCTCGTTGCTATAAGGACACTTGAGCTTCTTTTTTAAAATCAATCAAGCAATCAGTCAATTGGATGTTGTGATCGTTAATTCCTTTCAATATTTAAGTGAGATCTGTTAACAGCAAGGTGTGATTAATGAGGGATGAGAGGTAGTGGTTTGTGTATTGGAGATGCTACTTCGAAATGTGATATTTCTTTGCTGATCATATGTAAGGCTTAATAAAAAGTTATCACATTATACAAACAGTCAATTTTTGTTTAATTTTGAACTGCGGTGAAGTATTTTTGCTGACTTATGTTTTGCGATTTATTGTGAGTTACGCTTTTTGGTATTTTAAAAAGTGTTTGGAAACAGTGTTTGATTCGTGATGTGTGGCATGTTTGCTTGTAGAGCGGAATTTAAGGCGTCTACCTTGTAAATATTGGATCAATTATTTGGCTTTTAACTTTTTTGCCGCAGATAATACCAAAACAGTGCATTAAGTACCATGTTTTATTTATTTTTTAGTTTTATTTAATTTTGCCTAAATAGAACTTATGTATTCACCACAAATAATTTAATGTACATTACTCATTTCAGCAGCTTTACTCTACTTCAACACAAAAATATAATGTAGTAATTAATTAATATATTTGCTGAAATCAGTTTCCCAGAAATAATGTGTACAATTTCATGTCACTAGGACTAATTCTTTATCGTTATTCATGTCATTACATATCTATTGTTTCTCATGTGGGTTGACACAAAACATTAGCGTAACAGGAATAGAAAAGAAGGCTGACTACGTTAATGAATGGGAGTATAAGCTGCGGATTGCATTTAAAAAAATATTGACTAATCGCAAATAAGAAATTCCAAGGCTGTCATCGGAGCAAGAAAAATGAATTCTGGCTTAGACGATTCTGAGTTTAATTATCTCATTTAAACAATAATTTTCACCCTTGCATTTTAAGTATTTCGAATTTACAATTATCAGCTGTAATTAATTTTCTTTGAACCTTTCGTATATGTTTTTCGTGTGCGTATTATTGTGTAAGAAATTAGAATTGGATGAAATGGGCCACTTCGGGTTTCATCACCAGTGGCATAGCCAGCTGCATGTTTTGGTCCTGCAATGTAAATTTCAAAACATCATTATTTGTTTTTCCAACACAGAAAAATTGCCATAACATTATTATTAAGTAAGCAGCTGGCTACGCCACTGCTCATCTGTAGTAAAATTTCACTGATAACCGTTTGGTATTAAAGAAACGAAAGTCAATGTAATACACACTGAAAGCGTTATATCACTTTTTAAAATTATAAAACTTCATGTATTTAGTGTTTTTGTGGTTTCCTATCTTTTACTTTACAAGAATAAATTGCTTAAATTAGTATTTTCTGTTTGATGCTTATTTCTAAGTTGGTTTTTCACATTGTAAATTGCTTTCCAAATCTTCGGTGCAACTGCGAAACTTGGAGTTACTTTTATTTGTTTGGCTTTTTTCACATTTTATCCATGCATTCTAAGTGTAATATTTTTACTCTAATTTTAGAATTGCAGTTTCAAGAGTGGGAATGTATCGATGAATCAAAAAAACATAAAGAATTGTTGTTAAAATTGATCGATAATGGGCGCGATCCCAAAGTTAAGGTTGAACATGTAAACGATGTACGCGTAATTTTCTCAGAGGAGTTTTGCATCGGCAAAGGAAGTGATGGAACCCTTGTTTATCTTGGATTGGCAAAGAATGGTTACGGCAAAGCAGTGAAACGAATACGAAAAGACAACTGCACCAACATTGCAGACCATGAAAAGAAAATTCTCAATAAAAAAAATGCTAAGGAATCAAAACATGTTGTGAATTATTGCTCTTTAGTGGAGGACGCTGGAGAATATGTCTATTTGGTACTTGACCTGTGTGAAGAATCGCTGGAAGATTTTGTGCAATCAAATGAATTAGCTAATCTTGTGGAATCGCTTCCTAAAATTCTCGAACAAATTTTAACAGGATTATTTGATCTCCATAAAGGCTCAGATCCTATTCTTCACCTGGATTTAAAGCCTTGCAATGTTCTACGAGATGCACATGGAAAATTTCTTTTAGCTGATTTCGGTATAAGTCATATATTGAAGAAAGGCTTAAAGACATATCGTGCTACATCTAGAAAAGGAACTGAGCATTGGATTGCTCCTGAATCGTATTGTGAAGATGAGGATTCATTTGATAAAGGACGTTACAAGAGAGAGTCTGACATAATGGTAGGTGTAGAAATGTAACCATTTGCTAATTTCATATAAATTCAATTTTTTAACTTTGCGTTTATCTCTGTTGCGTTTTTTCATTAATTTTAGAATGCAGGAATGGTGGCTTATTATGTTGCAACTAAAGGGAAACATGCTTTTGGATCTTTGGAGTTTAGACTACATAATATGTTGAATGGAAACCCAGTTGGCTTGGATGAAATCAATAATGTTGAACTTAAAGATCTTCTCACATGGATGCTACAGCTAAAACCTGAACTTAGGCCATCAGCAAACGAAGCGTTAAAACATCCTTATTTACTGTCCAATAATGATAAGTTTGACCTTCTCTGTGATGTTAGAAGTCAACTGGATACAGAGATACCAAATTTAAATCATCCTCTCTACGAAGATGTCCGTGAGCTAGTAAATGGTCTAGAAAATTGGAAAGACCGTGTGGATTTTAAAACATCAAATAATCTCAGAAAAGAAGACTACGAATCTACATGGTTAGGTTGCTTAAAATTTTTACAAAACTTTCATCAGCATTGGCAAGATGAATCTTGTCCACATCTGTCACAAATGGAAGGCAACTACAAAGAGTATTTCATACAGGTTTTCCCAGAGCTTCCTCTTCTTGTAAACAGAATTGTAAGGTTATGTGATTGGAAATCAATACTTGATCGTGAGGAAAATTTTAAGAGTAAGCAACAACCATAAAAATATTTTTGTTATAAAAGTATAGCTAAATTAGTGTTCGAAATATAAATATTACAGCCGAGGGTCTAATACGTAGAATTATTTACTGGGTCTTTGATATTTATACTTCGAGTCGATTCCTGTCTGATTTATTGGTTGCAACTAGATTAAATTAGTGTTCCGCTGTGGGGCGGATGCAGCTCAAATTTTAACATTCTATATTTAACGTCGCTCAAAGCAACATAATGCAATAGAAAGTGAAAGATTTTTTGGTTGGGGGAAGGGGGGAAGGTATATCGGCTACGACATGTTGTGTCACTCTCGAATGGTAAATCTTCGGTTATATACCCGATTTTGACTTCAACTTAAGAACAATAATCAAATTGTATTATACTTACAGAAAAATCTATAAGTCTACTAATACTACGCTAGAAAAAATTGATATTAGCTATCTTTTTAAAAAACTGTTCGATCTAGTTATATATCCCTTCCTTCGGTTCCTTGAATTCCATGTCACAGTAATGTTCCTCATGTATTGTATCTGTTTTTTGTCTGTTGCCAAATTCACTGATGAAAGTATTGTAGCAATAAAAATAGAATCAATCGAAATGTTCAGCGTCGAAAGTAATTTTTGAATGTCGAAAATTATAGAGTTGAGGCTCGAAAATAAAAAGTGTAGTGTCAACGATGTGTAAGCTAAAAGCCAAAATGAACCGTTCTTTTATTCTTCCGCTAAAAAGTAAATAGACACAAGAAACATGCTTCTGAAACTTTAGGAAAAAATATGTTGGAATCATTTATACACAATGAATGTGTTGTCGAGAATTTGCCTCCGCTTTTAGATCGTAGTCCTCGACAACTCACAGATATACGTTTGTTCAACTAAATATATTGTACTCATGCAACCCAAAGTTGCCGTTTTGAATACAGTCACCGTGCACGAACGTTTGCTCTTATTCTAATCACAGTACAGATACTAATGAATAATCGTAATGGTACATCACTATTTCACTATCATAAAAAACAAAACACTTCTAAGTCCCTCCCAATAAATGTCAATCATATTTACTACGGTATGTCCGTCAGTCCCGACACACTCCCCTATATATTAATTTTAAAATATATAACAGAAGGGACTGACTTCGTTAATGTTCAAAAAAGGATTATTATGCATGCAAATGTTTAAATATAATTTTATAAATGTCACCACTCTTCAGTTTCCACATGTTGTTGCATTCTTACTTCTGCAGCAACTGCTGCATCACGTCGTGGTTTCGGTTGGAATTCAGGAGCTGCAGGATTCAATTCGCCTTTGGGATCTAAGTCACACGATAACTCTAGAGGGTAGAGTTGCTGCACAGCCCGCTCGAGTCTTCCCTTCGCTGTTCTCAACCTTACTCCCCGTACAACTCCGTCCCGTCCACGGATCAGGTCTTCCACAATACCTACCTTCCACATATTCCGGTTCTTTTCTTCACTTTCAATTGCTACCACATCCCCATGGTTTGGATAATCTGATTGCTTTCCACCATTCCTTTGTTTGTGGCGCTCTCTCAATCCTCTGATGTACTCTCGCGTCCATCGTCGCCATATCTGATCTTTGTATTTCCTCAGCTGTTTAGCTCTTTTCCGTAGATTGGTCAATTCTTGTTGATGAGGTTTGACTTCAGGAAGATCATTTGGGTTTATGTGCAGCAGCTTGTTGGGAGTGAGCACTGGTTGCTCAATTTCGTCTTCTACGTAGCTTAATGGGCGATTGTTAAGTGCTACCTCAACGTCCAAGATGATTTCAGACAACTCCTCCCATGTCAATCTACCATTTCCAACGCTCTTATAGAAGCTACGCTTAAAAAGACCAATTAGTCGCTCAAATTGTCCACCCCACCAAGGAGCTCGACTTAAGTTAAACCTCCATTCTATCTTTCGTTTCGTAAGAAACAAGTTGAGGTTTTCATCCTTCTGGGCTAATCTAAGCCACTTTTCTGCAGCCTTAAATGTAGTAGCGTTGTCCGAATATATTATCTCCGGTCTTCCTCTTCTTGCAATTAATATTTTCAGGCTCGGGACGAACTCTGCAACTTCCAGTGATCTCAACAACTCCATGTGCACTGCTCGGGTTAGACTGCACGCGTAAAGAACAAGGTATGCCTTTCTTTCCACTTTTCCTTTCCCCATGTGTCGAATAGGGCCAGCGAAGTCGACTCCTAGCACTTGAAATGGAGTTGACCCTTGGGTTCTTGTAGTTGGCAATCTTCCTTCCGGTGGGTTTTGGAATGACTGTGCTCGAAACTTTACACAACCATAGCATTTGGACCTCACTTGCTTCACTAGTCGACGCAGTTTCGGGATCCAATATCGCTCTCGCACTTCGGCCATGGTTGCTGAGACTCCCCCATGGAGCGTTGTTAAATGTGCTTGTTCCACAATTCTCCTCGTAAATGTGGATTTTGTCGGTAGGAATATGGGATACTCCCCTCTATTCTACTGCGACACTCTAGTATTCCATTGCACCTTGGTTGAAGGTTTAATTCCAGCTTTAGGGTTTGATAACAAGACTGCTCTCTAAACCAATTTTGTTCACGTCTGATCCACCACAGTGTGCAGTTTTCAATTTCGTGGTACTTTATAGGACCTGCCTCTCGTTCATCGCGTGCTCGCCTGCAATTGTTGATGAATCTTCTTATCCAAGCAGAGATACGAAGGGTTTTGCATAATGGATACGATTCGACTAACGTGTCGAACTCGTTTTCCTCCTGGTGTTCCGCTCCAGCCATGACGTGTGCCGAAGACTTTTCTTCCTTTCTTATCTCCTCAGTGACTACAGGAAGTATCTCTTGCGGCCAATTCCCTTTATTGCTTAGCCACTTTGGTCCATGTCTCCAAAGCTCGTTGTCGACTACATGCCCACCGCGGCTCCCAATGTCGGCTGGGTTTTCAGTTGTTGGAACATGGCGCCAGACGATGTGATGGTGCTGTTGGATCTTTCTCACTCGATTTGCTACAAACTGGCGATATTCACCCTGACCGTTTATCCAGCATAACGCTACCGTGGAGTCGAGCCAACAATGAATTGATGTCACTCTTTCTTTACCGATTGCACGCTCTACATTGATCACCAGGTTTGTCACCATATGTCCAGCAACAAGTTCTAACCGTGGAATAGTAAGATTTCGTTTCGAGATCCGCGATTTAGAACAAACGATGCCTTGAGTGAGGTTATCTTCTTGATCCGTTACAGCGTAAACTACCACAGATACACCATCCTTGCTAGCATCTCCAAATCCGTGTAGATGAATAGACCGTACAGGCACATGAAGGGGTGCTAGTGGACGATTGACTGTATATGTATTAGGCAGTCTGTTGTACCAATCCCGCCATAACTTTCCCATGACATCATCAAACTCCTGATCCCAAGATAAACGACTTTCGCACATTTTCCGATACAGGAGTTTCCCAGTAAGCATTGTCGGAGATATAAGACCAATTGGATCGTAAATCTTTGCTAGTTGCGACAATGCACCTCTCTTTGTCGTCGCTGCGCTTTCTTCCTTTTCTGCGACGACACTGAACGTATCTTGCAGTTTATTCCAAGGCAGGCCCAGTATCTTTGCTCCTGTGTCCATTGTTCCGAGTTGTTCCTTTGCGTAGGTTGCGTTTGTTTTGTCTATGTCTTGTTCGGGTAGATCATCGTTGGATTTCTCCAGTTCAGCTGCATTGGAGTGCCATTTATGAAGCTTGAAGGTAGCATCACTAAAAATTTCTATCGTTTTCTTCTTCTTTAACAACACTTCGCCAACATTTGTGCCGCCTTCCATAAGGTCATCAACGTAAAGACCGTCCTTAATCTCCTTTACAAGAGCTGGATATGTTCTCTCCCATGATGTCAAATGTTCGTTCAGGACTCCTCCAAGAAGAAATGGCGAACACGTCAAACCAAACAATGCTCTCGTAAACCTATACACCTTAATTTCATCATCCCCGGGTGCTTTCCAGTGGAATCGTAACGCATCTCTCTCCGATTCCTTTATTCGTACTTGCAGGAAAGCCTTTTCGATGTCTCCAGTAACAACTATCGGGTGAAAGCGAGCACGGATCAGCACATCCCATAAATGATTTTGTAGCGGAGGTCCCGCGTTTAGGCAATCGTTTAACGATGGTTGGGTGGCGGACTCTTTAGCTGAAGCATCGTAAACTATCCGTAGCTTGGTGGACTCAGCAGCTTTCTTCACAACTGGTTTGTGAGGGATGTAGAATTCTCTTTTGGAGGCCTTTGTAGGGGCAATTTCTACTACGCCTTTTTCCAGCTGTTCGTTTATGATTGCGTTGTATTCTTCGTACATTCCACTGCGCTCTAAACGTTTCATCAAACTATTCAGTCGTCGCAGACTTCCTCGCTCATATGATGGAAGCTCCGGGTGGTATGTCTTCCAAGGCAGACTGGTCTCGTACCAGCCCTCGTCATCACGAGACAGATCTTCTCTAAATTGGTCGTAGACGAGAAGAGGGTTCTTCTCCGGCGTGTCTTCTAAACCGAGCACATCCAGCCTGCACAATCGTTCAAGGTCATTTTGCGAGTTTGTGGTTGTCGTTAGTAGCATCATGTTCTGGTCAACTTCAACGCCAGGGCTCATGATGATCCATCCCAACTTTGTCAGCTCTGCTATTGGGTCCCCTTCTTTACCAACCAACGGTTTTGTCCTGGTTTTTATGCGAGCATACTCGCCGCTTCCAAGTACGAGATGTATTGGTAACCTAGCCTTCGAATCATCATCGTCCATTTTTACCGAATTTAAATGTTTGTGTTCTCTCACGAGTTTTTCATATTGGGGGTTACTAGTAGTTAATAGTTCTGGGCGATGTACTTTGTTCAACTTTACCTTCATCACGTGAGAACCGTCTAGCGCACTAATCGTCGCGCGATGAATTTCGATACGTTTAGTTTGTGATGTCATGAGCATGTCAATACGCTGGTGTTTAATATCGCTAGGTTTTGTTTGAAGTGCATCAATTAGCTTTGCTGAGGCGTATGAGCTTCCAGCACCGGAATCAATCAACGCCCTACACTTAACATTGTTCACTTGAACTACAACAACAGGAAATATACCCTCGGCATGCACGCCATCGGTCATTAATGCTTTACTGTCACTTGCGTGTTTTTCGTCTTGTTTTCCAATATTGCGTGACTGTTCACAGATTGACGTATGATGACGTTTGTTACAGTGCGCGCACGCAATTTTACTTTTACACTCGGATGCCCTGTGAAATCCCGTGGCACAATTGAAACATAGCCCTTTCTTAGCTAAAATTCGTTTGCGTTCATTCGGCTTGACTATTTTGTGGCACTTTGTAGACTTATGATCCAGATCACCGCAATAAACGCAGCCGGATAATTTCTCTTCGTTTTGTCTGGCATGAAATACTTTGCGCGTTGTATTTCCTTCGTAACGCGAGTCGTTATTGACTACTGGATTTCGTTTTACCCACTGTCGCAAAGCTTCAGAAAGCTGACCAAAACTCCAAGACTCCCAATCTGGGTCGGTACGGACTAAATCTCCCCTTATCCCTGATAATTTATCTAAGGTCATGGACACGTTTCCGTTTATCTCATCAAGCTTCTTTAAGGTTTCTAAAGCTCGCACGCAATATGTAAGTTTTTCGCTAAAATTCGCAATTTTACGCGGATTGTTGTCTGAAATGTGCGGCAGTTCGAGGATTTCCTTGACATAGCATTTGACAATTTCAGACTCTGCCGTATTTATCCTGAAGTATGGATTTAGCTCGGTTGTAGCCTTCGGCTGAAAAAGGAAGTGACTCAACACACATTTTAACATTTGGACTCAACAATTCTAACAAATACGTAAATTTAGTTATTGCGGCAATGGAACTTTTGTCAATGGCCTCTGAAAACTGTCCCCAAAACCTGGGCCAATCCATAAAGGAACCCTCAAACTTCGATATAACTAACTTTGGTAACTTGGCATTCAGCTGGGGAAATTCTCGCGTTTCCGACTTCGAAGCGGACATTTCATTTTCCATTCGCAATTTTTCTTCATGCAGTTTTAGTTCTCTTCGAAACATCTCTGCTTCGGTTTCTACTCTAGATTGCCTTTCGTTTTCGGCAAGCCATTTATCAAGCAGAGAAATCTGGGCGTCAGCATCCTCAAACCTAGATTCAAGATCATCGTTCCAGTCCGAGATTAAGTCAATATTAACTTTACTAGCGATTTTTTGTTCTTCAACTAATCGCTTACATTGGTTTGTAGAACTGTTCACTGACTGCAGCGCTTCAACATGACGTTTAATGGTTTCGCGCTTACCTGAGGCCAAGACCTTTTCCGTTCGTTTCAACGTTAGAATTAACTGTACGAGTTTTGCCTCAAGCTCCTTTTCTATTCTCGTCAAGTTCGTGTTCACCAACGTTGATTCCCTTGTCTCCGTTTCTTCTGAAGCCATTTTTCTCGTTACTGTTTCTTGAGTTCTTTAGTATCCCGTCGGAGGTGCCACTATGTCGAGAATTTGCCTCCGCTTTTAGATCGTAGTCCTCGACAACTCACAGATATACGTTTATTCAACTAAATATATTGTACTCATGCAACCCAAAGTTGCCGTTTTGAATACAGTCACCGTGCACGAACGTTTGCTCTTATTCTAATCACAGTACAGATACTAATGAATAATCGTAATGGTACATCACTATTTCACTATCATAAAAAACAAAACACTTCTAAGTCCCTCCCAATAAATGTCAATCATATTTACTACGGTATGTCCGTCAGTCCCGACAGTGTTTTACCATGTATAAAACCATTTTGAGATGAATTTTTTTATCAGCACTCCCCCGCTCTTACTGGAAGGATTAATTGTTAATTTATAATGTCATATGAAAGTATTAACTAGTTTTTGTTAATTTATTTAAATTTAATGGTTGTGCTCATTTCAAAAGTCTATTATTCTAATTTCAGAATTGCAGTTTCAAAAGTGGAAATGTATCGATGAATCAAAAAAACATAAAGACTTGTTGTTAAAATTGATCGATGTTGGGCGCGATCCCGACGTTACGGTTGAATATGTGAACGATGTGCGCGTAGTTTTCTCAGAGGAGTTTTGCATCGGCAAAGGAAGTGATGGAACCCGTGTTTATCTTGGATTGGCAAAGAATGGTTACGGCAAAGCAGTAAAGCGAATACCTCAAGACACCTCCATCAAAGTTAAACCTGAAGAAAAGAAAGTTTTTGATGAAATAAACGCAAAGAATTCAACTTATGTTGTTAATACTGTACTTGAAAAAATTGGAAAAGAATATGTCTGTTTTATACTCGACCTATGTGAGGAATCGCTGGAAAGTTTCGTGCTATCCGAATCAAATGAATTAGCTAATCTTTTGGAATTGCTTCCTAAAATTCTCAGGCATATTTTAAAAGGTTTAGCTGACCTTCATAGCGTCCCACGTCCCATTCTTCATCGCGATCTGAAACCTTCAAATGTTCTCCGAGACGCACACGGTAATTTTCTGATAGCTGACTTTCGTATGAGTCGAATTTTGATTAACGAAGGAACATTAAGAAGCGGTTGCAAAAAGGGAACTGAGTTTTGGATTGCTCCTGAATCATATTGTGAAGATGACGAGTCACTCAATAAAGCTCGTTACAAAAAAGAATCAGATGTAATGGTAGGTGTAGAAATGTAACCATTTGCAAATTAAGCTTAAATACAATTTGTTCAGATTACATTTTCCTCGATTTTAGAATGCAGGAATGGTTGCTTTTTATGTTGCAACAAAAGGTAAACATCCTTTTGGATCTTTGGAGTTTAGACTACATAATATGTTGAATGGAAACCCAGTTGGCTTGGATGAAATCAATAATGTTGAACTTAAAGATCTTCTCACATGGATGCTACAGCTAAAACCTGAGCTTAGGCCATCAGCCTACAAGGCGTCAGAACATCCTTATCTACTGTCCAATAATGATAAGTTTGACCTTCTCTGTGATGATAGCAGTCAACTGGATACAGAGATACCAAATTTAAATCATCCTCTCTACGAAGATGTCCGTGAGCAAGTAAATGGTCTAGAAAATTGGAAAGACCGTGTGGATTTTAAAACATCAAATAATCTCAGAAAAGAAGACTACGAGTCTACATGGTTAGGTTGCTTAAAATTTTTACAAAACTTTCATCAGCATTGGCAAGATGAATCTTGTCCACATCTGTCACAAATGGAAGGCAACTATAAAGAGTATTTCATACAAGTTTTCCCAGAGCTTCCTCTTCTTGTAAACAGAATTGTAAGGTTATGTGATTGGAAATCAATACCTGATCGTGAGGACAATTTCAAGAGTAAGCAACAACCATAAAAATATTATTTGTTATAAAAGTATAGCTAAATTAGTGTTCGAAATATAAATATTACAGCCGAGGGTATAATACGTAGAATTACTTACTGGGTCTTTGATATTTATATTTCGAGTCGATTCCCGCCTGATTTATCGATTGCAACTAGATTAAATTAGTGTTCCGTTGTAGGACGGATGCAGCTCAAATTTTTAACATTCTATATTTAACGTCGCTCAAAGCAACATAATGCAATAGAAAGTAAATGGTTTGAACCCGGGAGTATCGTTATATGTTTGTAAATGATGATCGTCCAGGTTAATAAAGTCCTGAGAAGGACTGTTTTTGATGTTGTTGACTGACGTTTCGACAACCTTAGCGGTAGTCATCTTCAGAGTCAAATGAGGAGTAAACGTCAGGTTAGCCGTATTTATTGTCTGGTTCTTACGTCATTGTATTGTGTGTACAGGAAATGTGCAGGAAATGTGTATTGTCATTGTGGATTAGTGTGAAGTGAAATATTTTATTTTTAGTTGTGATGTGTGATTTAGGTGTGACGTTTTTAGTTGTAATGTGTGGTGTCAATTGTGTATTGTCATTGTGAATTAGTTTGAAGTGTAATGTTTTTAGTTGATCGTTTGTTTGTATTGTGAATAAGTCGTTTGTAAGGTGCCGGTAATTGCTGTGATCTGTTCAGGGGGGTTTGTTCCAAGTTGGTATACCAACTTTCTAATGTAAGCCGTTGTCTATAGTCAGTACTGTAAGTGATGCATTTTGCCGAGTCCCAGTCAATGTTGTGCTTTGTGATTCGGTGATGTTCGGCAATGTGATTAGTTTTGTCTTGTTTCTTAGTAGCTCGTTTGTGCTCAGTAAGTCTTATGTTTAAGTTCCTGCCAGTTTCCCCGATATAGGAGGCGTGGCAGTCGGAGCAGTTTATTTTGTAAACTGCACCTTGTCGTTCGTTGGGTTGTTCTTTGTCCTTTATGTTCGTTAGTACTTGTCGTAATGTTGTGATTGGTTTATGTGAGACACGTATGTTGTATGGTCGTAAGATACGCGAGATAGTCTCAGACGTACCTTTGATGTAAGGTATCGTTGCTGTTGTCACTGAGTTGTTCGTTTCGTTGGGTTCGTTGGGTTTGTAAGTGTTGCGTTTGATAAAGTCAGAGTTATAGTTGTTTTTGTCAAAAACACGTTTGAGATAGTTGTTTTCGTTTTGTAGAGCGTCCGGTGAATCACATATGATTTGTGCACGTCTTGTTAATGTTCTGATTGTGGTGGCTTTGTGTGATGTAGGGTTGTAAGATGATTGGTCTAGTAGTCGGTCAGTATGTGTTGGCTTGCGATAAACTGTTGTTCCTAGTTTTTGATTGTCATGTTTTACCAAACAGTCGAGGAAAGGAAGAGTTCCGTTTTCTTCGACATCTTTGGTAAATTGTATGTGGCTGTTCTGTTTGTTGATGTGAGTATGGAAGTCATCAATCTCGTCTGCATGTAGTGCTGTGATTGTGTCATCTACGTAGCGAAACCAAAAAGGTAGTGCATGTTTGTAAGTCATGAGTGCCCGTTCCTCTATAGATTGCATTACAATTTCAGCAACTACAACAGAAACAGGCGAGCCATTGCTGTCCCATGTAATTGTTTGTAGTGTGTTCCTTTGTATTGGAAGTAAGTCGAGGTGAGGCAGAGCTCTAATAACTCCATAATGTCTTCTGTCGGTAATGGCAGTACGTCCGTGGTGTTTGTAATGAGGGTTTTTGTACAAGTAAGTGCCAGATTAAGTGGAATACTGGTGAACAGTGATTTCACATCAAAGACACTAGTATATAGTTGTCTGGTATTTGTATAGTGCACAGTTTTTAATGAAAGTTTCAGTGGATTGTAGCTTGTGTTTTGATTTGTTTGTGAGTGGTTGCAGTATGTTAGTCAAGTACTTTGAAAGTTCGTAAGTAGGCGAACCACAGAATGATACAATTGGTCGCATGGGTATTTGTGGTTTGTGAAGTTTTGGTAGTCCGTATAGTCTGGGTGGTCGTGGTACTGAACATCTGAGTCGATAGTAAATACGTTCAGATATAATGTTAGATTTTCTCATAGAAGATCTTGCTGTTAAGTTGCGTACTAGTGATGGTGTTGGGTCTCGTTTGAGTTGTTCGTACGTTTGTCTGTCGTTAACAAGTGCGTCCATTTTGTTAAAGTAATCATTCCTGTCCATGACCACAGTCACGCGTCCTTTGTCTGCTGGTAAAATGACGATGTTGTTGTCGTGTTTTAGTCGTTTGAGTGCTTGCTGTTCGTCTTTTGTCAAGTTGTTGTCACGTATAGAGGACGATTGTAAAGTGGAGGCTATCCTGCTTCTGATCTCGTCTTTTGTTGTCTCTGACAAGTCTCTTTGATACGCTAGGACAGCCTCGACACTTGATACTATCGTCTCAGTCAGGATTTGTCTAGGTGTTATGGAATGTTTTAGTCCGTAAGATAGTAGTCGCGTTTCAGTTTCGTCTAATGGGCGGGAAGAAATATTCCTCACCCAGTTATCGTCATGTTTATGTCTTGCACGTGTTTTAGTTTGTTTTAAACGTTCAAGTTTTTGTTGTTGTTTGATTTGGTGTTGTGTCTCTGTCTTGTTTGCTCGTTTCTCTGCAATAGTTTGTATGGTAGAAAGTAAAGTATCACTTACTGTCGTTGGTATGAGTTCCTTCAGTTTGTTCAGTCTTTGTTCTTGTTGTTTGATGTAATAGTTGATTCGTCTGTGACAGTCGTTAATCCGTGCTCGTATCAGTCGTCTGCTGGTGGATTTGACAATCTGAATAGCCTCTTGTGTGTTCAACGGAGACTTAATTCTAAGTCCTGTCGGAACGAGACCAAAATCCTTGCAGCGGTGGTTGAACCAGAGTTGTTGGCGTATGCGTCTGACGTTGCTTGCAAAAACGTATGTAGTCGTTAGCAAGTTGTTCGCTCTGTCGTCCAAATGATCGTAATAAAGTAAATGGTTTGAACCGCGGAGTATCGTTACATGTTTGTAAATGATGATCGTCCAGGTTAATAAAGTCCTGAGAAGGACTGTTTTGATGTTGTTGACTGACGTTTCGACAACCTTAGCGGTAGTCATCTTCAGAGTCAAATGAGGAGTAAACGTCAGGTTAGCCGTATTTGTGTCTGGTTCTTACGTCATTGTATTGTGTGTACAGGAATGTGCAGGAAATGTGTATTGTCATTGTGGATTAGTGTGAAGTGAAATATTTTATTTTTAGTTGTGATGTGTGATTTAGGTGTGACGTTTTTAGTTGTAATGTGTGGTGTCAATTGTGTATTGTCATTGTGAATTAGTTTGAAGTGTAATGTTTTAGTTGATCGTTTGTTTGTATTGTGAATAAGTCGTTTGTAAGGTGCCGGTAATTGCTGTGATCTGTTCAGGGGTTTGTTCCAAGTTGGTATACCAACTTTCTAATGTAAACCGTTGTCTATAGTCAGTACTGTAAGTGATGCATTTGCCGAGTCCCAGTCAATGTTGTGCTTTGTGATTCGGTGATGTTCGGCAATGTGATTAGTTTTGTCTTGTTTCTTAGTAGCTCGTTTGTGCTCAGTAAGTCTTATGTTTAAGTTCCTGCCAGTTTCCCCGATATAGGAGGCGTGGCAGTCGGAGCAGTTTATTTTGTAAACTGCACCTTGTCGTTCGTTGGGTTGTTCTTTGTCCTTTTGTTCGTTAGTACTTGTCGTAATGTTGTGATTGGTTTATGTGCTACACGTATGTTGTATGGTCGTAAGATACGCGAGATAGTCTCAGACGTACCTTTGATGTAGGTATCGTTGCTGTTGTCACTGAGTTGTTCGTTTCGTTGGGTTCGTTGGGTTTGTAAGTGTTGCGTTTGATAAAGTCAGAGTTATAGTTGTTTTGTCAAAACACGTTTGAGATAGTTGTTTTCGTTTTGTAGAGCGTCCGGTGAATCACATATGATTTGTGCACGTCTTGTTAATGTTCTGATTGTGGTGGCTTTGTGTGATGTAGGGTTGTAAGATGATTGGTCTAGTAGTCGGTCAGTATGTGTTGGCTTGCGATAAACTGTTGTTCCTAGTTTTGATTGTCATGTTTTACCAAACAGTCGAGGAAAGGAAGAGTTCCGTTTTCTTCGACATCTTTGGTAAATTGTATGTGGCTGTTCTGTTTGTTGATGTGAGTATGGAAGTCATCAATCTCGTCTGCATGTAGTGCTGTGATTGTGTCATCTACGTAGCAAACCAAAAGGTAGTGCATGTTTGTAAGTCATGAGTGCCCGTTCCTCTATAGATTGCATTACAATTTCAGCAACTACAACAGAAACGGGCAGCGAGCCATTG